GCCTGAAAAAAAAAAAAAGAAGGATGCTGTAATAGTCACAACTCCAGAAGAAGAAACTTGAACTTGATGGACCCAAGGTCAGGCAGGGCGTGTGAAAAGGGTACGTTAGTTAACTAGTCAATGACACCAACACAGAGGAAAAGCGAAAAACCCTGATCGCCAGAAGGGAAAGCCACTAGCTTACCAGGTATCGGCTTGGCTAATGGGTGGCCGGAAATAGATTCCACGCGCCGGGTATAACGGTATCAAGACTTCAATACGTAAATTCTTTCCATGACTCAACCACCGTCTTTGCTCAATATCGCATCACAACTGGTCAAATACCTCTCATCGACTTTGTCCTTGTAACCGTTCTGTAACCATCTCATCATCTCAAGACAACAACCCACATTGCCAGATATGATATGAGACACCCTAGACTTACACAAGTACAACATGCAATATCACCTAAGTTATCGAACCTTGATACAAGCTAAGTTAGACGCCGGAGATAAAGACCATGTGCAGCAAACGTGACTTGCAACGGGCGTAGACACGGCACAGTACAGTACAGTACCTACAGTAGTCTACGCGTTACTGTAACTTTGCTGTGTTGTTCAGCCTGCCGTCATATTACGGCTAACAAGCAACTACATGCGTGAGAAACAAGGCGGTTGAGTTCTTAATCTCACTCAATTGCGCGCGTCGTAATAGCCCAGACAATCTAGACTCTGCAAGAATTCTTCAATTTTGATTATGATAAAAGCGGTTGGCCAACTCGGCAACCGCCAGCCGAGCAACGTTATGTTTATTCGTGATGCAAGATGATGTCTTTTTCCCCGACCAAGGCTGGCCCTATGGGAACAACTCCTTTCAGCCGCGCTACGGCATTGCGGTACTTGGGAAGCTTGGCTTTCTCCATCAGGAGACGGCTTGGAGTTCCTCTGAGGTGAAAGTCTTTCTAGAATACTGAGAATTCCGCGGGGTTTCCACGGCCTTATCCCACGTCGGCACCGGAACGGCATCCGTGGGTACTGTACTGTGTAATATTGAGAGCCCTTGGATCAATCAGGCCTGTCAAATCGCTAGCAAGTCTTTTCGGGCGATACCGAAATAGTGAAATGACGGCCCATCGTATATCTTCTTCGATTCAGCACGGACTCTCCATCATCTCATTCGGTGCCGATGTGGGGGGTTCTCCCGTCTCCTTCTGGGCTTGCTGCAGGTAGACTACACTACTAGAGGTACTACATCATTACCGTAGTTTATTCTACTGAGAGTTTCTGCTAACTGTTGTTGAAGCAGACAAAAGTGTCTAATGTTAGAATAAGATGAGATCAGTGGCGGCTTTGATATTCAGGGCTAACCACTTATCAATCCGACCCAGTCCAGTCCAGGCCGATTGATCTGCCAAAGTAGATACCCGTTTGAATAACCCGACTTTCGACATACCTCCGTGCCGAGGGAGGGTGTACAGCACAGACTACAGTACGCTGCCGTATGTAGATCCACTCGCTGTCGAGTCGGCGTTTAAACCTCCGAGGTTGGTTCCAACTCAAGACCCCGTCGGCTTTCTTTCTGCATGACGATGCGATTGTTGCAGTATTATATGCGTGCTATGCCCGTTGGTTGCTGACACCTTCTCTAAACGACGTCGCTACCCTGGGAGGGATTGATGATCTTCAGGGTTGTGTTGCACATGAACCAAGGTCGGCATTTTGAGAAATGCCTCACAAGACTAGGTAGATGAGATGAGATGAGCGAGAAAAGGACTGTGCTGAACAAGCCCACTTGCACTTGCACTTGCACGCCCCTTCATCCTCTTCATTTTCGTTTTCATATTCTATTCCGATTGTCGATCCGACCCTTGACTTTTTGCTTCCAAGGATTATGGCTTACCAACCTATACAGTACACAACTGAATCTCAATCCTGCATAAGAACGGCTATGACGGTTGGAACGGCTACAATCAACAGTATGAACCACAGCCTTTTCTCCCTTCCTCCCTTTGGCAATTCGTTTCGCCTCACTAAACTAGACTCTTTTAGAACGTGCCGCTGTCAGTGCAAATATCAACATCATGCCTTGTCCATGTGAGGCTCATAATCCGTTCCTCGGCCCCACTCGGCCGATGTGGGTCGGCGCCGCAACTGGCGATTTCCCGGCCGAAACTCGTCGATGCATTCCATCCAAACCACGTTAATTTCCGTACCTCTAGTTCAATGGGCTATGTATCGACTTCACATGATAAACACGACAACCTCATGATCGTTTGGCGATATCTGCGTTTCAGCGAGATCCTTGCTTTTCGGATCTCTGGTTTTGGAGCTTCTACCACTTTCAGAAGCAAACCGCCGTGCTTTCACATGGCTATGGCTTCCAAGTCTCTCTGTGTCGTTTATTATTAGTGACAGTACTCGTTCGGCCAAGCCGAGGACTACCACCCCTAGGCCCGGTCTCTGGAAGTCAATTGATAAGGGACACCGATGGAGCTTCACTCAATCCTCATTATCAGTTCATCTTGAAGTTATCCCCATTTAAGGTATGGTACCTCGAAATCCGGGATTCGGTATTGGCGTCGAAACCCTTGTCGGCATGATCAGCCTCACTGCGCCTGTCTTCAGCTGCCTTTTTCCGCTGACACAAACCAATGGCACGCCGTTTCACATAGAGTATTGCAGGTTTTGCTCACCCCTCGAAAAATTTCAAAAGCCGATTCTTCTCCAGTTACGCCCGACTTATGGGTCCTTGACCATGGGCGCATCGCAACGTGAGAGTGGAGCCTTGAAGAACCCCAGGCAATTCATCACGCAAGACCGCACGCCTCTCTTTGTTCTATCGGCTCCTTGATGTTTGCATGATTGCAACTCGTCTAGCCAAGAGATGGGCCGAGCTCAGACGTTACAGTTCAGCTGGGGCCATGGGGCTATCGTGAATCGAGAGTTTTCTAGGCCGAGCCTGTGACAGTCTGACGGTATTCTAGAATGCCATATCCTCGGTTAAGTAGCCACTTCTACCTTTACCGAGAATCACGCCCATTTCGATTTCTCGGATTAATGCCATTGATTCATACATTGGTCCGTCATGAACGTGTAACTGATACATGGGAGGGAGGGGCGCCAGTGCTGCTTGACATCATCCTTTCGCAACTGCAAACTACAATTCCAAGCCCTGTGCCTCTTGACGATAACAAAACAACCGGGTGCAACTCCCCTCCGCTACACATCATTGTACATGATAAGTTTAGGATGTTCTTGTTCACAAACAGCCCATGTCCATGCGGCGCTCGGCAGGTAATTCATGAGAACTGCAGCTTTGTGGCCGTAAGATGCAGGCTCGAAGAGGTTCGGATCATGTCGCCGCACTTTCTCCACGGCGTCGGCCGTTGCTAACGCCAGAAAATGCTGTCGTTTTGGTCCCTTGGGGAGCACCCTATGCAGAGGCCAGTTAATGTCAATGTCCTAAAAACCGCCAGATGATTAGGCCAAATGTAGGATAAACGTACAATGCGTTCCCAAAGATTCCATGACACAAGCTGGGCTCCTTGGTGAGTAGTCCATGTCTCCAGGTTATGTTCTGCCCCTTTTCGATAGCAGAGTCAATCCGGCTTTCAAGTTCAGGAAAGTAAGGGCGTAGGGATTGGAGAGAGTACAAGAACCCAGGGGCGCCATGGCACCACTGGATCAGGCTCGCAGTTTTACCTTCCTTGAGACTCCGCGCGCTTGATGGCCAGTTGCCATCTGATAGCTGAAGCTCGAGTAGTTTCTCCAGTCGTCGGGCGAGTTGCGGAGCGAGCGATGGGTTTGAAAGAACGACCTGCGTGATTATACCAATATCACCATGCGCTGCACCAAAGTATCGTTTTCCATGCCACTCCCAATTGCCTCGTCCATCATCATCAGTGGACATAATCCTTTCTGTCAGTCTTCGTAGAGGAGATTCGATGAGAGTTTCACTCCTTGGCATCCAGTGTCTCACCATACGTAGCAAGTACAACGTACCTGCTCTTCCGTATGGTATCTCTGAAGGGAAAGCGTCTTCCTGGGGGCTCGTGTATGGGCCAAGAAGAACTGGAATATTGCTGAGGAACTCGATCAAGTGATCTTCGTCCTTAGTCACGCATGCTCTTACTGCCTGGAAAGACATCTTTTCAGATGAAATACCGCAGTTACCCTTCTCTAAGACAAGCCTCCCCCGGTCTCCATCAAGATATCGTTCCGCCCATGATATCAGCTTCTTGCCAGATATCAGCAGGTCCGGATACAGTTCGGACAGTTGAAGAAACAAGTAGGCAAGACCAGTGTACCCGGTGAATAGTCCACCAAGATGACGTTCAAGGTACACTTCGCGAGGCGGGGTGTGTCTGACGACAAGCTCAAGAGCATAAGTTAGCAGCTCTTTGGGATCTGAGCCCAGACTCTGAGCAGGGAGGTTGTTCGAGATGTATCGTTGAGTCATGGCTGTGGTGTTAATGTATGCATTCGTCAGTGTGGATTGGGGACTATCGAGAACGTGTTCGGATTGCCATTGTCTAGTTGAGGTTGTCGTCAACTTTGGGCTCGACATGATGTTATAAGCGCGGTCTCCTGTGACGCATACCTTTCATCTTTCGGGAGGTGATCAGCGATTCGTTACTATGCAATTGGAGGAGGGGGGCAACGAGGCTCACGCGACATGACCTACCACAAGTACATCAGTGACAAGAGGCTCTTTCAGAGGGGTTTGTAGGGCTTATAAGGCAAACATGAAACTGATCTGCCTTGTTTCAAGGTCGATTGGCTTACAGCTCAAGACAAATAGACGTCAGTTGGCCGAAGTCTTATATGTGCTCCCAGCAGTTGGGGACCGATGGTGGGTCATGAGCTCCCCGGCCGAGTAGAGGTGGGTCTAATGGGATGTTTTGTCCGGCGATCTGCAAGTTGACGTTGTAGCGAGTGACTTAGAAGTTCAGCCTAATGCTGAAAGGGCAACCTAGAACATGGTGGAAAGCGCATGATTTTCCTTGGCAGAATGCTTGAGTAGCTTTGAAGACCTGGGATTGATGAAAGTGTCATATTAGAAGCTGTCAAGCAGCGTAACAAACTCATCATCATTTGTTCAGAGAGGAGGTAGGTACTGCTTGATGGATTTACGATTTAAGGTAGCCCCACTCTTTCCTTAGGGCCTCTACAGTACTACGTACCTACAGGTAGTAATGACGACATCGATGGGAGCTTCGTTCCTCCCTTGAGCTTGGAATGGAAAGCTTGTGATTGCCAGCCTCTCCATCGTGATAAGAACAAAGCAGCGCACCCAGAAATAAACTACCCCCTCCATTCTACAACAACAGATTTGCTTGGTCCCAACGAATCTACCTTCATCACTGCAGCACGTCGTCTTGACACTAGCACTACATCATGGCCGACACAGCTGAAGCTTCAGGAGCTGATCACCAGCAGCAAGCTTCTCAGCGTAACAGAGTCGTCGACACTGTTCACGAGAAAGCCCAAGAGGTCTTGTAAGGCTGAGACGACAATTGTTTCCTATATGTTCCTCAAGCTAACACCTTCAACTAGCAAGGAGGACTATGCCCAGGCCCGGGACCATGTTGCAAATGCTGCCAAGAGTAGATCCTACCTCTACCCCATTAAGGTACGAAAAGACAGGGAATCAAGCTCCACGATGATCACTCGCTAACACATCGTGTCTTTAACAGGGTATCTTCTACTTTCTTTCCCACCGCTCGCTTTGGAAGCCTTTCGTTTCTAAGCTCGGCCCTCTGATACTCCTCTCTACTGGTGTCATTGGTGGCATGTTCTTCTTCACATACCTGCCACAGCTCGCCGTCCTGTTCTTCGTCAACGGTCCTATTGCACCTTTCACAACCGTTCTTCTGGTTCTGAACGAGAGCACTACCATTATCAACCTCGTATCTCGCTCCTATCTTCTCCAAGATGCGCTATTGGATGTCTTTGACGGCACCCTTCTCGCTCGAGGAGACACCAAAATTGTTAGCGAGGGACGTGAAGTCAAGTCGGGAGCAGACCCGATGCAGAAACTGGGCAAAATCATCAAGAGTCCCTTCGAGAAGTTCAGTCCCAAGGCAATCATCAGGTACATTATGTACTTGCCTCTCAACGCCATCCCGGTTGTTGGCACAGTGATCTTCATTCTCATTCAAGGTGGGAATCCTGTACTCACATACATGTAGATGTGCTAATCCATTTTAGGCCGCACTCGAGGCAAGGGAGTTCATGGCCGAGTAAGTATATTCCACCAACAGGCTTCACAACCATGCTAATGTTGCTCTAGTACTTTCAGCTGAAGCGGTGGTCGCAAGCCAAGAGGGAGGACTGGCTTACCAAGAACGTTGGTCCTTACACTGCGTGCGTAACCTGCTGAGCTACTTCCTAATTTTCAGGCGTCTACTTTTTAGCCAGACGCTACGATCTGAATTTGGCTGACCGAAGCTTTCTAGATTTGGACTGGTTGCCACGCTCCTCGAGATGGTTCCTGTTGCTTCAATGTTCTTCACGTTCAGCAATACAGGTGAGTCACAAATACATTAGTACTGTACGTAGGAACTAACATCGATTAGTCGGTGCTGCTCTTTGGGCTGCTGATATCGAGGACAAGGATACCTCAATGACTGGTGGAACCGCCCCAAGTCTGCGTGAAACCGCTGAAAAGGCCGAGTAAACATCTGATCTTCGTAACACTCTAAGCCTCAAGGCCACGTAACATTTGATATCTGCGAAACATGTTAAACAAAACATGGGCAGATGCCAAGTAATACAGATTTGCTTTTGTTTTGCTGTTACGTTCAGCTTGGGAGGGAAAGGGCTGTTATCACTCCTGCCATACCGGGGAGCTCCAGGAAGCGCATTTCAGAAATGGAAATGGAAGGCAGGGAGGAGAGTTCTCTGCACGCCGGCTCAATACTGCGAAAAGGAAGGAACTATTAATGAGGATAGAAGGCACCATTTCCGGTGTCTTGACTTCTTTTATTCCACAAAAACCTTCTCTGTCTCGCTTTGTCTCATTACAATGTCAACACATGCCTCGCAATGTTCTCCTGATTTGTCTTTTCTGCATGTTAAAGCCTTCCGTGACTTGGTGACCTGTGAGTGCTCCGAGATGGTTACTTAGCAAGAATCAATACGCCGGTTATTTTCTCACTGCCTTGATATCATATATTCGCTTTCCACGGCGGACACGAGTAGGCTGTGAGTACCATCCCCAATTGCTGCAATTATTGTTCTAGTTAATGGGATTCCGTAGCACATCATTAGTATCGACTTTCAGCATATCGGATCCAGGACTGGCAGTTTTGGCATTTAATAAACAAATGCTAAAGGCTTTCGGGGTCATACATCAATCAACGGAAGTCAGACCCATCATGGGAGGCTGTGTTCCTCATGCAACCTGACGGCAAGCTGCATTTCGCCTCGTTGCCGAAGCTTGCTACAAGTACTACATCTCCGAGATGGTATATCGCTTCTGTTATTCTGGGCCCTGGATTGTGAAACCTTCAACAAACAAGCCGTTAGTCTCAACGGCCGAAGACTTGACATGCTTCGCGTTTCATTATTTGAGCGGTTGAAGTATTGCCGGACAGGATCTCTACAGACCACAAGCAGGCGGGTAACAGAAGAATTGTCCTCTAAGACTTAGGCTACTATAATGAAGTAGCCTCGAGTGCTGGTTTAAGCCAGCAAAAAGTGACGGAATTATTTCATCTCTTGTGCTTTCAGGGGCCAACTCTTCTGGTATCCTGATGATAAGCCAGACTCAGACTGAACTACGCCAGTGAGAGGGTAGCTTACCCCGTGAACCATGTACGACCGTCATAACGAGTCGGCATGCAGCCTTTTCTAAGGAAAATACAACTGCCAAGCAGTTTCTACCGAGTACCGACGCCTTCTGAACTCTAGCTCGCCAGCATTATTCACTACCTATATGGCAGGAATAGGCTGCCCATACTCAAGCGAGCAATTGCGTCAGAATGTTCTGCTTTGTTGCAATTTCTAGCGAAGAAACGCCATGAGAGATGAAGGACAGCCTGTGAGATGGCAGATAAAAACAATCACCGCTTGATGAAGCGAAAGGGGCAGTGGCAGGAGTCGACGCATGCAGGTAAGCGACCTAAGAGACAAAGATGGATTTTATTTCCCGAAAGTCTAAAAGGAACAAAGTCCATGAACTTCTGCTGCATGTGCAGTTGGTTGCAGTTATGGCCATTATCATGGCATATGAAGACAAGATAATGCGTCGATCCGAGTGGCCGGGTCCCCTTCCACCAGATGGAAAGCAAACATACAACGGTAGGATCGAGGATGAGGCTTTACATAGCCGAGAGTATCGTCGTTCCATCGGGTACGGGTCAAGATGAGGAAAGGCCTCCAGATCTACCAATGTCAAGATCCTGGGCCAGGTATCTGTAACCCTTGAGATCTGGAGATGCAATTTGTACGCTCATGTTGTGGCAGGCTCTCGGGAGTGAGCTCAAGATTCAATTCTATGCCTGTGCCTATGAGAGACCAAGATTTAATGCCCCTTTGCCTGACACTGGCAAGGTCTGCGTGACAGCTGGTGCCAGTGTACACTCCGCATCTCTTTCGTTGTTTATCATTCGGCCTACGCACTCACCTTCTTACGCGTGCCTAGAATTTCTTTCTCTTTCTCCTCTTTTCCACCGCGACTAGAATCTCTCTCTCTCCATCGCGCAACTCATCCCTGCGTTCTCCTCAACATCACGGGAAAGCAGCAAAGGAATACCCTCACAGGCGTCGACCACCACTCGTTTAGCACTATACCCTACTTTATTCTCGACTCACACACTCGTTTGATATCCTCAAGACTTATTCCAACTAATTTCACTCGCTACATTCGCTCGGTAAGTCTCTTTGGCTCCGTTCGTCACCGAGGTGCGGGTGGATGATACACGATACTAATGCTAACGACACAGTATTCTCGTGACTTCACCATGAGGGCACCAAAGATTTCTTTGGCTGCCGCCTTGTCGGTATTCCTGTTGCTTTCTTGCCTTCTTGGTAATGTTGCTGGGCTTGCTCGGCGACAGCATCCAGGTCGTTACCGTGTCGTGCGCGGCAACCACCTCTTTGAAGCTCGCCAGCTTGATGGAGAGCCTGACAATGAATACGGCCCCCCTCCCCCTTACTACACTAGAGAACCCGTTGTTCCTGTTGACACCACCTCCCGTAAGCGCAGAGTTTCACTCATTCTTCACCAAGCTGACGCTTCTAGATCCGTCTTCCAAGGAGGTCACTGCAACAGATATCGAGACTGGTTCATCCAGAGTTACCATGACCTCTGGAAACTATACTTTTTCTCGCGGAATTTCTTCACTTCCTTTATCCTCTGTTGTGGATACCAACACCGCTTTGCCATCTGCTGCTTCGAGTGCAAAGGCTGGTAGCACATCCAGCTCCGAGACCCCGACCGCTGTTGGTACCACAGCTCCGGCTTCATCTCGTGTGACTGAATCTTCTGGCGATGATATCCTGACAACTGCGGATGGTCATTTGTCTGCCACATGGAGCAATGGTACTTCTTCTACCGGTACCCATTCTTCTGCTACTGTTGAGAGTGGCACTATCATTGTGGATGGCACTTCGTCCGATGTTCAAACCAAGTCGCTCTCAGAGGTTGTTGCATCAACATCGTTGTCAGAAAACTCAGGAGTGACTACGTTGGCTATGACTACAACAAAACTCCTCAACACTACTATGACAGCCACAAACATGGTGGAATCTACCGAACTAGTGCCTTCATCTACAACATACCTCACGACGACAGCCACTGTCATGGAAGAGAATCCTTCGTTCTCCAGCCTGGCTTCTGGCTCATTCAGAACAACCGCATCTGAAAGCGCTGTCAGTGAAGTTTCAGTTTCCGAGTCCATGCAAACGACATCTCTTGTCGCTAGCGAGGTTCTCAATGGAACCACCGTTGTTACTACAACAACTTATCTGACAACGACGCTTGATGCTGTCACTGCCTCCGACGGATTGTCCAACTCACCTGATGGCTCTTCTTCTGCTACCTCTGATGGCATGTCGGGTGCTGGGACTGGAGAGGTTTCTACGACAGTTGTTTCGATTACTGTAGCCTCATCTGGTAACTTCACAAACGCAAGGTCTTCCTTGACTACATTGGTGCCGTCTACTACCATCCTTTCTACTTTCTTTACTTCCACTTCTACGCTGAGTGGAAGTCTTATGGATTCTGAATCGGATGTTTCCGCAGTTCCCATTCAAACTTCTTCAGACAATCTTGTTGCATCTAGTGCTCTGCCTACCAATGCGACATCGAATGCAGTCGCAAGCTCGGTCACTATTACAACAAACTCTGAGAACTCGGTCGTAACTATCATTCCCGGTGGTATCCCTCCGACTGGCAACGCTACAGTGATGGTCAGTAGCTCTGCCTCGACAGACTATTCGACTTCTTCCCTTTCGCCTTTCAACACTTCAGCGACGCTTGAGTCGGCATCATCTTTCCAAGAGACAGGCTCGTTTCTTGACTGGTCCACTTCAACAATAGTCGGGTCACAAACTTCTCACACTACTCTGGGTCTTCCCCCAGTCCCTTTCACGAGTTTTTCGTTTTCGATTATTACCACACCAATGACTCCACCTGATGTGATGACTACCTCAACTCCGTCACCATCCCAGAACGTAACCGTGATCATGTCTACGTGGACTTCAACCATCACGACTAGTCTTGGACCAACAGATTTCACATCATCTGCCGAACCAACAGCGGCTCATAGCAGCAGTGGCTACAACTTCTCCAAGACCTTGGAATCGGAGATGAGTTCAGTTGGTTCTTGGTCTACATCTGTCAACAACCTTTCAGATAACAGCACTTCCATCATCACAAGGCAACCTACCAATCTGCCATTCCCGATCAACACTACCATCGATTGGCAATCAATGGCATCTTCAATACCCTTGACTCAATCCGCTGAGACCGTGGGCTCTTCGGGACGGCACACCACGTTGACTGCAGCTAGCTCAGGCTTCAATAGCACCGCGCCGTATGTGAACTCAACTTCGACCATAGTTTCCACATCGTACTCCACGTCTTTTGATGCGATTTCTTCCAAGATGGCTTTCACTACTTACCCTTCATGGAACACTACCAACACAGTTCAGGGACCTGTCAATTCCACTCTTGGAGCAACCACCTTTCATGCCACTACTGAATCGAGTATGAGTGCTGCCACTCCAAGCTTGAACGGAACGGCGTTCATTACATCCCCATCCCCAACTTCAGAACATACTGAGCTCGTCACGATATCTGGCAGTGTCTCGACTCAAACATTCACAAACATCCCAGTGTCGATAATAACTCTGACTTCTGCTATCTTTTGGTCGAGCAGTGCTGCTACTATGTCTTTGAATAACACACCACCTTTTCCCTTTCCGTCAAACACGACAGTGGCAGGCACCGGTGTCCCACTTCCGACGACTGGCACGGGGGCTCATCCTACCATTGTCAGCACCCTAGGAAATTTCTCAACACCTTACAGGACTTTGACTTCGACGATCGAGCCGAAGTACCATACATCCAACACCACCCAAAATGGTACCGCATCGGGGCCCTCTACTGCCGTGGGCACAAATACACCCCATTTCCCCAGCACCAACTCGACTACTACGGCCGTTGTTACGTTCTCGTCTATCCCTTCGTGGACTCCTGACCCTGAACCGTGGACAACATGGTCGACTTGGAGCCTTTCAGGCAAGCCGAACCCTGTGACAACAAACGGTCTACCCAGAATCACCTTTGGTAACCTGAGTAGCGAGGCTCCAGTGCCAACCACGTACACTCGTACTACGACGTTGTCTCTTACTACCACTCTAGCAGAGTCAACTGCTTCCCGGTCATTTGATGGCAACTTCAGTAGCAAGGTCTCATATTCAACTTCTTATACTCGTACTACAACGCTATTCCTCACTACTACTTTGGCAGAGCCAAGTACATCCCAGCGTCGTTTCCAGAACTTGACAAGCACTTCTTCATCATCTGTCTCATACACTAGTACCACAACTTTGTTTCTGACTACCACTCTGAGGAGAGGAAGTTCATCTCGTGTATCTGATGCCGCAATCACTTCGACGGCCTCACCATGGTTGAATACTACCTTGGCATCTGCGCATTCTTCAGAGACAACACCACCCTGGTCCGAGGTATCGAGCACCTTTCTTACTACTGGTAGTGCAAAGGGGATCTCAACCAGCGCTGAGAGCTCTGTCTCAACACCGTTCCCTATGATTAAATCAACTCTCTCGCAGGCGACATCTTCAACAGTTGGCACCCTTACCACCAGGTATACCCCCGATGGTTCAGCAGGTGTAACAACTCCCTGCGAAATCTCATCCACGACATCATCAACCTGCACGGATTCACTGTATTATCCCACACATGTGTTGTCATCATCAGTGGGTTCAGTCAGCACTGATTGCTTGACCGCAACCAGCGGCACGGCTTCATCATGGTCATACTCCCTAGTGTCCACGATTTCGGATCGCACCTCAACTACTTGCAATACCACAAGCCCAATGTCGAACTACAACACGGCGCACTGGTCGAACATGACCAACACGTTCGGCGTGAAAGGTTTGTGACATTTCAAGCAATTAATTGGGCTGTACTAATTTATATAGACGCAGAGACAAACACCCATGGGTCGCCCACGACATTCAAGACGGTCACTACCGTCCAGGCAGAGATGTCGGGTTCGGTATGGGACGACTACCCTACCCTAACAGACAAAGTCGCTCCGTCTGATGTGTTGCCCTCAGACCTCAACTTCCCCTGGGGAGATGACTCCCCGATCCACCGTCACCAGAGCGTGTCTGACTTGGGCATCGGTGTTGGCAATGGGGAAGTGGGCAAGAGGGGCAATTGGCGACTTCGATGGGAGAACGTCAAGGACAGACTCAAGGGTTTGTGGGATGGGCAGACTTCGGAGAGTGAAGATTAGTTTTGCTGCCGACACGAAGCAAACGACTTGGATGGTGTTTGTAATACAGCATCCCCCCGCAACGAGGAAGTTTGTATGAATTTCATTATTAAGGGGTCTCGTTTTCTTGTTACTAGTTTTCTTGGCTGGACTCTATTTCTGATTCAGCCCTGTTGGTTTCGGTAGTTCGGGCTACTTTAAGGCCCGGTTGATGGATCGCCAAGCAGGGGTCAAGTTGGCGTAAGGTTCAGTTCAGGGAGGCCTCGATGGAGAAGAATTGCTCTGTCTGGATGAAAGCGAGGATCCGTGTACGAGATTTACCTAATTCATTATACTAATTATGTATGCTGAGACTGTTCTGTGACAAGTGCTGCGAAACATGTGAGCAGAGGTGAGCAGAGATGAGACAGATGTGGATCGTAACTTTAACCTAGTTGATACTGATACATTGTACTCACAGATTCATTGGGTTGTGATCGATGGGAAATAACTTTGAATAGGTATTTGCATGTATTGATGAACCTTACTATACAGCATGGAATATCTTCCGACGTATTTCTGTGTAAGTGTTGAGTGAGGCCTATAGTAACAGACGGGAGATGGACGTATTCTTAGTCATGTTTAATTGAGCCAATCAGCGTGACTCACAATCGTCGTCATCGGGGAGGGGTCGCCCCTTCCCGGCCCCAGATTCATGCACATGACGCTTTGCCCAAAGCGGAGCCCTTGCCACCGAAGCATCCGATCCAAGTGCAACTGTAAGGCGACGCTACTGCACCTGCACTATTCGTATCCTCTTCTTTAATCTTTCCTCCAACACCCAATCTTAAACCCAACTTCTTCCATCAATCCATCATCCATCGCCCACAACATACGATACGAGACACATCAATACTATCAACTGCACTGCAACATGCTTTTCAAGCCACTCGCCTTCGCGGCAACTGCTGCCGCAATTCTCATCGTCCCCCAAACTTCCGACAACGATGATGGCATCTTTCGCGCCCTGCCCATCGACAACAGCAACTTCGATATCCCTGCCACTGCATTCGATCAGGCCATTGATGTTCCTTGTCTCCAATGCCGTGGCCACGATACTCATCTAAAACTCGATTTCGGAATTCAAGACCGTAGCCTGGTCCTTAACGGCTTCGAACTCTACCCTCATGCCGACCCTTGGAATGGCGACCTGTCAGCTGCTGTTATCAAGGGCAATGGCAAGAGTGACATGCGCAGATTGGGATACGGTCTAGCCATTCGCCCTGAGGGAATCGATGAGGATCAGCATCTAGAGATTGTCAACGTCGAAGTTCGAATTATTGAGGTTGGCGACCGATTCGTTGATGGCGTTCCTCCCGTTACAGTCAAGCTTATCAAGTCACCGGTTGGCGATATCATGATCGGAAACATCGAAGTTAATGGTGCCGGCAAGAAGTCACCAGAGGATTGCGACATGTGGTGCCGAGCCAAGGGTATGGTTCATGATACTTGGAGGGATGTCAAGGGCAAATTCAAGGGCTGCCACGGAATGAAGCCTCATCACTCTCACGAGCACGGCCATAAATCCAACCACGGTCCCGGCAAGGCCGAGAACAAGCCTACCGACAACTTTAAGCATGGCCCACTCATGGATAAGAAGCCCGGACAGTCTTTTGGTGAGGTCCTTGGACACGTTACCGCTTATATCATTATCCCTGTCCTTTTGGGCGTTGCTGCCGGTGTTGGAGTCGCATTGTACGTTATATTCTCCTGCCCACGATTTCACATGCTGACCAAATTTAGTTTCGCCATGTGCCTTTTCAGTATGGTTCATCGTCTGGTTTGTCTCTTCCGAGGTGAATCAGCAGAACCCATTGAGCCTGCTCTTGGTGCCTGTCATAAGGCTCCCATTGCCGAGATGTTTGTCGAGGAAGAGAAGTCTGGTCTCATTGTTGATGAGGAGGCTCTCCCCCAGTATGAGCCACGCAACTAGAGTCCGACTAGATAATGTATTACATCTCGATTTGACACCAAAAGGAAACGGCAAAACACTACCAGCACAGGACTTCTATAGAAGGCTCGTTGTCGATTCCAAGATTGAACGTATTTGCGATTGGGTTTAGGATAGGCGTTATAGGGTTGGATGGGGCCATGTTTGATGAACTGGATGAAATCGTCTCAAAGCAGCCGTGACATCCTTGGTAACGAGTCTGAACCGTTGCTGTCCACTCTTTAAAGGGTCTCAATTGTGTCTATCGGTCGGAATTTTGGCTATTCAGGCACTTTTCAGAACAAATAAAAAGAATAACTAACAATCGTGACACGGTGCACTTTTGTAATGTTTGGTGACAGGTTCCTCTTGTTTGATCAAATTGTTTATGCAACTAACTGGGCAAATCCACCGTTGAGTTGATTTTGCCTGCCTACCTAGTACCATAGTACTTGTCAATGGTTACTGCCCCTCACATTGTGCGGACCCTGAAGATGACCACTTCCGCTCCCGTCGTTCCCACTTTGGGGGAAATCCTACGATCCCTAACCGAAGTAGGTCTATGAGTGGATAGGTAACGCGATGTTATTTGCGGGGTTGTAGAGAGGGATCAACTCGCTATTCTCTAGTCCGATTGCCGAGTTTATGTATATAAATGCTTCATTCCCAAATTAACTAGAAGCTTGAATCTCTCATACTTTGGCACTATACGTTCTCCTACTCTTCATCAACCAGAGCTTGAGCAAACGATATCTCCTTCTATTGCAGCCATAACAACTCAAAATGTCACAAACACCTCGCCGCTTCGCTCAAATCGTCAAACTCAAACCTGAGCACCTCACAGAGTACAAGGAAGGCCACGCTCGCGTTTGGCCTGATGTCCTAAAGCAAATCGAGGAGTGCAACATCCGAGATTGTACGATCACAAATCCTAGCTACATTCCATAATCTACCAGAAGACTAACATGTCGAACCATATAGACAGCATCTTCTATGATGACCAGAGCCACATCCTCTTCGCCTCATTCAAGTACGTCGGTTCAGATTATAGTGGCGATATGGAAAAGATGGCCCAGAACCCTCGAGTGAGGGAATGGTGGAAGATGACCGACGCCTGGCAGGAAAGCCTTGTTCCTGGGGCCGTGAGCTCTGAGGCTGGTGAGCCGTCTTGGTGGAAGCCCGTTGAGGAGGTGTTCTACCAACCCTGATGTTTTGCAGAGTATGCAGAAAACAAACACATCACCGCATAACGAATACATTTCACACGACTAAGGAATCATCTGATTGGAATTTCTTTCATTGACGGAATCGTGACATTAAACATTGAGGCCTCTCCTTCGATAAACGCCCGCCAATTTCGCTCGCGAGTTACTTATGATGAAAGGGGGGGTTCAGTAGAATGGAAGTAAAAGGGAAAAGGGGGATCTGAACTGTTTATGCAAAATTTCTCTGCTCGCTTCTTACTTCATTCTCCTTTTCATCAATCAATCCCAGCCCGACACCCTCGCTCATTACCAGCCACGGGCCAGCCTTGGTAAAAAGAATAAGCTGAACAAGGCACTGCAACAAACCGGCTCCGTTATCGCGAAATGCGTATCTACCTAAGTTCGCACGTTATATACAGCGACCACTCTTCACTCCCTGTTCATCTCAGCTCATCTGTGCTGTCTCAAAGCATGAACTGCTCGGTGTCGAACAGACACATATGTGTGAGTGGTCTTGGGAGATGACAAATGACGCTTCGCGTTCCCTCCAATGGTTTCTGACCCAATCGTGATCTTGTACCTCAGCAGGTCCACTGAACTTTTATCGCCTATGCTAACACTCTCGGCCTGCTTCACCAGTACCCCATCATCTTTGCGGGCCTTGGCGAAGAACTTGTCAATGCTGGACTGCGCATCTTGAGCACTATCTACATTCTCTTGTTGCAGTACAAAAAGTACGGCAACCCGTGCAAAGTCGAGAACCTCGTTCGTGATCTGAAACTTGTTCGTTGGGCTCTGCGTTTGTGAGGGGACGGCGGTAGCTGACGTTTTGGTTGCACCTCCAGCGGTCCCTGTTGTAGTGGGCACTTTGTCCGGGTCTCCTTCATCAACAATGAGCTTGGTCGGATCTGCAGTCTCTGAAGATACGACAATGGCAGTAGCAGATTCGGGCATACGGGGTACCAGGGAAGCGGCAGGCGCCTCGTGTTCGTCCTGCTCCAGCAAAGCATTCCTTTTGCGCGCAGCTGCGCCGTCAAATGTGACAAGCGAGTTTTGGGCGATGCAAGAGAGCTCTTGAGAGTTCAGCTTGGCCATAATGGCGGTACCGGACAAGGGAATGGAAAAGTTCTTCTGACTATCCTCAATGAGACGTGGAATGTTCTTGCCCAGTGTCACGTTGCTGAGACTGCCACCCAAATCTGTCATGGTGCAACCATCAGATCCTTCCGCGCTACAATCTGAGCCGGTGAAGCCATTTGTACAGATGCACGAGCAAGTACCCTGGGACATAATGTTTGTTCCACCGTTCTGACACTTGAGTGACTCTTGACATTGGGCAAGTGCAGATTGCGGTTTGTCATGGTTTCCCAAGTTCTTGAAGACGAAGAACTCTAAGGGAACAAGCACAGCAGCCACGATAATTCCCAACAGCAGTATCAACAAGATAACAAATGCCCAAACAGGGAGGCCACAGCAACGCCGGCGTCGTTTACCTGAGCCTTCGTCGGGTGGGGTGTTTCTGCCTACACCATTTCGTGATGGGCCATCGCCTCGTCCAGGGCCAGGTGCAAGAGGCCAAGATGTTGTGCGAAACCAAGAGCCACGGCTCTGTCGACCTGTTGGTTGTGCGGGCGGAGGAAATGCTGCCAGCATATCTGATAAACCTATTACGAATGAGCAAAACGACAGCCTGTCATGTACTGATATCCCCTTACCTGAGTTTTCCTTGTCGCCCCCCCGCATCTGGCCCTTCTCGTCGAAGAAATCATTCAGGTTGTCGAACCGGCTTCCTGGCCGTTTACCATGATCAATCATAGTTGCAAGTCGGGTGGCCCGTCGGATCAAGTCAGGCAAACTCGTCATACTGCCTCGTTCCTCCGCTTTTCTAACAGCATCGATGTCCAGCTTCGGTGGTCGTCGAATCGCTGACAGGCGATTCCAAGGCTGAGGAGATGGCGAGGATGCAGGCACGTGCGAGTCCGTCAAATTGGTCGCACTGGCCGCTGCAAATGCGCCCAGGATGGCATCCGGACTTAGACTGTCACGGGCGTTTTGCCCAGGGGTCGGTGTTTTCGCCATAGGAAGAGTGTTTGAGGAGCTTGTGGATGCATCGACATACCCTGTCCCAGAGTCAAAGGGCTGGACTGGTGACGGCGCAGGCCGGTGGTCAGGTTCCATCTGAAATGACTTGGTAGTAATGAGTGAGGGTTTTCCTCTCTTCCCGATGCTAGCACTGCGGACCAATTTACTCTCATCGTGAAAATCATCCTCAACATAGTCTTGGCTTCTCTCGGTAGCCCCATCATCATAAAATGAAGGGCTGCCGGGCCCAGAGCCTCCGGGCCAACTATCGGGCATGGCGGCACTTGAAGCGTATGAACCGTGTGATCGCGAGTTGAGACTTTCTTCGGGAATGGGCGACACAAAAGATGCGCGTGAGTAGAATGAAGAGACGCCTCGGCGAGACGAAGGGGGAGGGCCCAGATTAGCGCTTGCTCTTGGAGCTCCTAGATTGACGCTTCGTCTGTTGGCTGCTGAAGTTTGGTTGGGTTCTGGAAAGTCAGGAACGGATCCGAGACTGGACACAGTCATTCGCGAAGATGGAGATGGGGGAACTGAAGAGCGGTAGTCGTCGGTTTCCGGTGTAAGAAATACGGGAGTCGGCTCCTGAAGTCGAGACTGGTCGAGCAAAGAAGGAACTTGACTGGGTCGAGGAGGTCGTTGGGGAGCCTGTGTTGGTCGTCCAGGGGGCGGTCGATATGGCTCGGCATCGGGCTGGTTCATAGCAGCCATGGGAGGGCCGGACAGAGGCCATTGAGGTACCGGTTGGGGTCGAGATATAGTGACCCCAGGGTTTGCACTTCTGTCTATGGCATGTTTGGATCTCGGAACCCTTGATTGTCCCATAGTATTGCCATCCATGGGTCGACGGGGGGGAGCCCTCAGTTCCCCAGGCGGATCGTCTTCCATAGGGTCAGAATATGTGTGTTGATGTTGCGAATATCCACCTTGTGCTCTCTCCCGTGCTCTTCTCACAGACCCAGAGGCTGGGTCTGCTCCTCTTCCATCATACGGTCGACTCATCTGGTCCCCTTATGCGAAATCCAGATTTCATTCAAATAGTGTCACACGGTTAGAGATTTGGGAAGTCCTATATGCGGTTCAACTATATGTAGGAAGCCGCTGGGTCGCCGGAACTCGAAATGGTAGAATAATGCGGGTATCCGACAGTTTGCAGCGCTCGAGTTCAATGTTGTCAAGAAGCACTGATACAGCGTTCGTATGTGGTGGAAGGGGGGGTTCTATCCGAACTGTCGTGCTGCAGCATGAAAAGTCGAGTAATGTCGGATTGAGCAAGTCGTACAGCCGCAGGCTAGGTTGGCTTTACGAGAAATCCGCAAACGGGAACAAAAATATGTAAGACGAAAGCGAGAACGAGAAAGAAACGAGTGTGGAAGAAGATAAGACGAATCGAACCAAAAATGAGCGTTTGTTGCACGGTGAACCAGACCTCGCAAATGTCGAACAACGCAAATATGAAATGAACTGCACAAAGTTAGTATTACAAAGGATAAGTAACGACAAATGAGAAATGAAGTGAGATGATGAATATAGCTCTGGAATCGCAAGATCTCAGAAAATGTGAAGCAGCGAAGTCGAAAACATACCAAAGAAGGTCGCGATTTCTACGAGATCATCCAGGTGTGACGAATCAAGCCGAAGCGGAGCTGTGTCGCAATAGGCAAACCAGTATTGCCAGAAATTGATACGTCACAGGGGCTCGCAATCAGCGATTTAAAAAGAGATCAATACGAAGAGCAGATGCAGTGGTCCAGCGTCGAGAGAAAAGACGAAAATCCAGTGGTCGTCGTTGTGACAGTTGAGACGGGAAGCGTGAATCAGGCTTGTTACCAGGCTGGACGAATCGCGTTTCAAAGTTGCTTCTGGAGGGTTTGAGGTTGCTCCAGGTGTCGAGACGATAACGGTTGTGAATGGAAGTTCGGATCGATGAGATACCGGTACCTAGTCGAAAGGAAGGCGCCGGGTGATGAGGCGATTGAATTATCTGTTCTTGCTCTTGCTCCTACTTTGTCGCTCGCTATTGCCCTTTTTTTTAAACGTCAAATTCTTTTGTGGCTCATATAACTCTCAAAGCAGCCAGACAATAGAAAAAAGGGAAAATAGAACGTTGATCTTATTATCCGCTGGGGAGACCGAAAATAGTAATTTAAAAAATAAAAATAAAAAAGAAGTTAGAAAGAAAAGTGTGCTTGACACTGGGATGGCAAGGCACAAGTGAAAAAGAATCAAAGTGTAACGAACGAATGTAATGCGGCGCAGACGACGACAGCTTGGGTCGAGGCAGGCTTGTCGAGAGGCACAAAAAAGTGCGGGTGATGAGAGACAAGATGGAAGGAGCGGAGCGGAAGCGAGAAGAGGAGGGGAGAGCTGGAGTGAAAATGGAAAGAAGAGGCGGGAGTGCAACCTGCCTGGACAAGGTTGAGAGGTACCTACCTGCCCTGTGATGAGGCTATTGGGACCCCTTGAAGTCAAGCAAGGAAAGCACGAAACAAGAACTACCCGCACTGGACAACAGAGCAAATAATAGCTCCGATCTGACCTCACCCTGCTATCAAAGCCATGACCTTTATTAGTTTATGGATACCTTCTTATCACTAATTAATTAGCATTCAAACATGGGGCCCTGGATCAAGATCAGAATCGCTGGCGCAGAGCACAGAGCGAACAGACAAAGGGGACAGAGATGAAGGGGTAGCGGTCGTGACCTCTCGAAAGGGTGTTTCTGTCCGTCCGTTGACGGTAGGCCGTTTTCCCCATAAGCCCATGGAATGATCCGTCCCATCCCATCCCATGCATGTTCTTCGCACGAGGCGAGACATCCATGGAAGACGGGCACCTTGGAGCCACTGTTTCTACTGGTTCCTCGACCTCGTCCTGTCTCAAGATACCCGCTGTCAACCGTCCGCAGTCAGTCCCACCAATTAAGAAAGGATATCATGAGTTGAAACCCCCTAGAACGTGCCCAAGGCTAGGTCGATCCCATGCCAAACATGTCTTAGGAGAAACACTAGCGTGCTATGTTCCTGCAGCCGAGACCCAGCTAGCCTGATCAATATCATCTCTGCTCTCAACACCAGCGCCAATATGCCACGAGATACTCTATCGGATAATTTCTAGGGTTCAGGCTCCGTCACTTGTTGCCCGCATGCATGTACGTTGTAATTAGAACTTGTCCCGTATGCTGTAGGCTCGTTTTCTTTCTTTTTCTCAGGTAGGTCAACGCAATGTGGCCCCATCATGTCATAAGCATAACTGGCCGAATCCATTATTTTGTTTCCTCCACTCTCTGAGCCAAGCGTTGAGCTCAGCCTTGATAAACTCCACACCTATCCGTACAATGAGGCAGCTCACGATCCTTATCCGTCTAGTCCGTACAGCTGGACAAACCGAATCGTCCCGCCAGATTAACACGCTGTGGGTGGGACTTCGAATACGCGGCAACGCGTACCCGTCCCTCGCTCGGATCATACAATAGAGGATCACATCGGATTTGCTCCTTTGAAGCTTAATTAATGAGATTCAATTTGTTTGATGCACTAGCTGCGGTCATGCGCGAATTTATATGGCCAGAGTTCCTTTCCTTTAATTTCTCTGATCCTCGGCCCAGGAGGGTTTTTATCCCATACTGCGCCGGTCTATGTTACCTGATACCATGGTGCTTCGGGATAACGGAAAGAGTTGCCATTAAGCGGTAGGTAGCTGTGTTGGTGTTGCTTCTTTTGCATCTCAAATCGTATCATCCTGTCTTTTAAGGACCCTCGGAACTCAACTCAATTGACGGAGGCTGTGTTTCACCAGATCTGACTTTAATCTACCACTTAATTGATTGGTCAAGATGGTACCCGGAAAAGCCGTTACCGTTACTGTGCCATCTTGTCCCTTTGATTCATGACAAAAGCAATACTACTGGAGTACGGAAGGATATTTGTTTATGAATCACAACCCAAATTGAGGAAAAGCAAACGTGGCTGCGGCTTTTGATGCAATAAAATGCATGCATTAATAGACAATTAATCAATGTGCAAGTCTGACAAGCGACGGGTCATGGCTTGAACAAGGTTCCCATCGCCCTCAACTTACTTGGCGTGTTTCAAGTCTGTACGTAGTGGGGGGCATTGAACTTTTCACGTCATCGATTTGTGGGTCTTGGCAAATGTCGATCATTCATTCAATTTGACAATCTGACCTCTTACCTATTTTCCGATGTGTCTGTAGGGTAGTCAACTGGAATTATGTACAAAAACATACGATGACATCCATCATGGGGATAATTAATTTTGTATGACAATACAAAACTACCGTACAATGAAGCTTGCATGGACTCTAATTCTGTGCAAACTTACAGCCAAGACTTTGTAGATCACAACAAAACCATAAAAAAAAGAACCAAACACTACCTCTATCAGCGAGGATGATGATCATTGACCAACCACGATGCAGATGGGCCAGGCCTTCCATGTGGTGGTTGTATTCGGATTTGACATATTATTTTATTTAACTCTAAATAGCAATCTACATCCGGAAGACTCCAAACTTGGTATCACCCGCCTTGACCTCGTTTCTGCCTCCCATAGCAGCCTGTAAACCGAGACCCAGATATCGTCTTGTATGTTGGGGAGGAATGATACCATCGTCCTGTTAAAGTGTTAGTTTCTGGTTCGGTGCAAAAGAGACAGTGTAGTCACGACTTACCCATAACCGTGCAGAAGAGAATGTAGCATCACTCTCCTTCTCAATGCGCTCCTTCAAGCCTGCATCAACTGTCTTACCAACAGTTTCCATAACAGCAGCTAATTGCTCGCCGCCCATGACACCAACCTTGGCGTTGGGCCACATCCATAGGAATCGCGGGCTGTAAGCTCGTCCACACATTCCGTAGTTACCAGCACCGTAGCTGCCACCAACGACGACAGTGAACTTGGGCACGTCTGCACAAGCCACGGCCGTGACCAACTTAGCGCCATGCTTTGCGATACCATCCCGCTCCGATTGCGAGCCTACCATAAAGCCAGAGATGTTTTGAAGGAAAACCAACGGGATACCGCGCTGCGAGCAAAGCTCGATGAAGTGCGCACCCTTGACGGCTGACGAGGCAAAGAGAATACCGTCATTAGCCACGATGCCAACCTTGTGGCCGTAAATCTCGGCGAAACCAGTCACGAGAGTAGTGCCAAAGTCACGCTTAAACTCAGAGAACTCAGAGCCATCCACAACACGCGCAATGACCTCGCGGATGGGAAGAGGCTTTCGCAGGTTGGTTGTAGCAATGCCAAGCAGTTCCTCAGGGTTGTGGAGAGGTTCCAAGTATGTAGGCTTGGGAGCCTGTGTCTCTGGCGACTTCTTGGGCCAGTTCAGGTTGCTGATGCAGCGCCGGGCCAAGACCACGGCATGAGCGTCATCCACGGCCAGGTAATCTGTTACACCAGACACAGATGAGTGCATCTTACCACCACCCAGGTCCTCGTGGCTGACAACTTCTCCGGTCGCCGCCTTGACAAGAGGAGGACCAGCGAGGAAAATGTGGCCCTGCTCCTGAACGATGATGCTCTCGTCACTCATGGCTGGGACATAAGCACCACCAGCTGTGCAAGGGCCCATAACAACGGCGATCTGGGGGATACCCTCTGAGCTCATACGGGCCTGGTTGTAAAAGATGCGACCAAAGTGATTCTGATCGGGAAAGACGTCGGCCTGGTGGGGGAGGTTGGCACCGCCGCTGTCCACAAGGTAGATACATCTGGGAGCTGTCAGTCAAGGGCGACCTCACAACGAGACCGTTGTTCATATACTTACGGTAATTTGTTCTCTCTGGCAACTGCTTGGGCGCGCAAGTGCTTCTTGACTGTGATAGGATAGTATGTACCGCCCTTGACGGTGCTATCATTGGCGACGATGACACAAGTCACACCCTCGACAACACCCACACCTGTGATGATACCACCTGCGGGTACCTCGGCCTCAGGATAAAGGTCATATCCAGCCATGGGAGAGAGCTCCATAAACGTAGTTCCAGGGTCGATCAAAGCTGTAACTCGATCTCTGGGGAGCATCTTCTTGCGCTCAATGTGCTTCTGTCTGGCCTTCTCAGATCCTCCCTTTTGAATCTTGCGGGCAAGCTCCTGCATGCGGCTCATGACCTCGCTCATTTGCCTCTCATTCTCCTTGAACTCTTCTGACGAAGGATCAACGACAGTCTGAATCCTTGAGATGGCATTGGCCTGGTGTGGTGGAGTGAGGTTTGCGACAGCTCGCTTCTGTGAGCGAGAGCTCTGGCGACCTAATTGTCGACCAAGGAGCAACGCCTGGCGAGATGAACGTGATAGAGTCATTTCTGTGGGATCTTTGAGGGTCGTGAGGATCTACGATGAGAAGAAGATGAGCATCTTTCAAGGGAAATGGACGGGAAAATGAAGCTCTCTCACTGTAATGTAATGTACTGTAATTCTCCAAAGCCGAGACGCGGGCTACGCTAAAAGGCCGAGGCTTGTGACGTCGAAAACCTGGGGTAAGCGGGCCGGCCGCTAGAAGCCGCGAAGAGCCGGGTGTCTCCAACGCGGCTATTGTAGCCTTTGCTGGCCGCGTTTCTATCCCTCGGTCGGTTCAACATCAAACGGAGAAAGGAAAAGTAGAGCAAAGAAAAGAGAATATTCGTATTGACATTCATATCTATCCTCTTGACCTCTGGATATTATCCCATCTCATTCATATTTCTCCACAGCACAGCTTTCACAATGGCAAGCGTACGAACACTCAGGTCATTGGCGCGCCCAGTCGTCGCCCGTCAATGGCGTCCAGCTGTAACTCTCCCCGCTATTCAGTCACGATTGCACTCATCCAAACACCCCAAAGGCTTCGAGGCCCCTTCAAATGAGGAGCTAGATGAGTTGAGAGAGCGAGTGCAAGAGTTTACTCGCCGCGAAATCACAGAGGAAGTAGCAGCCAAGACAGACAAGACAAATGCTTTCCCAGCAGAGATGTGGCAAAAGCTGGGTGAAGCTGGCTTCCTCGGCATTACGGCCGACGAGGATGTGGGAGGTCTCGCTATGGGTTACCAGGCACACATCATCGTCATGGAAGAGCTATCACGAGCTTCTGGTTCAATCGGTCTCAGCTACGCAGCACACTCACAGCTATGCGTCAACCAGCTACAGCTCAATGGATCACCCGAGCAGAAGCAAAAGTATCTGCCCGGTCTTATCGCCGGCACAAGCGTCGGAGCGCTGGCCATGTCTGAGAACAGCGCTGGCAGTGACGTTGTCAGCATGCGAACAACAGCAAAGGCTGTGGATGGCGGATATGTCCTGAACGGATCTAAAATGTGGATCACCAACGGACCTGACGCTGACTTTATCGTGGTTTACGCAAAAACCGAGCCGGAGAAGTCTTCAAAGGGTATCACTGCTTTCATTGTGGATACAAAGACCGAGGGCTTCAGCTGTGCTCGCAAGCTTGACAAGATGGGCATGCGCGGCAGCAACACCGGCGAGCTCATGTTTGACGGTGTTTTTGTGCCTACAGAGAACATTCTCGGTAAGGTCAACGGAGGCGTGCGAGTCCTGATGGAGGGTCTTGACTTGGAGCGACTGGTGTTGAGTGCCGGGCCCCTTGGTATCATGCAAGCCGCACTCGACGTTGCTCTGCCTTTTACACACCAGCGCAAGCAATTTGGTCAGCCTATCGCCCATAACCAGTTCCTTCAAGGCAAGCTGGCAGACATGTACACCAAACTTCAGGCTTCTCGTTCATACACCTACTCAACAGCCAAGGCGGTGGATGAGAACGGCTTGATCCGCACACAAGACTGCGCAGGAGCGATCTTGTATGCCGCAGAGCGAGCGACTGAATGCACACTTGACTGCATCCAGCTTCTGGGTGGAATGGGATATGTTGAGGAGATGCCTGCGTCGAGATTACTTCGAGAGTAAGTTTACCCCTCCACGCAGTCGGAGTCCCAGTCATGAAGAGACCGAAATGACTTCGACGCAAATACACACAGTCCAAGCAGTATACTGACCACATATACAGTGCTAAGCTATATGAAATCGGTGCCGGTACTTCCGAGATTAGACGTATGGTTATTGGCAGAGCTTTTAACAAGGAGTATGCGCAAGCATAAAGCGAATGCCAAAACAAATATAACCAACGCGTGGATTTAGAATTCAACAAAGTGAACTAGAAAGCCTACAAGCGACGGAGAAGCTTACTGTCAACAAGCATAAGACATGGAACTCAGGAAACGCAACTATCACTCGATTGAAAGTGTGAGGTTATTAGACGATGGTGAGCCAAATGTTGACCATTTCTACATATTTAGATAAAGAAACAAAACTGCAATAATAAAAATACCTACTTGAAAAGACACAGTATTGTGGAGCAAGTCTGTTCTAACAGATATTCTGCTATAGCCATAGAATAAGTGGCCTATGGCAGCAGTAGAACTTATAGAAGTCTACAAACGCTGATCTAGACGTGATAACTGCGTGTTTACTGGCCACCATGGTAAGGGTGCCAGGTGCTGCAAATACTTGATCACACTGGTCATGAACTTTCCCATTGCATATACTATGGTAGGAACAAAGTGCAATACGGCGGAGTTGTTGTTGACGATGATAGGCCCCACATTGAGAAAGATACTCTGCTATCCCCGTGACATGCTAACAGTGCCCAGCTTCATTGCCTTCGCTTAAGACGGTTTGGTTGCAGACAGTTTCTAGCCGGCTTTAGAACAGAGAGCCCTGGTCGAATTTGCTTTTGACGACCGGTCTGGTCGTCTCAGCAATGGTCCTCATGACCCGACGATCATACTTATTTAACCAAGATCTGTCAAATTCTATGATTTTCTTCTTTAATTTCCTCTTCTCTCTTCTCAAGAGAGATACGTTAGATTCGATCGATCGGTGCTGTGACTACTATGCATTGCAGTAAACTATCGTGTATTGAATCTCCAGCTTTGGTATACCGAATGGTGAGATGGTGCACAGCCAGCAGATGCACACACCGAGTTTAATAGCCTCGCCAACGACATGATGATATGATGGCTTTTCTTGGCCCAATGCCGCGTGTACATCTTTGCTTCTTTCTCCAGCAGGCTCTGCCAGTGTCTCGATCACCGATCATACAGTAGAACGTTGCGGCTCTGAAACACTCGGCCGGACACGAGCGATGTCGACGACTGTCTAGAACGTGTTGGAAGCTTTTCCTGATGCCGTCGAGCGGAGCCGGTTGACGCAGAGAAGCGACCACGGGCAGAGAATGCAGAGATCATTGGAAGTGAGGGAGGTGAATTCCATGGGTATCGATACCCATGCCCTCTCCTTGGTTGGGGAAGCTGTTAATCCAGTGGAGAATTTCTGTGACCTCCACACCAGATGCCAAAAATGGGAACCCGGGATCGTTTAAAGTGTTCAGGGGTTATCCACTACCGCGATCGGACTTGTACAGTCTTGACTACCTATACAGTGCAGTAGGCTTGGGTTCCAATTGTCGAAAAGTTGCTGCCTGCCAACTATGTTGATATTGGAGCTAGCATTCATCTCTGCTAAGATATCGAGAGTTTTTCTGTTTGCAGTATAGTCGCGAAGTTAGCAGTTAGATGAAAGCCAGGCCAGATCCTTGAACAAACTTCTTCAAGTTGATGCCTGGGGCGGGGCAGTACCATCCATCACGGTCATGGCTTGCAGATGGATGGGTGGGTGGACGGATGGTTGGGCAGTGCTGGACTGTGATGTACTCATTTGTTTTGGTAAGAGGAGACAGTAAGATGGGAATTCGAATTCTAGACCGTCGTTGCTGATACAAATTGGATCATCTGAATTGGATCCATGCATCCTGTCGCAAGGATTGAGGACTCGAGATGGAAATTGTGGATTTCAAGATGCGGTCCCGGGGGTTATCCAGGGGAAAGGAAGCCGCGCCGGACGGACCGGGGGTGGGGGTGGGGGTTCACCTTCCATCTAGCTTGGTTTTCTCGGTGAAGCAAGTGGGGAGCTAGAATAGCTGACATCCATCTTCTGTTCTTTCCAGATTCCAGATGGTAGACCTACAGCTACAGCATGCAGGCAGTACCTACCCAGGTATACTGTAAAAATAGAAGTACTCATCAATCAGATGAGTCTCGTACATTCTATTCTACATACCGTGCAGCTCAATTGAAATAGAATAAATACCAATCAACTCTCCCACTTCAGCTCCTCTGCTAACTCCCCCTCAATTGTTCGTAATTTGACTTGCGTCTCAGTCATCATTATACCATCAGCATATCTTTTCCCCGTTTCGTTCCTGGGCGCTAATCATACACTGCTAATCCCTGCACCATCGACGTCAAACTCCAAGAGGAGAAGCTTCAGCTTCATTCCCTCCCTACCGCCACTTCAAGTGAGCTCATAGCTCATAGCTGGCAGCTGGCAGCTGGCACACACTGCTCATTTTAAATCCATAAGACAAAATCCTTCCGCTATCTCCTCGATTCTTTCCTTCCTCTTCACCTCCGTTTTCTGCCGTGACGTCTTCAATTTCTTCGTCAGCCATGTCTTTTGCACCTGCTTTGCGCCTCTGTGCGCGTCGTGCTGCTGCCCCGTCCGTTCTTCGCCCTGCCTTCACCCTTCCTGCTGTGCGAAAGCTTCACAATTTCCCTCCTCGTCAGGACAAACCGGGAAAATACGCCCAGACTGATCCTCAGATCGAGGTTGAGTACCCCGAGGACCATGAGCTCCCCAGCAGTGAGCCTGTCTCGGGCACTGGTGGCCAGTATGTGAAGCCCACCCTGCCTACCTTTTCGCTCGACGGCCATGTTGGTATCGTCACTGGTGGAGCGCGCGGTTTGGGTCTTGTCATGGGACAGGGAATGGTATTCTCTGGTTCCAACCTTGCCCTTGTTGATATGAACAGTAAGTAACTGCACCTCGTGAAAGGATAGGATTCTAATGCCATTGTAGAGGAGGAGGCCGAGAAGCAGACCAGTTTGATCATCGAAGAATTCAAGAAGGAGAATCCTCGAGCTCGACGGTAAGCTCACCAGTTTTCGAAGCTTTTTGTTTGACAAAATCAATGGCTCACTTCTTATAGAATCCCAAAGGTCACGGCTCACTATGCCGATGTGTCCGATCCTGAGTCTGTCGAGGCATGTATTGCCGAGGTCGTTAAGGAACACGGAAAAGTCGACAATCTGGTCACATCAGCTGGTTTCACAGAGAATTTCGAAGCTGTTAACTACCCTATCGACCGTCTTCGCAAGCTCTGGGCTGTTAATGTCGACGGCACCTACCTGTTTGCAACCTCAGTCGCCAGGCACTTGATGCAGAGGAAGGCTCCTGGTAGCATAGTCATGATTGGTAGCATGTCTGGCTCCATCGTCAACGTTCCGCAGCCACAGGCTCCCTACAATGCCGCCAAGGCTGGAGTGCGCCATCTCGCTGCTTCCTTGGCCGTTGAGTGGGCTCAGGCAAATATTCGAGTAAACTGCATCTCCCCCGGTTACATGTTAACCGCACTGTAAGATATATCATTGGCCTTTTGCCCAAGAGCCGCTTGGCTGACACACCTACTATAGGACTCAGAAGATTCTCGACGACAACCCCGATCTCAAAGCGAAGTGGACCTCGCTCATTCCTCAAGGCAAGATGGGACAGCCCCAAGATCTTATGGGACCCGTGGCATTCCTTCTATCTGATGTAAGTTCTGCCACACGACACTGTGAATGCACGACTGACCGCTCCAAGGCTTCTTCTTATGTGACAGGAGCCGACATCCGGGTTGATGGCGGCTATACAGTTACCTAAACTTTGCGCAACAAAACGAAAAGGAGTTCGGTCAAAATTGCACTGTTTCTAGTTTACACGAGCGACTTTGGAATTCGATAATACATCTAATGATAGGATAGCAGGATACCGACATATCGAGCACCCTGGAATTCAGTTAATCACGTCTTGTATTGCGACCATAGCTGGTTCAATATACATGTTGCGATGTCTTCTCAAACATTTGGGTGTTCTAATCCTGTTAAAGTGCCTATAACACTCAACCATCCATTATACAGTCATTATGAAATCGGAGAGAAGCAGTCCGGATGATATGACCTGCTTGATTGGAGTTATTCACCGTGACAATAATTATGCATTAAGGCTCGAGTCTCGGTAGTGTATTCTCAGACCAAATTTTGGTATATGCCGCGAAATGAAGGGTACTTACCTGTATTCGAACAGAAATATTGAGATTGTGCGACACGGCCCGAGATCAGATGGCTGCACCGCACCTTAAAATCCATGGCATTCCCGGATGCAACCTGCGGTATTGCCGAAACAAGATCAATCTATTGAGACGTCAGCATGTTCGTCAACTCCGAGGCCACGGTACAGCCAAACAGCTGCCCTTGTGGGTTAGTGTTGGCCATTCAACTCGGGTTCTGTGCTGTACATACATAGTGGTTACAGTACATTAGCAATGGGTCCCTGTACGCCCAGAATGCAGCCACAGTGGATGTAATTTGTGTGTGTCGGTGCGTGAATGTGACCTGCAATCTGGTGTACAGTAAGATGGCGATCCCTGGGCAGGTAGGCTATTTGAGCGGACTGGGCAATTGCAGGTACTTTGTACAGATAGCTATTCTACATTACCTCAGGGACTTAGGTGTGTAGCTTCTGAGCAGCAAGGTGCATTATATCCAGACGGTGCAAGTCAGCATCGGCATACAATGATGAGATAGGAAGCTAGTAGTTTATTTTTTGATCATTCACAACCCCTCATGTTCCATTGAAGCTCAGTCCCGGGATCTTAAGCAAGGATCCCCACAACCACAAAGCTTGGTGTGGTTCAAAGCGTGGGGGGGGACCTGTCAATCCGATGCTGGATAATGGATGGTCAGATTCGTTTTGTGGTACCTTACACTGAAGTATTGGACACGTGGGTAAACGAACGATAATCTGAGTGAGAGAGATGGATTGTGCGTGTTTACTTATCTTATGTATGCAGTAGGCCGGCTTCCGTCTTGGATTCTATTATACCCGCCCCAAATAGAGCTCCAGGAAGCTTGAGCTCTCCACAGTTAGCCGACGTTCCTCTCTAAGCCGACTTTAGGTATTGCTGATATCAACCATTTCAGTCCTAGGCACGGACACTTGACCTATTATGAGGCAGAGTGCTATGACTTCAATAGTCTTGTCGGCCGAGATATCTATGTACTGTAGAGGTTGACGGGGTGGCTGACTCTGAACCCCTCCTTTCATCATCTCAACGTCAGGTGCTTCCAGGAACGAGTCGATGGTCGCCCTAGTCCTCAAGGTAAGAGGACACTGGGCTGGGTTGGATTGATCTCGTGAAAAGTAAAGCAAGGAATAATCGCGAAGCGGGGAAACCCATAACAAAGTCTGATCAATATCGTATCGTATTGTATGGATCCTGTACTGGGTGGCTGATCTGGTCCGTCACACGACCACAATGGTTCTGGGCAACGAATGACCCCGCCAAGAAACAGATCAGAAGACTCGAAGAAATTGACGCTTCTGTAAGGGGAAAGGCAGGAGAGGAATAAAAAGAAAGGAACGACGATAGAAAAAGGAAAGGAAAGGGTTGAACCGGCATGGAGGGGAAACCCGGTAAAACTCTCAGTCCAGCCAACCCTAAGGATTACGATTGCATGGCTGGCCATCCAATGTCAGGGCTTGTGTCAGACAATGTTAGGGGTTCAGTTTCTGAGTGGCCAGAAGACCAACAAATATAGAGGCATTTACCAACTGAGTCGCTAAGTAATTTGTTCTAGAAGTTGTTGGGTGTGAAGGCCATGTTTCGGTAGGATCGATGATCGTGCCGTATTGGGTGGTTTCGAGTCAGGAACTGCCTGCAGCAGTCAAGGGATAAGAGACAGGATATACCTATGTAGAGAGCCGCAAAGCGCGTGCATTGGGTGTGCGCAATGCTTGTTTCGAGTTTGAAAACTCGCAAGTCCAGTAACCATTAGTTCCATACGATGGCTTATTACTGCAAGATATCCAGTATCCGAGTAGTTATATCCAGCTCAGTCAAGTTTGTCAAGACCAAGTCTTTGTTCAATGAATTTCTGTCCTCGACCCAAGGCGGTGAGTTTGCTTAATTGCCTATCATGCTCGGTCTGCACGAAACATGTAGGCCGTCCAGGTCCTGATTCAAAACGACAGCTCGCCCTGCATACAGCCGGGCAGTACAGGTACGGTACTGTACAGCATGTCATGTCGTTGACTCGGAAGTTGATGATTGGCGATATCTCATGTCAATAATGGCCTCGTGATCTTGATGCTGAGGTCCCTGTCCTTGTCCCTGTTACCAGGCTCAGCCACCGGGACACGATGACACGGAAAGAAATGAGGTGTTCAGTATCGTATAAGTACCTTGTAGATGGGCTACTGCAGTGAAGTCCACGCAAATCCAGATACCTATGAAGCTGAGGATCAGGATCATCGTCATTTTTCAATGTCAGCCATGGACTAGGTAAGTATCTAGGTAGGTACCTTGCTTATTGCAAATGTAGATTGGATGTCAATGCAAGATATCCTCCATATAAAGCTCAACTCCGTCCATCTCAGCCGCTCGGCACACACCCGACGTCACATGGTAGGAAGGGGTGCCCGCGTGTGCGGTAGTTCAGGTTCCAGTGTAACCTGCCTCCATTGGACCCGAACTAGGTAGCCTCCACTATCCGTACCTTGGTAACTTACAGGCGATCTAGTGGGCTAGGTATGGGAGATACAGCACCTATGACCCAGCCACTAGGAACCCGTCAGCCCGTCAACCTCTAAACTCGGAGCCTGAAGGTCCCAGGGAAGAACTGGAGCTAAGCTGGGGAAGGAACAGCTCAACCGACAATCGAATCAAATCAGATCAACATAAACATAAACATAACATCTCTCTCCTCCACATTCGAATTGTCTTTCACCCTTTCAGTTGTGGCCTTTGCGTGCCCCTGGTTAGGTTTCCTATACATGTATTCGTAGCAAGGACCTGGTAGCACCTCTCGATTCTCAACTACGAGACAGCTTAGGTACAAGTGTCTACCTCAGGTACTTACTTTGGGTACCAATCTCCACTACCAACTACATACTATAGTAGGTACATACTACCTTACAGAGCCATCCCTCACCTCAACTCACCTCCATCGAAGCGATAGACTGAACTTGCTGGCTGATAAGTCACTGTCACTGTGACCTTGACCCCTGGCCTTTTAATCGATGCAGAGGCTCTGATGCGTCGACAGGGCACTCACTCATCAAAAATTGGATCATTTTGGCCTGGACCGGTCAGCGAAGCAGAGAAACAGCGGCCTCTCCGGAGGGTAACTGACCGTCTTTCGCCGCCGTCTTATTAGCCAAACAAGCCGACCAGCTCCTTTTCATCAATTGCCCTACCTCGTCACAGGCCGACAGTAACAAACCATAATTGCCTGCCTACCTTGTTATAGAGGCTGCGGCGACATATCGAACTTATTATCTTCCTCCTCTCTCTGGGTGTTTTCCAAGATTATTTCGCCGGCAGCGTCATCGACTCCGAAACTCATCGGCATCAAGTGTGAGCGCCTTTCGAATACCCGAATACATCAACTTATCCCTTCACCTTTGAGGCCGGTGTCGACTACCAACTCCGACGTCACCGCCGCCGCTATTGAAGTTTTCATATACCCCGGCCCGACGATTTCACTAGACCGGATCCTACCCATGAGCTTGAGCTGCAAGTATTCGATATCTTCAGCCATTATCATCAGTTCCTCCACTGGCTCTCCACCGTCTTTTTCGCCGGCTCACTAGCAGGTACTGACTTTTTCACCTTTGGACCCTTAAATTTTCTTTACATCTGTAACCCAATCCCTCTTCGTCCCATGTGTTCCTAACCATAGCCCGCAGACTTTCTCAATTGTTAAATCTCGAGTTGCGGATGTAACAAAAGAGTTCCGAACGCCTTGTTACACTTACACAGCACTTATGTATTCGAACGGCCCTCTCGATTTAGATACCATCTGCAACTAAAAGCTCGCGCTGAGCTAAGCTTTCTACTGCAACACCACCTGAGTCTCACCCAGCAAAGTTGTTTCGCTTCATCAGTACAAGGTCCACTGTTAAATCACTTCGCCGCTTTTTTCACACACGAGAAGCCAATTTTTTGCGTCACGAGCTTACGAGTCGCAAATCATCTCGAAGCTCTTTTTTGCAACAGTGTTTCTGTGGGAAGGAATCAACAATTACTGACCCACGTGAGGAAACAAACTAAGAACAGAGACAAAAGGTTCTGTAACCCGGACTTTTTGTGCGCCCTCAATTGCTGTCAGCTACTGCACTTCTCAGTTCGGGTTTTGGTGTTGCCGAGCTCAGGCGAATCTGAACGACGACTGCGCCGATTCGACAATCACCCACTACCACGATCTACTTTACCTTGCTCCCAGATCTCAAGGCAACTGCACTGAAGCCTTATGTTCCTTGCAAGCGGCAGAAAAGAAAGAGGAACGACTTTCATCGATCACTGACATTGTGCGCCCACAATCACTCAGCGCCATTGAGTCACTTGCACGCCGATCACTTACCCATCACTGTTGAAACGACAATGCTTCATTTGTAGCCGTCGATAAACACTGCATCAAGAAACCGCAAGGGCATACTTGCAGACCGAGTCTCTTCTCTACAAGTCTGTACCCTGTCGCCGCAGAATTTACGCATGGCAACCTGACCCTGCCGGTACTCGCAACTCCAACCATGGATCCAAATATGCCTATGATTCTGCCAAAGGGCATTGTCACGAACTCGAAAAATATCTATAAGGAGGTTGCTGAATTCCCTCTTGTGCCTCCTGAAAAAGTTTGGAAATATTGGCATGGTAAACTCATTACTTTGACACGTCTTGAATACAGCTCACACTTGCTTAGTGTACACTACCACATACAAAAAGCTTAAGGATCCGACAGCCTGTCGGCTCGAGAACTTTTGGTGGCACGTATGGGGAAGTGATCGCAGGTTTCTCAAAGGCAGCGCCCTAGCCAAACTTTACGAAGAGATCTCTGTTGGGCCAACTTTTGTCCCCCTCAAGGGACCACCAAACCGATGGGAAGGACCCGATGTACGTAGCAGTGAGGCCTTTGGCCAAAAGAAACCCTACCCCTTTCACCAACTGACACAGTGTAGATACCCCCCCTAATCAAACAAATTCTGGAAGCTGCTGCATCACAGGCGACCCCACCTCCACCACAACCTCAAGGGTCCCGCCCATCAAAACCTACCGACTCGGCATTGAGAACGCTATCTTCGAGTGCCTCAAAACCGCCACCAGCTCACCCGATCTTGAAGAAAGCCCGAGGGCCGTCAACATCAGGGCCGCGGCCCACGGCTCGCTTTGTGTCACCCCATGAATCCGCAGATGAAGATGAGATTCCATCGTCAGGAAGCACAGCTGCAACAGCATCTGAGGCACCCGTTTATGTAGCGGCTTCGCCGAAGAAGAAAACAACGGCTGTACCATCTCCACAGAAGCTTACTCCTTCACCCACTGCTAATAGGAAAATGACACCATCGAAAACGACTCCAGTTGCAGAACCCTTAATTCGAGAAGCTGGGTTTGGAACATCTGGCGGGTCACGAAATGCCGCTCTGGAGCGGCTTGTACCTCCCAATACCCGCACAAGTGTGGAACACGACCTACCAACGAGCAGCCAAAGCAATGGTACGGTTAAGGAGCGTCCTGTGATGAGCGCAAAAGCACGTGGGAAACAACCAGCTGCACCTGTTCGGCCGGTATCATACAGGAACGAAGTAGCAAGTGATGTGATAGAGGAGGAAAAACGGCCGTCGCCCTCGAAAGATCGACCCAGTAGCATTCATCGCGAAAAAGGAGTGCTTCCTCAAGCTCGGTCTCTCATCAACCTTTCAAATCATGGATCGCGGAGAGGGTCTACGACCTCGTCAAGATCGACATTCGGAGTCGGATCCCTGGAGAGTAATCAGAGCCAAGATCCGCCTTATATGGCTCGATCCCAGTCTCATGGAGGACACGACCGAGCAAAGTCGCAAAGTAACATCAGAGCGCCAGGGCTCTTCACGGAGGCCACCTCGTCAACATCCAATGTTGCTGTCGCAGGCACAATTCTCGATCAGTCTGGTTTTGGATCCACATCGGACTTGAGCAGCATCGATCACACACGACCCGAGCACCATACCATTCCGGCTGTACCACCCCAGCCCTCTGTTCTCGATGCTCGCTTCACTCCGACTCCGCCGACTACATCTGCCAGTGTACCTTTAGGGCGCACAAAAAGTCAGCTAACGCTTCTACTTGAACGTGAAAAGGCACGTGGCAGTGACAAATCGCGATCAAAAAACTAGTGTTCACCACTTCTTTCAAAACCAATATTTTGCTGTTGCATATACTTATTGCGAGGTCTTGGAGCGTCTATGCATGACGATTTTCTAAACGAAAGTTCGACTTTCTTAAGGAGAATGTACACAAACTTCCTTATAGACGTGGAGTGCGTGACTATGGAGTTGTTGACGGGCACATGAGGATGTCTACGGTTTGCATTTCCATCTGATAGGTTGACTGCATTTGGTAATCTCTGGCTGCGGTGTCCAGGTTTGAAAGCTACATAAAAGGTTCTTTCTAGATAGATGAACGATTTGGGGGCAAGGCGTTGACGGCGAAGCTAAATCCGACCAACTTCAGATGGACAGATACAGATAGGAAAGGCAACGGGAACGAGTTGGGTGATACCATATAGAACTAAAAGCAATATATCATAATAGTATGCTCGCGGTGCTATTAAGAATAAAAATAATGCCTTCTAACATATCCAATTATCGGCGTAACATCGTGTCAGACGTAAATTCAAGGACATTAAAACCAACAGTAATAGTATCAGTTGCGACGTGTAAGGATGCGGCTTAACGAGGTATCTTATGTTGCAGTTAGGAAACCTAAGAGGAAGATAAATAACTACTATATATTATGCTCGGCCCATTCTCAATCCTGGTTTGCACCTTGTATGTTATCCAACCGTTTTAACCATCCATTAATTCATCCAAAGTGAGCCCATAGTTCGTGAACGAAGCCAAGAACTGTCGATGGCGCATTATCGAAAGCAACAAAAAACGCACCAATGTTTTATGAAACAAAAGGGATGTTTGTAGCGAGTGTTTTTGAGTGTGATACGCAGAGGAATGACATGATTGATGAAGCGTTGCACTGTAACAATTATTGATTATAAAAACCATGAGGGTAGTAAAGTATGGTGAGAAGATATCACTCATTCGTCAAGCTTGAACATTCTGCGCAGCGTTCCGAATTTCTTCTTCTTGGGCGTGCCTACTTCTGAACCGTTATCGGACCTAGCATGGGAACCGATTTGGCTATGAGAAGTACTGCGGCGCTTGAGGAAGCCCGTCTTTGTTGTTGGGGATGAAGGAGATCGGCCGACACCGCCAGCAGTTGAAGGCCTCTTCTCCTCATCCACTACGTATGTGTTTTGAGAACCATCGTCGAAGTGATCCTCCTCTTCGTGAGCCTGCTCGTGGTCTTGAAGAGGCCAGTTTGTCCCACGTTTCTGCAGGCGTGGGTTGTGAGCAGCCCCCTCACTGTTGCTCCGAATAACGGCAAGACGCTCTGGTGCTCGCTCTAGATGAGTATCTCTTCGTGATGCACTCTCATTCGTATTGCGAGAAATCTTATCAGAAGGATCCTTCTTACGACGCAGAATGGACGACATGAAGCTGCCTCGCCGCTTATGACCTGGTCGGGCATCCGTTTTCTCGACATTGTCAGTCTGCACCCCGAAGCTGCCTCGTCCTGACCCATTTCGATTGAGGACGGGGGTAGATCGAGACGCTGCACCGTTGGAAGCGATCCTTGGTTGTGTCTGCTTTTCCTCGTCATCGCTGTCTGGAAGATCAGGGGAGTCCTCGACGCCAGCACGAGAAACAGGGGCTTTCATGGCAGCGGCCGCGGCGTTGTTCGAAGCCGAAGCCCGCATTGTTTTGGGTACACGTTTGTGCTTTGGTAGGGGTGAAGGAGTGTCATCGTCACTGGAATCAACAAATCGACTGCGGAAAGCTGGACGAGACTCATCTTCGTCGCTCGAATCGTCAAATCGACTGCCGCTTTTTGACTTCTTAGCTTTAGCCGGGCGGCCAAAGCCAGAGACACGCATGCGAGAAGACCCGTTTTCACTTGGTTCGGAACGCAGCGATTGACGCATACGACTACCCATCGCAACAGGAGGAGGCGAGCTTGTGTTAGAGTTGCGTCTAAATCCTGTAGGCGACAGAGATCGCAAGCTGAACCGGCTATTTGCCCGAGCACTTTCTTGAGGCGACGCTGCTGCCGTTGCTGCCGGTTCTTGTGTACTGCCTCTCATCGTCCTACGGAAACCAAGCCCTTCTCCACCTCCAGCCTTTGCGCGACGGAAACTGCTTTCACTGGAGTCGGATCCTCGGCGTGCCAGAGTTGGCTTCGTAGCGTTTCGCATAGTAGGACCTCTGTCTTCAGAATGTGTCCGACGTTGTGTTTTAACTGGTTCAGAAGTGGTTGCAGGTTGGTAAGATGTCGGCCGGGCTCCGTTTCTCAGAGTTGAAGCCATATTGGTGCCATTGGCTGTGGACCCGTTCGCTCTGAGCGACTTACGCATCCCAGTGTCTTGAGTAGCGGTATTTGCAGGCTCTTGGCGAAGAGATTTGCGTAGATGGCCTCCGTTTGAATCCTGCGGAGTCGACGGGGAAGCACCGGATCTCATAGACTTTCGCATGCTGCTTCCATTTTGAGCTGGCTCTGAATGTTCGGGTGCGGGAGCCGCGGCGCCTCGCATAGACTTTCGGAGCTTACCACCCGCAACTGACTTCGTCTTATCTGAAGTAGAAGCTTGCGCCCGAAGCTTCTCATCATCACGACGGGGCCAGCTCGTACCCGGTTGGATTTGATACACTCGGTTGGGGTCGCGAAGCTTTTCCGAAATAGACATTTCATTATCTTCCAATGGCTCTTGAACAGCCTCTTGAACAGTCTTTTCCTTTGGTTGAGTCTTTGTCCTGTGCTTTGGTCGACGTACTGCTTGTTCTGGAATGGGTTCCTCGTCCGAATCCTCCATGGCCTCCTTTTCAAGCTGACGCCTACCTTCTGGACTTAAGCTCCTCCAATACGCCTTCGCAGTCTCCCAGTCGTTAGGTGTTTGTAGAGGCTTTGGCGGGATACTCTTTGCCGGCGAGGATTGCTGGGATGCATCGGCCTCTCTAGATTTGGCCATAGCCTTCTCCAAAACCTTTTGAGGGACTGCGGGCTCGACAGGGCTGTCAACGACCGCATCTAGTGATAAAAACCCATCGCCCTCCATATCGGACAGGTCCTCATAAGCATCACTGTAAATGCTGCTTCCATCTGATTCCTCAGATTCTTCTTGAATGTCATGCATCTGAGAACTTGAAGATACCGCACCAGTTGAATCGAAAGATCGGCGGGTAGTAATCGGTGTTGACTCCTTGCTGTCGTCCGATATTCCCTTCCTGTCAGTGTCGGCGCCTGTGCCTGCGGAAAACCCTCCAGGGACATCGAAGAAGTCCGAGGGCGACTCCGCTTGGCTCTCGTCGGGCATCCGCGGACTAGGATGTATTATTGAAATCGTCGGTATATTATCGCTGGGACTAGACTTTTCTGAATTGCCATCAGGCAGACTGGCTTGGTCGTTGACTGTGGTTTGGGTTTCAGCTACAGGCTCTATGGATGCCTGGGTTCCAGGATTGCTGATATCAGATTCAATATCAGATTCCATGTCACTGTTACTGATATACCCTTGGCTGTCAACAGATGTGACCACAGGAGGTAGTGGCTCTCGGTATCTAGAAGTGTTGGCCTCATTGCGAGAGGCTTGTTCTTGTGACAACACGGATCCGATAGCTTGATCACTAGACTGAGCCAAATCAGAAGGGGATTGATTGTCAACATCCGTAGGGTTTGAGCTTGAAGAGACTGGGGGTGATGCTGATCTTTCCATGGGCCGCACCAGTGGTCGTTCCTCGGGTTCTCTGGTCTTCTTCTCACGAATACTTCCAAAAGAGGGAAGGGCGGGGCGCGGTGTCATCGTTTCCTCTTCGTCCAGGGTTATCGAGTCTCTCTTGTTCCGTCCGATGATGCTATGCCAGGACTTCCTTGACTGGGGGCTGGATAATTGCGATGTATCTGAATCAGATGCCGGCACAGGCTCACCCATGATTGCTGTGTTCCCATCATCAAAGCTGACGCGCACACTTTTCTTTCGTGTAATATCTGAATCTTCTCGGGCCATGCCTGACCAAGCGGCGGAGGCGTCTGAGCCGTCCTCTGATGGAGAGACATCGCGAGGACTAGAATACTTGAGTGCAGACTTTCGGGGTGACAACGACCGTGGAGGCGGCTCGTGTCTGACCAGTAGTTGATCCGTCTTTGGCGCAAAATGTGTTGTTCGAGCAGGGCTGCGAGCAGGACTTTCAGAATGCACACGAGTTCGACGCATGCTGTCGCTCTGGTGGTCTATTGGGGTCGAAGCCTGCGTTTGTTGATGGGGAGAGGTAGATTTCACAGGGATTGCATCTACTCCATCCATTGGGTGCTCTCTGGAGATGGTTGCTTCGACTGGCTGACTCTCTTCTTCCAACTCAGGGTCTTCATGCACAACAGACGGACGCTTCCTAATGAATGATTCAGACCTGACAGTTTGAGGTGGATTCGTAACAGTATCCTCTTTTGGCCTGGAGGTTCCGGCTTCCGATTCCAGGTCAGACTCATCCATTCTTGGCTCCTCGGGCAAGTTAACCTTTGTCTCGGGCTTTGCACCACGTTCAACACCAGATTCAGACTCAAGATCAGATTCTATCTCAGAATACGGCTCTGGTTTGGTCTGGCTGACCTGGGCATGAGGCCGTGTAACTGCCGCATGGGCAGCTGGTGAGCTTTGTGTCGATCTGGATGGTGGAGAGCCCGGTTCGACAGCCGTACCCTTCAATCGCCCTACTGTTCCCTTAGAAAGATGGCTACCACTCCTGGAGACTTCATGCTTGTGCTTGCGGACAGGCTTTTCGGATGCGTCCCGAACGCTTTGCTTTTGCATCAGAAGCTGTGCTTGGGGAACCATCCGTCTCGAGTTTGGATCGTATACCATCGCATCGCTTGCCGTATCCGATGAATCAGTCATGGAACGGGGATACGAGAAATTGATAGAACTTGGGCTACTTGGACGCAAGTCTGCCGAATTTCTTTTATCAGCTACAGTGGCTCGTCGCATATTAGACAAGTCTCCAGCTGTAGCTGCGCCGAACCATGACCCTTGTCCATTTTTCATCTTTTGGCTCGCCGTTTGGAAAGACTGAGTTTGTAGACTTGTTGCCCTCTTATGAGCTGAAACTTTTCCGTCAGGTTTACTTTGGTCGTTCTGAGGAATCTTGGGCACGGGAGGAATATCCTGGGGTTGCGGAACAGGGTTCCTCGCCGGTGATGGCGAAGGTGAACGGAAGGTCCTTTCTGTCATAGAATTTGCACTCGGTGATCGATGGAGCTCCCGACTCCTCCTGTCCCGACTTCCAGTAGACGACACAGATGCACTCCTGCGCGCAACTCGCTTCGATTGAACCTGAGATACATTGGTAGGCGTGGTAGGTCGAGCTTTCAGAGCGGCTGCGGCTGCCGCTGACGAAAGAGATGGCGTTGTTTCCCGTCGCAAAAACGCCGAGGCGGCTGCGGTCGCAGCATTGGGATTGGCGGTCTCCCGGGTCAACGGCTGAGATGAGATTGCCATGTTAGCAGTGCAAGAGTGATTATGGAGATGATGAAAAGAACAAGAGAAAGAGAAGAGAATGTTGATCCAAAGGACGAAGGCCAACAATGCAATGATCCAAGACGAATACGGCAAGTCTCAGAAGATAGATAGTGAATGCCTTCACTTGTCATGAATGCATGGCAGGTACCGTGGCGCGCAAAAGTCAAAAGAAAGCCAAAACCGGTTTCGCGAAAACGGGAATATAAGTAACTTAAGAGTAAATTACGGATAGACTCACCAGAGAGGGAGCACGATGCCTCCTTGAACCAAACATGATGGATAGGCTGAATTAGAGTGGACTAGATCGAAAGCGGCGCAAGGCCAGCAGAGCTCAGCATGCGGCTTGCATTCAGAAAGACCGCGGATCTTCGGAAGAATGTCGATAATGACGCTGAGATGTGAGTCAAGCAAGATATTCGCTCACAGTAAGTACTAATGTACAGTACAGTACATACAACAAAGTAATGCTATTATGCTGTGTTGGGAAATACGTCAGGATAATGAATGAATGAGACGGAAATTAGGGCTGCAAAAGTAGTTGAAGAATGAAGAGGGAGGTTCCATGCTAAGTTCCATTAGTTAGGGACGTGATGACGACAGGTATCAAGCCACTAACGCGCCAGCAACGCTAGCCTCAATTGGTGACCCACAAGGTATGCTTTGTTCCGGTTGATTGATCTTCATTGCCAGGCCCAGTCAGGGCCCATCGCATCGCAGCGCATCGCATCGCATCGCAGCACATCCGCATAACTGACTGAGGAACGAGTGGTCCAATAAGATAATTCTGATGACTTGGGCATGGATGTGACGCTTATCCAGCCATTGAGGACAATGGTTTTGTTACAGGACTGGACTGTATGTCCTCCCTCCACGTTGGCATAAACACGTGGTTACTATTGTACAGAGCAACAGGACTTTTAGGTAGACGCATGTATCAGGTAGCTTTCCGGTTTCTTGTATCGGCTCAGGTGAAAAAAAGAATCCGTCTGCTGCACAGATCCATCCCGAGATCACTAATCTACTCCAACCGTAGATCAGTTCCTCATCAGGTCCAGCTCGGCAGGCCTCCAGCTTCCAGCTGCCGAGATCTACAAGATTTTCTCGGCGGAATAAACATAAACAATCTGGGGCCTTGGACCTGGAGCCTGGAGGTGTGAGGGAGGGTCCCTCCCTCGTCCAAGCACGCACGCACCAGTTCATCGAGAAAAAGCTTGGCCCACAGAGAGATTGACATGGGATGGGACCATCTATCGACAACTTTATCTTGCGTCTCGGTACGGATCAATAGTACAGCTGTTGGGGTGGGAATCACCTGCGGTGAGATTCTTGAAATCCTGAATAACCAACATTAACTACCTACGCTGCATACCAGACTACAATACATACTATCCTTACAAGGAGTGCAAGCTTTCAGCTGTACTCAAACTCCGGTCCCCGCTGCATAACCAGATCCATTCAAACCCACTCAGGGTAACCGCCAGCTGGATTAAGGGGCCCTCTGACGTCAACTCTCAACTAGACTGTTTCATTTGCATTTTGTGCTCTTCGTTTCATGCAATCTGGAACTATCTACCTACGTATCCGTACATTGAATCACATCAGATCCAGAGAGCAAGAGTATATGGTCAACAAAGAATGGCTATGAGATCTCTAACACTAACATAGTTCGGGTCGTAAACACCGCGTACTCGACATTGTATAAGCTCTATGTTAGAATGGTATCCGTACATCCTGCCACATTCCTATATTTGACGAACCGTCGTTGCTTTCAGTACTGAGTCGCCTCCCCACCGAGTGGCTCAGTCTTCTGAAAACTGATACTTCCTTGACTAAGTAGAAGTAAGTGATTTGGAGACTGCTGAATTTATGCTCCCCTTTCCAGGCCAACAACAACGATCAGTGACAAGCGTTGTCGGGTTTCGCATTCCAACCCCTTGATGGCGTTTCCCATATGACACCGAGTTCGTTATATCTTAAGGATTGATATCTTTTTCGTATCCCACTTGGTCGAAATCAGAGAAACAGCATCGCCGGGACAGTTCAATCCCCTGAAACAGGCCCGGAAGCTAGGATGGCGGTCCTTCACTTCTTATGTCTGGCCCCGTCCGCTCTCCTGATAGATTTGGATATTCTTCTTCATCGCCCTCTGATTGAGCCGGATGATGGTGGTTCCCGTCCATATGGTCGCCTTGATCTTGAGGTGGCGGTTGAGTAGCAGCATGGTCTCTAGAAGAAGCCTTGCCTCCCTTTCTTCCCTTTCTACTCTTAGCCTTGGCCTTTTCGAGAAGTCGCTTGCGGTCAGCTTCCTCTTGTCGACGTTTGCGATCTTTGATCTCATATGTTCGAATCAATGCTCTCGGCGGTTCACCAAAAATGCTTTCGTATTCGCAGAATTCACAAATCCAACCATGTTCCGTACTCTCGGGATTGGCTCGCCGAGCTTCTGTTGCAGCCTGTCGACGGCGTCGCGCAGCTCTTTCAAGGGATCGCTCTAGGCGGCGCTTACTATCCTGGCGAGAGCTTCCGGAGCCTCTGCTGGCTGCAATGGATGAGCCATCATGATGAACAACACTGCCGTGCGGCAAGTAGCCAGGACCAGCCTGGGCCGGCATATTGTGCTTACTTGCGTGACCTGGCGACTGAGTCAGTAAATTGACGTCTTCACCAACCCATATGCACTTACCGGGCCATTGAATATTATTGCCGGGGACTTGAGAGTCACAGGTGAAAGTGAACTGGGTCGAAGCTGGTGCGCCTTTTGTTGCAGCGGAGTGTTGCTGGAGTAGGCTCACGTTCTCTTGGCCCAGGGGGCGCAGTTTTTCGGCGTTTGCAATGGCGTTCGAGATGATACCGCCTTCTTGTTCTAAATTTATGTGTTAGGAAGCAGTGGCTTGCAGGTAGAGAGCATAGAAAGAAATCGTAAACAGAGGTCGTGACAAGATGAGAGTAGGAGGATCAATTGCTTGTGCAGGTTTGTACAATGGCAGGCATCATGCAGGGTTCCACCAATATTTCCCCTCACCCAAAGGTGATTTGCAGCGCAGAAAGGATTTCGTATAGTGAATACTATCGATTCTGATACGCATATTGGAATGATAGGATCATAGAAGCGTCTGGGTTCTTGAATGCTCAGCTGCAATTGTGGGTCCACAGTTGATGATCAAGATATAGGACAGAGAAGGCAACTGAACAACGAATGAAACTAGATAGGGAAGTAAACTTACCGTCCGATGCCCATTGAGGCTGCGAAGTCTTAGAGCTCCGTCCAAACCATGGATTATTGCAATCAGACAATGCTCGAAGTGGGCTTCTAGCATTTCTCGAGCGGCCAAGCCTGCCTCGACCAGGCCCAGATATCCCGTGGTTATTGGCTATGAAGGTGCTGGTATTTGGATGCGTGCTTGATATCGGACTTGCTCTATCGTTGTGCATCTCATTGGTAGGGGAATGCCCTGTCCCAGCGGAAATAGCAAGAGATCCTATCTCATTGTTCAAGCTTTGGGTGCCGTTAAGCATAGCATCTCCCGCAGAAGGGATCTTGCGCTTCTTTTTGTTATTTGTATTCTCGAACAGATCGTAGCCATCCATTGAGGATGTCGCGGAAAGAGGTGGCTGCGCATTCGACTGAGCTTGGTCTGGCTTTGAATGTCGTTGAGCAGCACGAGTTAGGATCTTGGGAGGTGATCGAGTGACTAAGGTACTTCGCAAGATCGCCTCCTCATCATCACCATCGAGTAGTCCCAGGCCGTTTTGTCGAGGGGTGTAGTTGCGCCCTGTTTCAGTTCTCGGACCTTGTTGCGTCGGACTCGTAGAGCATATCCTTGGCGGGCTTCCTTCGTCTTTAAGGGTATATGGGGGATAGTAGAAGAGCGGGGTTGCTTCGTGCGTCGAAGGGGGGTATTTGATCGTATCTGCGATCTCGGATGAGAGTTTCTCTCGAAGTCGACGTTTCGGTAATGGCCGAATCGGTCGGTCTGGAAATAGCGACGATGCAGTATCTGGCGACATGATGGGAGTATGATCTGCGCATAAAGAACATAGATTTATCGTTAGCAGGTGGATTGCTAGAAAACCGAGAGGGACGGTCGCGATCAAGGCGAGGTCCAACATAACAGTAGGTGCTTTGCGATGTTACCGACCATCGATTAGCCTTGGCAGCCTCTAAAACAAGTCGAAACACAATGACTGCCAAGGATCACAACAGGCTCGCAACATCTAAAGTGAACAGGAAAAGCGTACCCATCAAACATTGTATTGGCTCTGATGCAAACCGCAGGAGAAGGAACAGTCGAGCGGCGAGGGCGGTCGTATCGCAATCCAGGTATACAATCTAGCTCCGACAAATAGATGATTGTGACGTGCTGAGCATTCAATCGAAAAGATAGCAAAATCGTGATTTGGCAAACCGCAACACCAAATTCGGGGCCGTGAAGTAGTTTGGTCCAGCAGAGCTCAGAGGGGTAACTGTAACTTGGTTCGGTCGGACTCTAAAACGTTCTGTGTGCGGGTCAGAACATAGTGTCGATAAGGTATATCACGAGCGAACGTGAAGAACCAGAGCAGGTTTCGGTCTGGGCCAGTTCAACCTCGGCTCAGCCTCATCTCGAACGAAAATCGACTTTTGAAGAGGTTATACAGATGGTTGCCGGACTCGCTCGAGGTTGTTCAAGATCGGGGCTCGCTTACCCAGTCACGGCCGGGTTACCTGTGGAGGGGCCTGAGAGCCTCGAGGGAAACCTCGATCCAAACTTGGCCAACCAATAAGTCGCACAATCCAACGGTAATTTGAAAGAAAGTTCCCAGAAAGTCGATGACCTGAAGAACAGTTATGCAAATTCCGATAGCGCCTCAAAGTTGCTGTAATGTATCAGATAGCTGTGTGATTAAATCATCATGTGTGGAGTTGTCACAGCCAGAGCCAGGGCCATGGCCTGGCCGTTGGGAGCTTTCGGTTAGTCAGCCAGCCCGGCGCCTAATGGCAATAGGTTGTGAGTGGCCCATCCGTGCCACCCTTTCTTTCACCAGGATGTCAGAAGCATTGGCCGGCAAGAGCATAAGAGACGAAATAATTTAGTCATCCTATGCGAGGTTAGGCTAGTAATTAGGCTACTTTATTTCTGTAGCCCAAGCCTTGGAGGATAATTCTTCTGACACCCACCTGCCTCTTTCCATCGTCTCCAATTCGAATTCCAACTGACAGCACCCACAAGAAAAGGAAAGGAAAAGGTCATGATTGGCTTCATGTGCTAACATCGTGTGCTGCAGTCTATTCACATCCCGCAACTCTATCGTCGGACAATCATAAGCACTGGAATCTGGATAAAGTATCTATCGAGAACTGTTGGGCTTCTGTTTGACCAGGCAATTGGAGGTGCAAGATGTGCACAGCTAAAGCATAAAGGAATCTCGAATGAGGGACAACGAGAGGAGAGCTTCTCGATCATTTATCTGTGTGGCGGCGAGGAATTAGATATCCATGGCATTTGATGCTCCCTGATGTCATTTCCCCGAGAATCCCATGGTACAGTACTGTATAGTACAGGGTATATGCGGTAGGGCATACTGTAGTATCGATGAAAACAGTTAGGTATTCCTCCATCAATTGATCATGATGGAAGCGGAAACAAGCCGTCAAACAGTGGGGATTCTCATTGCAATTCCGGGTCTGTAACTGCCATTGGCCGCTTGAACAACAAGCAGATGGTTCCTGATACATTGGCGAATCGCTTTTATCCCAGGGGTTGACAGAAAACTTTGAGACCCAAGCTTTAGGTGCGAATCAAAGATAATGGCAGGGAGCTGGGTAAGAGGAGATTCATCCTCTTAAGGCCAAGGTAGGGTATCGTAATAAAGTTGCCAACCTAGGTGCAAGCCTAATACATAGTATATGGAAGTTATCTTTTTTCTTAGGTTCTTATACGTGTATGGCTACTGACTTGATTTGGTATGTTCATGAGTGGGACCGTCCATTTTCAGTGCCCGCTTCTGAATGGCCGGGCACATACTCGACGCGAGTCGACGGACAGTATGGATACCAGAAGACCCCTGTATTTTGGAGCTCACAGAGTACCTATAGATCCATCCATACCTAGGCTAGTAGGTCCCGTCCTGAATGAAGTCAGGGCGAACAGTACAGTGAATGCCCGCTAAAATGCTCTGCAGGTGGTCTTGCAGTGAGCCCGTGGTTCATCGGCTCAGTGGAGGTCTTTCTGAAGCAATGCCATGGAGGCCAGGCAAGTGGAAGTGAGACCTGCGCCCACCTTCCCGCCCACTTTCCCACCCACGCTTCAGCAAGCCCATGTCCGCGCCTCTTGGTTCTGTTCCTCCTCCTCCTTCTTCTCCTCCAAAGAAAGTTCCCGCCCACTCTTCTCTGGCACATACAATCTCATTGTTACGGTATATTTCCGTGCCATGATCACAGCGTTTCTGCGCATTCTCGATATGCTTGCTTGCCAACCCCAACTTCGTTACGAACATTTGACATTCTTGTTCCACTAGTCGCACGCACTCGTCGCTGGTCGCTTTCCAACCCAGCTCCCACGACCTTCATCAATATTCTATTACGTTGAATTCTCGCGACTTCACCTTTCTCTGACGGAGCCAACGACATTGTAGAGAACATATTTACTCCATAGTGTTACACGCGCCGTCATCTGTCTAACGAGGCCTTGGTCCTCCTACCCTCTCTCCTCTTTCCGTTTCTCCTCATCTTTCACCTCACCTCGGTGACGAGACTCCTCAATGGCACCACCTTCGCCGCGCCGGTCATCGAGAGCCCGCGCCACCAATTCTCAATCCCAACAGTCGTCAGTATCCTCGAACACTTCGGGCCGAGTCGAGCGGAACACAAGATCTGTTGCCAAACCTTCTTCCAACAAGTCGACACCCAGCGGCTCATTATCCTCGGAGCCATTTGAAGATCTCGACGACACCCTTCTCGGCCGAAGGCGAAAGCGCAATCAAGAAGACGAAAACGATAAGAATTCCAAGTCTGACAATTTCGACATGGCGAATGGAAGCGACGATCTTCAAGAAGAGGAGGATGAGGCTGTCCGCTGTATCTGTGATGCTGAAGAATACCCAGGTCGCCCGCCTGTCGAGGGTGCTGATTTGGACTTTTTCAATGCCATTGAATTTACCGAAGACGTTACCGGCTTCTTCGTTCAATGCGACATTTGTAAAGTCTGGCAGCATGGCGCCTGTGTAGGCATTTTCAGCGCCGAGAGCTCTCCTGATGAATATTTTTGCGAGCAATGTCGCAAAGAACTCCACAAGATATACACGGCAAGCAATGGGTGAGTAGATTCTACCATTCTGGTTGGATTCTGTTCAGCCGATAAGTCTTTGAAATGTTCACTTCTGAAAAATTTGTTCTTTTCCTGCCCGTTGCATTTCCCTTCTGTTGCACACTAATTTTACGATCGTTTCGTACTGACGATATTACTCCCAGCCAAAAATGGTCCAAATATGTTCCTCACAATCGCCCTTCGCGCGCGACCTCCCGAGCCACTTCGATTGCTAAGGAAGGCAACCGCTCGCCCAAGACTGGGACGAGCAGGAACTCGCGCCCTACCTCCGCCTCACAAAACTCCAAGCGTCGATCCACCATGAACAGCCGTGACCGGGCATATGAAGACGAGCAACTTTTGAGAGCGATCGAAGCTAGTAAGGAGGATGTGCCTCAAGATGGGTCAGAAATCTTGACCCGACGAGCGAAACGAGGACGTAGCGACAGTGAGGAGTCAGTAGCCGTCAATTCTCGGCCACGAGACGAGAAGTTGGCGTCACTGAGAAACCCAGTCAGCGTCAAACGGCAAAGAACCAGCTCTAGGTCACCTTCACCTCCAATTGAACCAGCCGAAGTACAAGCTCACAACGAGTCGGACGACGAGATCAATACTCGTAACGGAGTGAAGAAGGCTCGCAACAACAAAACTCAGCGAGCTAAAACCGAGAAGGAAGATAAAGAGCGCCAGAGACAAGAGGCCGCGGATAAACGCAAAGGCCGCGCAGAGAGGCGACGAGGAGAGGGTGAGTTGAATGGCGGCATCTGTTTTGAAGCTGAGACTGACATGCTCGCAGATTCGGACCCCTCCGAGGAGACACCCCCCGCCGCTGCGAAACCCCCTGCTACGAAGAGCATCGAGACGCCTGTCATTATGGAGACTCCGGCGCCAGTCCAGCCTGCCCCAGACACACCTCCTGCAAGTCATCAGCCCATTTCAAGTACGCAGAAGCGGGGCGGAAGAACTGCTCACAAGAAGGGCAAAGGGAGGAATCAGTACACTAGAGACCGAGATGGGGAAGGCGAGTCACCAGCGCGGTCGATGTCGCGAGATATACAAAAGAATGGCGACGAACCAACACCGACCCATCCGAAACCAACGAGCGAACCGCGGCCTGGCAAGTCGAAGCCAGCTATCCACCATAAGCTAAATATGGTGGACATGAAGCGACGTGTTGGTGCCATCATGGACTTCATCTCAAGGACTCAAGTAGACCTTGCAGCTGAGACTTTCCCGGTGACAAACGGGAACACGAACAATGAAAAGGCGTCACTTCAGAAGCCTCTGAATCCTGAAACTGTTGGCGGCGAAGTTGCTCAGAATTCTCCTGGGGGCAAAGAGTTCAAGGATTTGAACTGCATGGAAATGATGGATGTTTTGACACGAGACATGGTCAAATGGCAGAATCAGTACACCTGATGCCGTAAGACTGGGCGTGTGGCCATTTATCTTGGAGCACACAAAGCGATGGAAATGTACTCGATTGTTATTTCAGGCGTTCACGGTTAAGGTACATTCAGGGGCGTCACCAGCATCCAAATTGATGCAGCCGGCATGGATTTTTGTTCTTCGTTGAGGTTTGATTGTTTATCATTTGACTGGAAGCACTTGAATGAGGCAAGAGACCTCTGGTGTTCCGGCTATCATTCTACATATACCCAAGCACGCCTCAGAGTCGGTCATTGGCGTCTATACAGTTTCAGCAAGAAAGGCGACGTAGGTAGGCAAGGGATAACCTGAATTCTTTTAGTTGAAGTAAGACAATGTGCTTAGATAGTGTACATAAAAAGTCCTAGTATACAAATACGTGGTGCAGCGATCGCCCATATCTTGAAACGATCGTCTTAGGCGCCGGCTCTCTCTTGTGCGCGTGCTTCTTTCTGTTGCTTCTTAGCCTGATTCATGCTCAGTGGGGGATTAAGCATTCGATTTTGATGTTCCTCGATCGCTTCATCTGATAGATCCTCGAGCATGAATTTTCCCAGCTTCCCAGCTCTCCAGTCTCTCAAGAACATGCTGGCTGCTGAACGCAAGTCAGGCACGCCACCGGCCTTCAGTTTGCCCGTCCTCGCCGCAATGGAATTAAGCAATTCTTGAACGTCATTCGTGGGCTTGGAATATTGCTTATAGAAAGCCGGGTTGATCTTGTTGAGGCGGTAGAGCAGGTAGTCTACCAGAACGTCTTCTGGTATCAGGCCAAGCTTAATACCTTGAACGAGTGCAATCTTTACCATAGTCTCGGCATTGTCGACATATGGCACGAAAACACCTGGGGTATCTAAGACAAGTACACCCCCGTCGCCAACACCTCTCTTGGAATCGTTGGATTCCGACTCTACTATCCGAACGTTGGTGCCAATCTTGCGCGTAACACCTGGTTGGCCCCCAGTCTTGGCTGCCTTTGCATTTTTACTCTGAAGTCCCTGCGCCCGTAGAGCATTGAGTAACGTGCTCTTTCCCACATTAGGCATTCCCACGATCATGGACCTCATACCCGTTATTGAATCGATGGCGCGCGCAACTTCTTTTATCTTGCTGAGAAGAGATTTTGTTGAACCAGGTCTATTTTTGTTCCAGAGTATAAAGCGATCGCCATATAATTTGCGCAAAGCGTTGACGTGTTGGGGATTGTTGATTGTGAGGTCGCATTTTGTGAAGACGATGATGCGCTGACGGCCAGCAAGAGAGCGCTCGAGTAAGGGATTGTTGGTGGTCAAGGGCAGGCGGAGGTCACGGCATTCGAGGATCAGGTGTATCTGGTTTAGACGCTTGACCATATCAGACTGAGCCGCAGCATGATGGCCTAAGTAATATGTCTTGGGGATGGAGTTTGGTAGGGCAAAGGTTTGCCGGGGAACGAACTGTGCCATCTTGCCGGGCTATGGGGGATCTCAGTGTTTAATTAATTAACATGTTATTTAAGAAGCGGCATAGCTTGACTTCGAGAAGCAACCGACGTTATGATGGGATATGACAATAGTATGTAGGACCCTGGAAAAGCCAATAAGCAAATTTGGAGTCTAGACTTCAGCCTTGCCGATTCGCTCCACATGAACATGCATATCTCAGCCTTGCCCCTCGGAAAAAGTGACGTCACTCCTCCATTTTCGATAGACATGCCGAACCAATTGAGTTCTTGGATTCTACCACGAGGCTCAAGACGATGAACAAAAATGACCAAGGCGCTTTTTGGTACCGACAAGAGCAAATGGTTATTGAAAGCCAAGGAAAGCCAAGACTAAGTTTCTTTTACCCAGGCGAATGTAATAAATTGACTCGGGGCCCTCAAAATCTATGGACAGACATTCATTCAGCCAGCATGTGCTTGCTTCCAATTCGCCTTCAAACCAAAGAGTTTGTTTGTTATTACAGCCAAATTTGACGTGAGCAATGGCTAGACCAGAGAATCAGCCAGTTGGAGACTCAATTGACATCGAGAGAAGATCAACCTTTGGATCTACTAATACTGTCACACCAAATCAAGATGGAGCTGCAGTCGATCCTTCGAATCCACTCAACCAAACAAGTCGATCATCCAAGTACTTCGGCAAGGAGGGTAAACTCCGTCCCTTTCGACTGATGAAGGAGGACATCATCAACATCAAGGGTCGATATCTATCAGATTGGCAAATCTTCAACCAGCAAGTTGTGGCAAGTGCAGTCTACATCTTCTTCACCAATCTCCTGCCTGGCATCACATTTGCCAGTGACTTGTATACCTTGACTGGAAAGTCGTGGGGCACAATTGAGGTTGTGTTCAGCACTGGCCTCTGCGGTCTCATCTTTTCTCTGTGAGTACTATAGTAAAAGTGTCAGACCCAAATAGTTGCTGACAACAGCTGCAGGTTCTCAGGCCAACCCCTCACAATCCTTGGTGTGACAGGTCCTTTCTCAGTGTTGGCCGAGAATGTTTACGAATTATGTGATCAGCACTTCCATGTAAGTCAGATAAAGATCACCAAACTCTTGTTTTCTACTAACAGTATTCAGGTCGAGTTTCTACCAGTCATGGCATGGACCCTTATCCATGCCGGATGGATGCACTATCTCCTTGCCGTCTTCAACGCTCATGACTGGACGATGCAATATGTCACCCATTTCAGCGCCGACATATTCTCCCTCTTGAACAGTGTCATTTACTTTCACAAGGCAGCCATGGAGCTGAAGCGTACTCATGCTCGAGTTTCGCTCGCTGCTTTCCTTTACGCTATCTTGGGCGCAGTCGGAACTTGTCTCCTCGCTATCTTGTTGTCCACTGCAAACTCATGGAAACCCATGTTTCATCGCTACGTTCGTCTTGGACTTACAGAGTACGCCGCAGCTATTTCTATCATCTTTTGGATCGGAATTCCCTATATCGGCGAGCTAGCCTCACTGGATCATATTCGCCTCGAGGTACAGACCAGTTTCCGGCCGACGAATCCCGAAAGAGGGACCTTCTTTGTGCGTTTCTGGGAGGCGCCTATTGAATGGGTATTCTTATCCATGATTCCTGGTGCTATTGTTACTGTCTTGTTCTACTTCGACCATGAAATCAGTAGCATAATCTGCACTGTAGAGCGATACGGGACCAAGAAACCTGGCGGTTACGCTTGGGATATAGCCTTGCTGGGAACAACTACCATAATCTGTGGTATCCTCGGTATCCCTCCGGCCAACGGTCTTCTACCTCAAGCGCCGCTCCACTCCGAATCCTTGATACACTATATTCTTGAGAGCCCTCCTACTGAAGAGGGGGAACAACCAGAGTCGCCTCGTTATGTTGCAAGGACATATGAGCAGCGATACTCACATTTCATCCAAGCTGCTCTGATTCTCATCTTCGTATCTCCTCCTCTACAGAAGCTCTTGGGTCTCACTCAGACTTCAGTACTTGCCGGTCTCTTCCTTTTTATGGGTTATCAATCCTTGACCGTCAATCCTATCCTTGACCGGGTCGTCAACCTTCTCACGCCGTCGTCTGAACTTCCCGAGCTACCTGCTGGTGTGACCTGGTTCGGGATTCACATGTACACAGTCACTCAAATTATCATGACTGGTATCGTGTTCGGAGTGACGCTGACGGTGGCTGCTCCCGCATTTCCATTGATCATTATTGCTTTAGTACCCATCCGATTGTCTCTCATGAACCGGATTTGGAGTCGTGAGACATTGAGAAGAGTGGATGGGTGGGCGTGCCGCGAAGGGAAACCAGAGGATGATCCGGTAGAGTCACACATACCTGAAGATGAAGAAAAGGCCAAGGACTGATGGTATTGAACAGTAGTCGGGTATGGAGTAGGTAGTTCATAGCTCAGGCACATCCGAATCAAGGAGCAAGGGTGCACGAATTAAACTTTGATGACACTATACAAGTGACTACCTAGATTTGTCAGTCGTGTCTCTTATCCAATGAGTTTCTTTACATGCAAGCCCCGCAAAGCCTATGCCTGTCATTCATCTTGTTCTTTCACACATCCTCATATCTTATTGTAAGAAACAGACTTGAGCTCAATCGATCAATACGACCCACAATATTCTATATCTTGAGGATCCGTTCACTCGTACCATTTCTATCAGCAATTGCTTTAGCTAAAGATAACAGCTCAGTAGTGACGTCGATATTCTGGCTGCTGAAGATGGCAGCGCTGGAGCATGGCAAATATGCCTTTGTTACAGGTGGAGGCTCTGGTATGACCGCAGAATCATATCATCAATCCTGACCGTGTCAATACTGACTGTGAAGAAAGGTATTGACCTGTGCTTTGTTCGGTTACTTATCGAACACGGATGTTCAGTTGTCATAGCAGACCTTCAACTGCGACCAGAAGCTCGACAACTTGTGGAACAACATCCATTCACAGCCACCGACGACAAGCCTGGTTTGTTGTTTCAGAAAACTGACGTTGCATCCTGGCCTCAGCTTATAGCTGCATGGAGAACAGCTTTGGAGAAGTTTCCAAGTGTTGACATTGTCGTCGCTGGAGCAGGAATATTCGAGCCTCGATGGTCTTCGTTCTGGGAAGCTCCTAGGACAGAGAGTAATCAAGACAGTGTTTCTCGGGATGATGCTGATGCTGATCCCGGACACTATGCTGTTCTGGATGTGAACCTGGTGTCTCCCATCCGGCTCAGCCAGCTCGCCATTGGATATTGGACAAAAACGAAGCATAAGGGCTGTCTCGTACATGTAGGCAGCATGGCAGGGTACGGAGCGGCCATTACAACGCCTTTGTACATTGCCAGCAAACACGGTCTTCACGGCTTTGTGAGGTCGTTAGGGGGACTGCGCGATGAACTTGGTATTCGCGTTGGGTGCGTAGCTCCCGGTGCAGTATCGGTAAGCCTACTGGATATACGGTTTCTCCAACTCTTGCTGATATCAGACCTAGACTCCTCTATGGAGCGAAGACCCAACCAAGGCCATCATGCTGGGAGAAGATACGGTTCTCATTAGTCCCGATGAAGTAGCACAAGGCATGTGGCAGCTTATCATCAACCCGGAATTGGGCAATGGTACCATTCTCGAGGTGACCAAGGGTGCAACAAGAGTTGTGCCTCTCTATAACGCACCGGTTCCTACTGGTGAAGGCATCATGGTACCTGGCTACGCAGCTTCCATTGCCGAGACGTATGAGAGATTGAGAAACGGCGGACTGGATGTATAAGTGCCTCCGTGCCTTTTGTTGCTGGCTTACCTATGAACATCAAAGCCTCAGATCCCTTCGCCACTGACTAACAGATGGTATTTTTAGATTTGGTGACGCAGATCACTTCGTTTGTGCTTCCGGGCTTCGGCTTCGTGTTACGACACGCAAGCCAGCCTTGAATTTCCATATATCTCGAGTCAGTCATCTGACGCATGGATCAGATTGAGCACCGTGAATAGTAAGGATTTAGGGTGCAACTCACCATAAAGCCTCACATCCAATGACAACAAAGATACTCTCGCTGGAAGCCAAGTTTAGACCCATCTTGGCACTTTTAGGTTTCTTGACCACTTTGTTCTCTCACTCGATAGCATGATTAGATAAAATCGCCGATTTGAATAACGTCCTCTTTCCAGAAAGAGATTTATACAAACAAAAAGAGCAACCGTAAACTCCCCATGACTCTTCTGAAGATTGACCAGTAGATTGCAGCTCTTACAAGGAATATCACCCCGAGTGGGTTCTCCAAACCGTAATGACAAAAGCCGTTCAGTTGATGGTGAGAAATAATAAATAAAGATAATGACATGAAACCCGTTAGATGATTGTACACTTGAGTGCAGTATCATAATAATAGCATAGAAAACTAAAGCAATGCTAATAAAGAAGAAAATAAATCCATAATCGCACACCGGATAAGTGAGCTCGCGAAACGAGTTGGGTATCTTAATGAGCTGCTTTCATCATGCTGCACTGCTCTTGATTTCCTTCTCTTCTACATCCTCTCTTGTCTCCTGTAGACACCCTTCTCCTCCAAGACATAAGCTGGAAACGTCCTCCTCGCTGCGCAAGAGCTGCGATGAGAGAAACATGTTTTCCGAAAGAAGTTATGGACCGGCTCGTATCGTGCTGTATGGCTGCGGGCTCGATCCTTAATAGGAATAGGTAGGTGTATAGTGTTTGTCTTCTTGTCTCGATTTCTGGTCTTTGAATATGTAAATAGTTGAAAGGGGGAAAAAAGGGTGGCTGGTTGGCCGAATTGGTGGTATTGGGCGTGGCAAGTGCGTTTAGCTCTAGGTATCCAAAACCGTGTTGATCTACTTGATGTTCTTGAAAAGATCAGAACCCAAGCTTCCATTGTCCTTTTCGATGTCGGTCAATTCGGGTATCATGGGAGGCGGCGGGCCTGATTGCTTCTTAGGAGTCGTTGCGCGGGGAGGTTCGTCCATATACATGGTACTGGCTCGTTTGTTGGGGGTGGTTTCCCCGGTCTTCATACGTCTAAACCAACCGCTAGTCCTCTTGGACTTGCGCTCGTCGAGGTAGCTCGCGCCGCCCTGGCTGGCTGGACGGGCATAACCTGGTGGGGGAGACTGGACACTTCCGTTCGTTGATATCTGACCCTCTGCATAACTGTTATTCAACATGGTCCTACTGAATAGGCGACGGATGCTGCCTTGGCGGCTTGAAGCAGCCGGGCTCAAAGGAGCATCATCGTCGGCGTTGCGCTTGGTTCCAGCGAGATTACCATTAGAAGAAGCAGTAACGCTTGGCTGCGGTGTGCTATGGCTGACGTCCTCCGTAACACTGTTGTATGTGTCCTGGGCCGGCTGCTTGGGGGCTTCGTCCTTGGCTTCCTTGACGGGTGGCGGTGTCTGGGGAGGAGTTGGGACCTTCTGAACAGGTGATTCCGGAGGCGGTGGGATATCGGTGCCGTCTGTGATGCTGCCAAAATTGAGATTGAGGGCGGGCAGCTGGAATCGCGAGCTTCCGCTGCTCTTGCCAAAAAGAGACGACATGGTGTTTATTTGGTAATTGATTCGCTCACGGTACGATACGATGCGGATCAGACGGACTGTGGGAGAAGGCAGGTCGAGATCGATGGGGCCGAATTCGGAAAGGGGCGTTGGCGAGAGTGGTATGAAGCTCAAGAAAGAAAGAATTGAGCTAGCAAAAGAGACTCTCGACAAGTTGCGATCGGTTACTGGGGTGCAACAAGCAAAAAAAGATGACGAAGCAGAGTTCCAAGTCCCCGCAAGAACAGGGCGACGAGAAAGGAGAGGAGAAGTCTGGTCAACGGCTCAGGCCAGGCCAGGTCCAGGATAGATGCAGCACAGGTATCTGTACAGGTACAGCAGGCGTGCTGTATGGAGGTGGAAAATTGGAGCAAGGGTCGGGTGGCTTGTGGTTGACTGCACGCTGCAAGGATTCTCAACGCGGCGTGGCGTGCTTTTCTGGATGCTATGATGATAACCCTGGTTGTCAAGAATAATTGAGGCGAGAGCAATGTTTGAGGTTTAGAGTAAGGATGAAAAAGTGAGAGATGTTGAGAGGATGAAGGAGGAGAATGTCTTCGCTGAAGAAAGAATAGGTAGGTACCTACTACAGTAGTACCTATACCTTAGTAGTACCGACTAACTAGAAGGAAACCTGCGGGTAAGGTGAGGTGAGGTAAGTGGAGAAATGCCGTGGCTGGCACTCCAAAGTTGAATCTAATGGGGATACATTGGGAATACCTCCAGCTTCGCGTGTAACCCACTGTTTCCTCTTCTGGGCGTGCCCCTGAGAGACTGCAGTGAACCCGCACTTCCCTGGACCCTGCTGAGAGCCACGCGGGTTGGGCGCCGGACGCTTTTGGGTTCGACAAGTACCTTTAGCAGTCGGATGCCAAGATGAATCATGAAAGGCTAGTCGATATAGAGAATAGCGGTCCAATGAACAAGCTGTGGCTTTACGAAGTACAAGTATCTTACAAGTACCTCCTGCCGACTCCCCAACCGGCATGCAGTCAATAAAGACCACGGGACGAGCCTAGATTATTGAAGACAGTAAATAAGTAGGTACCTAGAGTCCGTACATATACTCGTACCTATAGCATTGGGATATGTAACACTCATTGAACCTATACAGCTCTATAGCATTGCTGGTTCAAATTGCAGAAAGCCATAGGCGACTGACTGATCGATTCCGTCCCGTCGTGTTCAGGGCCCCCTTCCTTGCTTTTCTCCCTTAGCAGACTAGTCGCTGGTCCTGCAGAACACCCGACCAGACCTACCCTTCCACTGTACGTACGGATACTGTTAGTTAGACTGTCTGTAGGCACTCTACTCTAACGCCACAGACGTGTGCCAACCCTAATATCGCCCGTTTGACTGTCGAAACGTCGCGACAACATGTTTCGACAAGGGAGATCAAACGGCCCCTGTCGATATCAAGAGTATTATAGTGCAACTCACGATAGTGCTGGTGAAGCGTCTCTCTTCCGAGATGAGTCTAATCTCTCTTGTGTATGTATATAACTCAACAGAGAGCTTGGCGCGAATAACCTATAGCTAGAGCCAATGTTTAATCAACAAGAAATCAAAATGATTTGACTGGATTGTGTTTCTACGGGAGACCAGTAACAGAGTAGAAAGGTGCTAAAACATGTTTCACAAGCTGTCTTACCTTTCCAGATTACCTAGCCATGGGGCAATTCAAGATCTGAATATCTTTACTGAAGTCTCAAGGTTCATTGTACACTCAAAGAAAAATCTGCTAGACTAACCATGATGGGTCCCCTTTGGCCGGCTTCGCTTGAGGAGATGATCGAGTCATGAGGAACGTGACAAAAAGTGCGAGCATCGTCAGGTACCTGGAATTTTCCAAAGCTGCCGAGTTGATGGAAGCCATTCCCTTCTCAGAGTAAGTTAAAACAAAACCCCCGCGTTCCACAATCGCAATCGAAATCGAGCCTGGGGATCCATTTTCCCACAATTGGGAATCTGGACCCCGATATTCAGAGACTCTTCATGGTCCCGCTTAATAGCAAAGCCTGATTGGTTGATCAACTCCCCAAACGTCATAGTCTCATAGAGCTTTCGTCAATTTGATCCGAGAGCTCGGCTGAACTTGTTACTGTACTGTTCTTGTTTCAAAAAGTTAGAACCACCAAGCAACTTCAGAAGCATCAATTCTAGTCTAATTGATAGTTTATTCATCATGGCCAGCTCGCAATGCCTGCGCCTCAGGCCGCTCGCTTCAGGGCTCGTCCGGCCTTCTGCAAAGCTTAGCGCTCAACATGTGACCAGACTTCCCATGATCGCAGCACGATACAAGTCAGGTCCTTACGGCTACACACAAGCAAAGGCCCTCGTATTCTCAAAGCCTGGAGAACCCTCTGATGTTCTTAGGTGAGTGCCACACCGAGTCATCTCCAACAACAGCAATATCTAACCGTAATCTCAGCCTACATACTCACTCTATCTCGCCATCCATCCCCTCAAACTCGGTTCTAGTCCGAGCACTTGCCGCTCCCATTAACCCCGCCGATATCAACACAGTTCAAGGCACTTATGGCTCCAAGCCTCCTTTCACTTCCCTAATTGGCACCTCCGAGCCCTCCGCCATTCCCGGCAACGAAGGTGTTTTCGAGGTCGTTTCTGCCGGTTCATCTTCCTCGTCGCTACAGAAAGGCGATTGGGTTATTCCTGCCATCGGACAGTTCGGCACTTGGAGGACACACGCTGTTGATGAGGCCGAAAAGTTCATCAAGATTGATAAAGAGGGTCTGACCCCTACACAGGTTGCTACTGTTAGTGTCAACCCATGTACTGCCTACCGGATCTTACGACACTACGGACCCAATGCTGGTCTCCAAGCAGGCCTGGGCATGCGCCCTCTCGAAGTCGGAAGCGGACAGTGGTTCATCCAGAATGGTGCCAACTCGGGCGTTGGTCGGGCCGCTATCCAGTTCGGAAAGCTCTGGGGTTTGAGGAGCATCAACGTTATTCGTGATCGTGATACTCCTGAGGCAACTGAGGCTCTCAAGAAGGAGCTTCTTGATCTTGGCGCAGATGTCGTTGTCACTGAATCTCAGTTCCTTTCCCGTGAGTGGAGGGACCAGCTTGCTGAAATCACCCGCAAGGGCCGCGAAGAGATTGGACTCGGTCTCAACTGCGTTGGAGGCAAGTCAGCTACCGCCGTCGCCCGATCTCTTGGCAGCGGTGCAACTCTGGTCTCATACGGCGGTATGGCCAAGCAGCCCGTCCAACTCCCCCTTGGTCTCCTGATTTTCAAGGACATCCGTTTCACTGGTTTCTGGCTGAGCCGATTGAACGAGCAGGATCCTACTGGCAGAAGACACGCGATCAATGATATCCTCCAAATCATCCGTTCAGGTCAGTTCCGCGACGTCCCTATCGAGGAGGTCAAGTGGGACTGGGATACAGAGGAAGAGACTTTGCGCAATGCTGTGCAGCAGGGTCTTCAAGGATTCCGCAAAGGCAAGGGAGTCTTCACTTTCGGTGAGACATAAGCGGGAAACATAAGAAGAATGAAGAAGACACTGATGAGGTAACGAATGGGATTGCTTTAAGTTTCTCGCCGATGTCATATACCATGAATCAACCAACGAGGAAGAAACGTAATGGGCACACTAGTCTCGCATCTTGGATACATATATCACCATGAATAGAACTTATGCTGGCAAGTACATATGAACATATACAAAATCGAGTTGCTATCCACTGTCTAACCCAGGCCCAAAACCTTTCATGTACCATAACGCCCTGACTCCATCAGATCGGATCTTTTCATGATTTCTTTAAGTCCGGAAAGCCTGCGCCCATTCATGTAATTTGTCAATGACAACGGGTGCATACGCAGTTAATGTATCCTCAATGACTCGATCGAAATATCGTAGCGCTTCCTCCTCGCTCAGCTCTAAATGGAAACGTTCTCGGACTTTGAGCACTGCCTTGTCCGGCTCAAGTCGGATATCAGGAATATTGGCGTCGACCATGAGGCTGAATAGATTAAGAATAAGGTTCGATGACTTGCGTAGTGCAGTGTATGCCAAGAAACAGTACTGCTTGAACTGTTTGTAATGCTCCGACTGCACACCTCCCATGCAATCCACCATCTCCTTTGAAAGCTTCATTAGGGGCGCAAAAGGCTTGGGATCTCGACCGAGGATGAAACCAAAATCAGCGTGGAAGAAATGACCGTCAGGCGCAAGGAGAAGATTCTCTAAATGACGATCGCCGACACCAAGGATGTAAGTAATGACACAGTAGCCTGCGCAAGACCTTACGTATGTGTCTAAAGTTTCCTGCCGAACGCCAAGGGGTTGCCTGTCGTCCGGATTGTGATACTTGAGATATGCCAGAGCTGGGTTATTCTTGAACTTATTGACAATGCTTGATAAGCTTGCCGACTGTACGAACTGCGAAGCACCAGCGGAAGTACTTGTCGCCAGAATCTTGTATGGTGACAACTTGAGGTCCAGATTCTCTTTCTGCAACAATTGATCCATGAGAGTGATGATCTGAATGACGAGCTGATCTTGTCTAAGATCATCGCCCAGCTTGAAGATGATGGGATATGGGCTGCCCGTTGACGTCTTGAACGTGCATTTAAATGGGTTTAGCGATGACTTGAAAACCACTGTCTGATCTGGGATGATTCCCGTCACCAATACTGAAGGATCAAGCGGCATTGGCAAAGGCGGCTCAAAAGTCAGAAGCTCATTCTTGGGGTCAGCCAAGAAATGTTTTACCTTGTCAACCTTCTTCGCGATCGATTCATTTGACGTTTTGACTTCTTGTGCAATCTTTGAAAGTATGGCAACTAGCTCGGCCTGACGTAGTAGAATTTTGCGTGTCTCTTGGCCATCCGGCTGCTTGACAAGCTCGACCATGAAATCATATGCAACCTTTCGGTAGATGTTACGATTATCAACACCCTGCTCAGGACTTGGGTCATCACACTCCACCATCAGGTACCAGTGGAAATAGTTTCCTAGTAGGAAGTTGGCAGCCGCCCGCTGTATCAGAAAGCGAGCCAAAGATGAATCATGAATACTTTCCTCATCTGATTCTGTTGAAATGTGTTCGTATTTGAGAGCCTGGACCAATTGTAGAAGATACAATAGCAACTCCTCATCATCAGCTTTGCGCAATCGCTCCACTGCGTAGGAACGAACTGCCGAGTTGTCGAAGGATGGTCCAAGAAGTTCAAGGGCATCGTCGACATCAATAGCAGTCCAGCGACCGAGTACTTGTATAGCTTGCCTTGATTCGCTCTGGTCATTCCAATTGACTGACTTAACAAATTTGGTCAAAGCTCTCTTGTCTCTAGTCAGGTGGTAGCGAAACTTCCAAACCAGATCAGTTTCCTCTGGCGTGAGAACATGAGTCGGAGAGTACGACATAATCAGATTCAGCTCATCTCGAACCTTGGCGTTTGGCTTAAGATCCTTGTCAAGAATGCCGTGACGATGCGAGCTTCGGAACAATCTTCTGTGTTTGGCTTCTGCGGGGTTGTCCCGGTGTCCAGCTTCGGGATCATACACTTTGATCAGGCGTCCCCCAAGCGCTGCAGAGCTCTCGCCCAGGGCATTGATGCCAGGGCCGTATTGAACTTGAGGCTGACGGTGGGCGAGACTGGCCTGAGAGACTGAGAGGTTCTGAAGAGCCGAGATAGGAGGAGGGCCGTATTCATGGTCGGCAAAAACGACGGGAAAGTCGAATCGCGGGAGTTCGACGTTGAGTAAAAATGTCGACTGGCCAGGTCTTTCGTGGTTGTCCTCGCCATCTTGGCCATCCGTTTCATGCTCGCCGCTGATGGCTTGTTGCCTCTGTAACATCTTCATTGACGATTTGGCAGCTTGTAGGCCTCTCTTTTCGAAGCTTCTGAATACCATCTGATCCAGCCAATCAACTCGAGGTATCTCGCCCATTTCGTGTTTCTTAAACAAAGTTTCCATCCTGTCCAGCTCCTCTGCGTCCTTATCCAGGGGAGGGAGCTGCTCTTTTCGAGATGTCTTCTTCTTTGTCGAGATTAGCGCTGGAGTTGTTGTATTATCGGTACCATCTGCGTGCTTATGTCGGTGGACGAGACACTTTTGTCTTCCTTTTTGTGCTTGGTTATCGTCGTCAAACATGGCCAAGGTAGTGCCTCCAAAAGGGATGGCATGGCCAATAGCCCCGTCTCCGCCAACTGGCGAAAGATCCCATACTGTTATGGCTAGACATGAGTTGGCCGGCAAGGAATCATATGTAATCGGTAGCTGAATCCACTCGTTCCATCTGTAGTCTTAATCAACATAAGTCGCTCGATAGCCTTGGGGGCGCTTCGTACTTTCGCTCGAATCGGAAAGGCTTGTAAGCAGTCTGTACCGGGACAGTCAAGGGCTTAGAACCGGACCAAACCTGCACAGTAACATACAGATCGGAGTAAGGGCTAGCAGTTCCAGTTAGTCTGGGGTGAATGCGGTTTGGGTCTCGTCGACATGGCGCACCTGATATTCGAGCCAATGTGGCGCAAGTCGGGTCGCTCAAGAAGGGTTGATGATCTGAAGGGAGGTTCCTCGCCTTCTAGATTCATACTACGCAAATGTTAATTCGGTCACCCGTGTTGAAGAGAGCTTCTTACATGCGGATGCTCACAGGATGGTGGACATCCTTGGAGCCCGCAAAGGAGAACGGGTCCATACGCCCGTACTCAGACATGACGACCTATGTCATTCTGTATACAGGATATAAGGGCAGCGAAGCGGGGTTGCAGTCGAGAGGAACGACTGTGCTGTGAGATCAAAGATGTTGCTGTGTGGAAATAGAGGTAAGAGTGATTGATGGCGTAGGTAACTGGTGGTTGCAGATGCGATAAGATAAGAGGTGTCCGGGAAGGATACCTACCTGAACCTGGGTTTTGGGTGACGTTCAGTCCAGTTAGTAGGTCCCGTCCGCTCCACTGTTAGAGACTTGTGGGGGAATCACATGGACGGCATTGAATTGTCACGAGACATCCATTAACAACAGTATCTACCTATGGAACTTTACATTTTATACTACATTGGCTTCGCTTGACTTGACTCTTCTAGACTCACCAACCTAGAGAGTTTTAGTCGACCGCTCCCAACGGAATCTTTGTGTCGATTAATTCTGCCAGAAGCAGGGGCTGGTTTATAACAAGCTTTCGGCACTGTCGTTTAATCAAAAAGCTTCTTCCCATAGCCATTCCTATATGAGTTTCGATATATATATAGCAAAGCTAACCCCTGGTTTTTCGACCGAGTCATGAGGTAGCAATGTTGGTGCCTCATTTCCTCCTCAAAGATCCCTGGCCAAATATCAAGGTAGGTATGTATATATATGTAATGGCATTGCACCTAGTATATGTCTCTCAATAATATATTGCCTGCAGATCTTTTCTTTATGTACATCCTCTCCGGCAATTAGTCTATGTTCCCGAAGGCATAGCAAGACAAGGATCTGAGGATATTGGATCTAGAGCAAGTTTCAAGCCTCTAAACTGCATAGCCCAAACTTAGAAGCCACACCATCAACCTGATCAATCAATGAATCTCCTTCGGAGACATCCGCGGAACTTTATCCCTCTCATACCCTGGACCAACATCTAACTTGGTACATCAGCCTCTTCAGCTCTTCCACTAATACTGCACTGCACTGTACTGTACCCTGTTCTGCAAAAGATCTTCACTCCTTCGGGCGGTGTAAATCGTCATAACTATTCAGTCTCATCTGCCACCATAATTTAGATATAGCAGCGACTAGTCCTCATGCCTCGTTCCCTCAGGGCTTTGCTCTCTGCTGCTTCAGCCCATGACACGGCCTCTCCGCGCCCAAAGTAGGCCAAGATGGCTCACGAGAGTCGCAACGATGCTATGTTAAGGATCATGCCCAACGGGCGATATACCGTGGAGGCAATTATGGTTATTGTACGAAATCCCTCGCGATCAACACTACGAGAAACTAACCAACGCTGGCCCGACAGATCTGCGCCACTATTTCGTTATACAATAGCATCGAGTTGCTTGCTCTCATCTTCACATCATCCAGACGACGCAGCGACTTGTATTTCTGGAGCATCACTGCGGCTTCGGTGGGCATCTTGCCATACGCGGTTGGCTGGTTGATCCGCTACCTCGACGTTGTTGGCGATGTGCCGGATATGATCATCAATGACATCGGATGGATGCTCTTGACTACTGGCCAAGCTCTAGTCCTATATTCTCGACTCGGACTGCTCGTTAAAAGCGCAGTTGTTCTCTGCGTGACAAAATGGATGATAATCGTCAACGCTGCCATTTGGCATAGCGCCATAACTGTACTCATCTTTGCCATCAGCCGCCAGCGGAAACTCGACCCCGGCGGCGCCTTTGTCAAGGTTGACAAGTTCCAGTTGACAGTGTTTTGCGTACAGAATTTTATCCTTTCTGGTCTTTACCTGTGGAAAACCACAAAGATATTGAGGAAGAAGACGCCACAGCATCGAACCAGCCGCGTCCTGTGGCATCTCATTCTCATCAACGTTTTACTTGTACTCATCGACGTTGCACTGCTCGTCGTCGGCTTTACCAACTATTTTCTCTGGCAGCAAGGCGTAAAGGCAGTCGGATATTCAATCAAACTCAAGCTCGAGTTTGCTATACTGGGAAAACTTGGCGATTTTGTTTATAACGGGGGAGAACTGGTGACTGACTATCCCATGTTTGGGTTTGTGGATATGGAGCCTGAGCCTGAGCCCCAATCCAAGTCAAGGCCAACAGCACGGCCAATACAAGCCCCTGAAGTGGCCCATGTCGAAAGCTCCAGGAAGCCATCAAGTGCTTCTGCTGCCGAGTCGTCGCAGCATCGCGAGTTCGTATCGGGCGAGACTGTTGTTGACAAAGGCAAGGGTGTATTGAGGTGTGCATTGGATAAGGGCAAAAGTAAATGTGTAGGCGACTGCAGCAGCAATGGTGTTCAAACTTCGAATTAGCATTATACCCGGGTTTCTAGCTGATAGTTATTGTTTTGTACTATGTGCATATTTACTTTGATGCCATAGCTTCCTAGCGTCTTTATACAAATGGAATAATTCTCAGGCATATCAACGTGTTCCTTGTGCCACCGCCCAAACTCCTCGCAGCTGTTATACATGAATCTCATTGTCCACCCATGATGTCCATCTAGTTGTGACCCTGAAGATGCCATTCAAACACCTTCATGAAGACATCCTTTCCATCTCCTTCCAAGACATCTCCGTGGCAGGGGATCATAGTATCAAAGTCCCACTGAGAAATTCGGGCCATGCTGTCGTTAAAGCTATCACGGTTCTTGGCGAGCACATACCAGTTGAAACGTTGCAGCCACTTGGTATCGCCGCGTGGGTTCTGAACGCAAGCGAATAGCTTACCGACAGCACCATCTCCAGGAAGTTCTGCTTCAGGAACTTTGCTGTACTGCTCGGTGGGTGGCAGGTTGAAGAGCAAATCAGCCTGGATCAAAACACGCTCAGGCTTGTAGTTGAAGACGATCTCGAGGTTGGCATGGCCGTCGACGTATTCGTAGTCAAAATCAGCGTCAAACTCAGGATCGATCCTGGTCTCCCGCTTGGTGTCCTTCTCGAAAACAACGGCGAATTCTTCATTACCGATCTTAGGGTCATCAGTTTGCTTAGCGCGCTTCTCAGGCAAACCCTCTGGGCCGATGATCTTGGCTGAGGGATATTCCTTTGCCCACTCCGAGATAAAGATGTGATGCTCATAGTCAAGAGCAACGATGTAGCGAACATCGCCTCCCATCTCGATGACTTTGGTATGGGTGGCTTTTGTGAGTGCTACAGGAGAGAAAATGGCGAGACCTCCAGAAGTGAGCTTGACTGTTGGGCATGGATGTCAGTCTGACTTGTGTCTTTACAGATGGAACAGAGACGAGTTTACATACCTAAAGTACCTCGACCACCAATCTTGACCTTTCCGAATCGTGAGAAGGGCACTGAAAAGGTTGCAATGTTGGGGGTGACATTGCGAATGACCATGACATGATCAGGGTCTGAAGGAATGAGTTTGGATGACATTTCTGCAGAGTTGGTTTGATGCGATTGTGACTGTGACTGTGACTGTGGCTGTGAACTGAAGTTTCGACTCTGGATAGGAAGCGTAAATGAAGTTGTTAAAGACTTGAGTCTTGGAGTTGATGAGGTTAAGCTTGGAGGATGTATGACGTTGAATCCGAGTGCACGTGAAAATGAAAGTGTAAAAGGCTTCTGTTGCAACTGGAATAATCTGGGCAGTTCGTTATTTAAGTATCCAATACGGGCCGAAGAGCGTATCATCACGAGGAATTGATTGATTGATTGATTGTATTTGTAAGTAAGTAATTAGATACCCAAAGGGTCCCGAGGGTCGTAAGTTGGAGCAAGACAAATAGCCATGACATCAACATTTTTCTTCTACTACTTAATTATTAGATGTCATCCGTTTCGGCCGACAAATCTCGCCCGATTTCCAGGGTCTTGGAATTACTTTCAAAGGTAAAAGTGGATACTTACTATGTATTTGTATTTATTAATAAGTGGTTCTTATCATGTGAATATTGACAACTGAACAAGTAGTTGCTTGGATATTATACCTACCTAGGTACTAACATGTAGCACTTGTTATTGATACAATGGAACTTGTGCAATTGATCTTATACAATATCCTCTCATAACAAGTACAAAGATTCTGTTTCTTTCCATCAATTCTTCTTGATCCTAGCTGATCCATTCGGCGACTTGATGCACCCCGAGAACCCGCTCTACCGGTATTACAGCTTACCAACCTCGGCCTCGTCAACGGCAACGGCAACGGCAACGGAAAACATTCCTCTATTTGATCGCAGTACTCACTAGACTCGGATGAAATGACAAAAGAGAGGCACATTAATAATCTTCTCTCCTGAACTCCAAAGGAACCTCAACTTATATATACCTAGGTAGTAAGAGACCTCTAATGAACTCCTTCACTCCTTCAACGATTAGCCATACTATACCTATGCTGTAAGTCTAGAACGTATGATCCCCAATTATAACATTCAAATAAAATCGCCAATACAAATGGGAAACTCCACACAAAACTGACCACAAAACCAATCGAGGCCTTCACCGCTCCCGTCAAACTTGTAATACCTAAAACCCAAGCTGTAAATCCCATAATGCCGCTGATACCTTGCCATTCCAGTCCTTGGTCCCCGCTGAAGCACTTTGTAGCAATTCCCCTTAGCATGAGGCTTCTAGCCAGGCCGTTGGCGTCGAGCCACATATTCCGCTCCTTCTGTAAAGCCGCTTGATCATACCAAATGTAAATCTTTAGGTAGACCGCTCTAATGAACTCCATATCTACTAGGACACGATAGAATTCCTCGAGTTGCGGCGGACTAGGAAACGGACCTGCATCGCTGCGTTTAGTGTATCGTCGCCAGGAGTATCTCGCCGTCTGGCCAAAGAACGCTGTGAGATGAAGCCAACTTAAAAAGTGATCTCGCAAGAAACGCCAGACATGCCGGCTAGTCCCCTGCGGTAGGCTAAGTGCTGACGTTGAGAGAGAGGAGTGCACAGGTTCCAAGGATTCGTTCTTGGCGTTCTGCCCATCTTCATCTTCGTAACCGTTCTCATCCTTTCTGCTTGGTGTTGTATTGTTACCAGCTATCGTGCTTTCGGGACCAAGGCCCTTTTGCGAGCCTTGTGACTGGTCCTTCTCTGAACTATCTCCCTTTGCGGACGAAATGTCTCCTATGGTGGATTCTTTCTTGTCGGAAGGGGTTTCGACAGATGACTCTTGAACGGTAGACTCTTGCATACCGTCTAGTTCATGCGAACGATGCTCAGACTTTGGGACAGTGGATCCTTGAGCATCCAAAGATGGAGGAGGCACATGATCCTGTAAGGCACGCGTCGACCCGTCAACAGGGAGCAATTCTGGTTGGAATGGTTTCTTCTTCGGTGATGATGCGGCAGAAGAAGGCTTCGGGGCGAATTCGCTGAACATTGAGCTGGTCATGCTGCTGGCCATGCTGCTGCCTGGAAGAGGGCTATCAAACATGGAAGACTGCGTTCCCTGCGATCTGTGAGACCAGGCGCTCGGACTGGGAGAAGGGTAGACGCCTGTTTGCGTTTCAAAGAGGCATTGGCCTGCCTTGACGAGATCGTCACGATAGCGCTCAGTCATAGTTATACAAAGGTCGATAAGTTTCAAGTACTTGTCATCATCTTGGCTATTCTGCTTGTTGTCGTTCAAGGAGGCTATGTTTTTACTGCAGCGTTGACGTGCCTTCTCAAGGAGACTCAAAGCCTTTTGCATACCGACTAGGCTTACATCAAATTTGTCTGTTCTCGTCGGTGTAGTGAATCTGTTTTGGCGTGGCGAGTCGACTATACGCGCTGTTGGGGGAGAATCAAACAGTCCTGTTGGTTCATGCTGCCTACTTGCTTCAGGCGACGGTGGAGTTTGTGGAGTTCGCAGCTCTCCCCGACGAGAATTCTTTGTTCCTTGATTGACTTGAAAGATTCTGCTGTGGTTGTCCTTCGCGTCTACAAGGGATGATTTGCTGGCATTAGACTTGTCGCGAGAAGCATGGATCGTACCCGACTGCTGCTCTTGACCCTCGTCCTCCCAGTCAGTTGAGCTTTCATCATCGACGAAGGCTTTTTCCAGCTCAAGACCGAGATATAACCCAGTCTCAAGTAGACTTTTCATCATAAAGCCCGGATGTACGGGGTGTATGCTGTCGATTGGTTGTGGCCAGGGTGTTTCGGGTTCAGGATTCCTCGGGCCATCATGTCGTACGCGAAAGCATGTGTTCGGATCAAAACTTCTGTCTCTTGGTAGTCTCGATGAACCACTGCGGACGGTTCCAGGGACAGGCGGATCTTTGCCAATAGTTGCATCTCTTGGATTCGACTCTATCCAGGGAGTACGAGAATTCTCTTCCGCAGATTTCTTCTGTGTTCCCGGGTTCTGAACCCTTTCGAACGATAGACCACCACTACCTGGTGTGAAACCTGGTGTCAAGTTACTACCAGTATCTTTAGACGCGGCAGTCGGTTTGTTCTGGTTTGAACTTTCTTTGACCCGGGTTGCGACCTGCTCTTCGACTCGTTTGAACTTATGTCTGACTGCTTGGAGATCACTTTTCAGGTCCTTGATTTGTGATGTGGCTGTCTTGAGCACTTTTTCGACCTTGGTTTTGTCCTTTTCGACAGCAGTTTCTAGTTGCTTGATACCATGCTCGAATTGGTCAATGTTTTCTTGTTGTGAAGCATTGCAAGTTCTGAACATTGCTTCAACGCATTCTTTCGCATGTGCCTGAAACTGGTTCAGGATCTTCAAGGCTTTGTCTGGAAGGGCAGCGCTCGAGCGATCATATTGATAGAAGGAATCGATGCTCGATACGAGACTGGACTTTTTTTCTTCCCAGCTCTGAATAGTTGTATGTGAGTGAGTTTTGGTTTCTGCCAAAAAGATATCGAAGCTAGCCATCCTGTCGTAGTGGTTAGGGGCGAACCGTGTGACAAAGGGTGTCGATGAAGGTGTTCTGGAATGTGCTGCAGATGCGAGTCCAAAAACGAAATTATATCAACGAGTCCACTCGTGACGGGCACAAATGCTTGTGAGGTATCGAGATGCTTGAACAATTGACAGGAAAGTAGATCAAAGACAAGAGGGCAAAGAGGGATTATGAAGAGAACAGGAGAACGTCCTTGACGTTGGATGATATCTTTGTCTATATTCTCTCTGGTTCGTTTCTTTGTTGGTTCATCCATCAAAGATACCAAAATATACCTAGGCCACACACCTTGTATCGTGCACAGGCATACTCTCACAAAGACAAAATGCCACCAACAGACCAAAGGCCATGCTGTATGTGCTGGCCACAGTGACATGGCAGTCAAGAACAAAGAAGCGCCACCAGAGTTTGTCCTCGACCTGTGCAAGAGACTGGTCACCATCGCCATCGCCGAGCGTCTATGCTTTGAAGGGCGAGCATCAACTCAAGGATTGCATGACAAAGGATCCGAAAGAGTCAGGGTATTCTTGTAATGTTATCACCTCTCTTCGTCCTCAGCTATACCACCCTCTAGCGCCAGGTCCTGAACTTGTTACATCATTTCTGTGTGTAATCATGGGTTCCTTAAGGCCAAAGGTATCAATGATATCTTGCCAAGTCTGCATATCCATAGATAGAATAGCCTGATGTTTTGCCGCTCCGTGCCGTGTTGGCTCGTCGTCGTCTTCGGCCTCGTCTTTATTGACCGGGGCTACAATATCATTTAGCGACACACCGTGATAATTGCACCAAAGCTGACTTACCAAGTGCTGGAAGATCAAACTCATCGAATTCGATTTCAACTCGACCATCCCGTATGAGAAAACTAACGTAGAACATGTTCTCTATGGTTTGGCCGAAAGATTTGGGATTTACAACAAAGCGCATCAAGTCTATGCCGCCAGTACTACGGAGACCATATTGATGCATGATCCTGTTCCTCTCTTCATCGTCCATATCGTCATCAATACTGTCTGATACGGTTTGTTGAAGATGTGCTTGGCTGCTTTGTAACTGTTGGAGGATTTTGCCACAGATTGCAGTGAGGTCGTTCTCTTTTTGCGCCAAGTCTTCAACGTTGAGTACTTCTGGGCGTGTTTCCGTCAGGGCATTTGGTCTAAAGGGTGCGCTTCGCTTGGCGATTTTGCGAGCTTTCTTCTCAACCGATAGAGGACCGAGGAGGAATCCAGGGAGAGCAGGTCGGCGAAGATGTGGAAGGGAGGCGAAGCGACCAAGGTGCGGCCAGTTCATCATGTCACCATCGTCGCCAATATCATCATCTCCGTTGTCGTCGCCTCTTGTAGTTCTCCTTCTGTGGCGTTGAGTACTCGAAAGCTCTGGCGCATTATCATCCATGATTCCCCGGCCATGCCTCATGTATGTGATGCATTTTGACACAAACTCATCGACATCCACACCTTGTGAAAGGCTACCTTGCGTCAATCTCAAAGTTTTCCGATATGACAGATCAGTCGTGCTGACAAGTAGACGGGAGTCGATCGTTGCTTCAGTTGTCTGTCGTACTTTCTTTGACAATCGATTTGCGCGAATGATAGTTTCGTGAAGCCCTCGTGAGCCGGCCTGCAGATACTCTTCCGTGTTTTCAGTCACTTCGCGTAACAGGTCTCTGAAGCCCTGTTGAACTTTACGACGTTCTTCCAACGGCTGGTCGGGGTCATATACGTCCTCATCCTCATCGTCGTCACTCTCGTCTTCGTCATCGCCATTGGCCACAGGTTCAGCTGTCCGTCTTCGATTGTTCGAGGGTTCGCCATTTCGTGTGTCTGCCCGTTTTCTCTTGGAGCCTGAAACAGAACGACTGGATTCTCTTTCTCTCACGGTAAGGTTTTGGTGCGACTGTGCAGCTCGTGGGGCCGGAGACGGCGATCGTGATTGCGACTCTTGGCCCGAGTCTTGCCTCCGGGTAGGCATCTGTGCGGTGAGCTGAAGACGTGTATAGAGAATGAGATGAAGACGAGAATTGTTTCCGGGTCTATCGACGTGGATATCGGTATTATCGCATGCGTATTTTGAGATTGTGAGACAAACAAAATCGTAGGAGAAATCGCGTCTTGGTGGTTAGAAGACGCGACTGAAAGGATGTAAGGTACGTATTTCAATTAAGCTGCAGGGGCCCACCTCCAGGTAGTAGGAAGGCACTGTACTGTAATACTAAGGTGGGCTGGAAGGATGTGAAGTGCGGGGCAGTGCATAGCGGCTGCCTCTAACAAGTGACAGTTTCACCCTCCACTTGAACCGCACATCAATTTAATGCTACATATATCCTCATCAATTAAGGAACCAGGTACCTGGAGATCTGTTTATATCGGTCCTATATTACTTATATAAACAGCAAGTGGTTTCAACACACTTTGGAAAGGTCTTTCTGAGATTTCAAGGTAGTATTTTGATCGCTATAGAAACGCATGGACGCTATGATTATTCCTTACATGGATATCTCCATGTCTTCATGACATAAACCCCTTTGTAATATATACTTTATGAACGGAACCCTCTCTATATCCCTCCGCCTCTGTTTCATTGCCATGGTCTACCATGTGAAACTCTCTTCTACAAAGTCAACCACGCTCGAACCCTGCACCGCTCTGGCAGCACCACGAACGTCGTCAGCAAGAGCGCCAGGCCCACATACTGTGACACACATGGCACCCATCTGCTCTTGAACCTCTCTTTCCAGGATTAGGGGAACGTTCGGCCGTCCAGGGAACATGCGCACCGTGGCGCTAGCACTGACAATATCGCGTGGGTTCTGAGGACGGGTGACGAAGATCTGGATGCGAAGGACATCTTTTCGATTGGGAATGCGGAGGATCGTATCCATGTACGGTCGTACCCATTCGAGAGACTCGTATTCACGGATGATCCAAACAAGGGTTACCCGCCGAGTGGCAGTCGTGCCCTGGTTGTTGCCTTCCAGAAGGTGACGGATGTAAGAGATTTGGTGAGTAATTCCAGTTGATCCAGCAAAGAGAACTGCGTGGCCATAAGAGTCGAGGCTATGGTGTCCGGCATAGGGGCCTTCCATGGCAGCCTTGGCGCGAAGGCCTCCAGGATAATGAGAAGCACGGTCGAAGAGCTTCTTGGTAAATCCTGTCTGGGCTGCGATCAAGAAAGAGACAGTTGTAGTCATGGCCGACTTGTCGACTGCGTTGGAGCCCTCCTTCTCCGCGATGGGCAGACTGTTGTCGCGAACATGGTTGATCCAGCAGATTGAAAAGGGGTGGCTCTCCCAAGCGCAAACACCCCAGATGCGCAGGTATGCATGGGTACCAGGCTCGATGTCCATGTATCGTGGCAAGTGAAGAGTAACTCGAGTGACGTTGCCAGGCATGGCCTCGCACACTGCCTCGGTCCAGCCCTTGCTCGACCAGTTGACAGATAGAAGACGGAACATTCGAGAGAGGCGGTCAAAAAACCAGAGACCCATGATACCAATGATCCATGAAAGCTGAGGAAGACCTCCAGGAAGTGCAGACGAGGCGCAGTGAACCCAGACAGCAACGAAGGCCACAAAAGCCAGGACAATGTGGACATTCAGAAAGGTTTCGTAAAAGGCATGACGTACAGGAGAAAGGGAAAGCAGGGCAAGGAAGATCATAGCCACCGTACCAACAGTTCCCGAGCTGTAAAAGGGGATGGATGAGATTTGGTGACCAACACCATCCCAGCCTAGATCGTCCACGGCGACGACGAGCCAGGCGATAGTGTGGATGATAGACTCGAGAACCACGATGCGGCCCATCCAGCGATGGAGGAGGTTGTATGTGTCGAAGCTGATCTTGAGCCATCCGATAAGAGGGTTGTTGCGTCCAGCAAAGATGATTAAGGGCACCATGCTGACAAGGGCCAGCGTGCCTGAGCGACCTCGTAGCTCTGCACAAAAGGCAAGCTTGTTTTCATTGGCCCAGTTGAGAAAGAACATGTAGACAAAGTTACTGCCCAGATAGATGAAAAGAATAGTGAGGTGAAGTCGGGAGGGGAGGGTGCCCATGCTGATAGCAGAAGAAAGCTTGAACTCTCGGTTGTGACGCTTGTTCCACAAGGGGGCATAGGTGATGTGCTTCTTCACGCCGGGCATCCATGACCACTGAGAAATCTTCCAGTACTGTTGCTTGTGGCCAGGCATATTCATGGCCGACATATGGCGGAGTCTTGCCCATAGGATCTCGACGATTCTAATCCACAGAACGATGAGCGCCATGATACCCAGGGTCCACCATAGCACATCCTTAAATAGCAGGTTCATAGGTTGGTTGACACCGTCGAGATTTGAGTGATAGTTGGCTTCGGCATCTTCGTGGGACGCTTCGGCACGAGATTTGAGTACTGATGTAGGTATGTACGAGTTGATGTCGGCGATCCGGCGCCGTGTGAAATCCATTTTGTCTTTATTAGCTCTCCAGAAGAGAACGAAAAAGAAAATGACCAGATGTGAGGCTCCTTTATATGGAAGTTCTTAGATGGAAAAGAAAGAGTGAATAGTCGTTGTTTGCTGTGAATGAATGATGAGACAAGGCGATTGCGAAAATGGTCAAGAATCCCAAACAAGCACGCAGAGGTCGGTGGTGGTGTATTTTAAAGAAAGTAATCCGTATGCTGTTCGTCCTTGTGTTCGTCTTTTGGTGTCAGAACATGATCGTAATCAGGTGTTGACGTGATGGTTGTGTTAATAAATCGTGATCGGCGAGCCGGCTTGTGAGTAGTGACCTTGTTGTGTTCAACACAATGACACAACACAAAGGCCAAAGGCGAAAGAACAATAAGGGACAAAAGAGTCCGGGCAGAACAAGGGCGACTTATTGACCGGTGCCAAGACAGTGTCTGTAAGCGCTGTTCACCTCGTCCACGAAGTGATGTTCTGAACAGGCTGCAACTGAAAGAAACCAGAGCCAGCTGATGGTAGGTAAGATCCCAATTTTGTTTTTTTGGCGGATGGGATTTGGATCTGCGGTAAAGAACGGGTCGACGTCAATTGCCGCGAGTAAGTAAAAGTAAAGTCGGATCGATGAGATGAAGTCGACGGGAGGCAAGGGCGCTTGGTAGTAGCGACAAGGAAGGCAGGGCCAGAGGATCGACGTTTTTTTTGGCGCGTGCAGTGTTGTACTGTGAGCGGCAATGTAACAGTCGAGGCGCTTGTTGCAAGACACAAGACAAAGGATCTGATCTACCAGAGACAACAATGACGAGGAAAATGGCTGTTTATGAATGTTTCAAGGCGTTCTAAGACCTGTTGCAGAGAAACACGCGAGGGCGAAACGAAACGAGCAGCTGGCAAGCAGTGCAGTAGATCAAGCGAATGTAGAGGTTACGTAGGTACCTTGGTAGGGAAAGGGAATGGCCAGCCTGTGTGAAGAATGTATAAAAAGTCTCAGAAAAAGACGAAAATAGAAGAAGCAGAAGCAGGCAAGGAACTGAACCACCGTAAACGGTATGAAGAGGAGGAATGAAAGCAGGCCTGGGAGCAGGCGTCGTGATAATATGTAAATGAGCCGCCACGCTCCGCCCTCTCCTCTCCTCTTCCCTTCTCAGCAAACAAACCTGTCCGTCCTGGCGCTGAAAGGATTTACCTGCTACGGGTTCATTGGGCCAGGATGCCTCCCTGTATGTAGGATGAATAGTGCGTCTGTATCCATGTGCAGGGAACCCCTTACCTACAGCCTCCCGTCCCCTTGCTTCGTCCAACGAGATGCAACGAGTCAAGTTATCAAGGCTGTGAGTGGCTACCAAGATTATCCGAAAAGTCCAGATGATGGACACCCCTGTAATCGCTCTTCTCTACCTACTCCCGCAATATCCGTGGAACCGAGAAGGTTGAGATTTGATTCCGCATTATAGATCTGTTTGGATCGCACATCACGCTACGGGTGTGCCTTCACAGAGAACATCTCTCTAAAATAGGACGTTCTATTGCGTGCAATCACCTCTTTCGTGAGCATCTGCTGTATGTACCGTACATAGCCCTGAGGAACGAATGTTAGTCTACCATTCGACCTTAAAAAAGCCCTCGGCAGGGGTAACGGCGTGGCTGTTCAAGATACAACCAATTGGGTGAGAGATGTCGCTGCCAGATCTCAGAGTTGGCCGCTGGCGGGAAAAAGAACACGATTTAGTGGTTGCTTGCACTCCAACCCTGGTTATGCCGCCCATGCTTCTGAAACCAGCCACTGCTTGGCCCTGGCTCGGACAAATCCCAGACCCCTTTTGGAATGATAACTCCAAGAACTCCAGCTGAGTTGGTCAGGGGTGAGTGGCTGTCAACGGCCAGACCTAGAGCAAGAATACGGGTTTTGGGGCCGTTGCAGCGCTTGATAGCCACTCAATGCCCCGCAAGATCTTCTAGAGGTATCCGGTAGGGAATGGAATGACAACCCGTTCGGGCTTGTGTCACGAGCCGAAGGCATCACCACCACTGGTTCACCATCTACAACATACTACGTACTACCTACGTACTACCCATTACTTGTTTCCTTGTGTGAACGTTTCCTGTTTTATGTTTGCATATAAACATTTTTTGTTCCAGTTCCGTCTTCGTCTTCTGACGCAACTCTTGATTATACTGGCTGACAAGAATGGGCTGCCTGAAACAATTCACCGGCAATACGGCAAACTTAGAGGGGCTCAGTCTAGGTTACGGCGAGTGTGTAAGATGAATAATCACTGCGCTCACGATGCTTACTTCCATGTTGACGAGAAGACTCTTATACTGACTTGAAATTTTTGCTGGTCGCTTAAGCATGGTCAGATTACGCCTCAGAGCAGGGCAAGAATTTACATGCACCCTGTTAAAGCGGCCCGCAATCTTATATTTCACGTCCTGTGGTTGATGGAATTCCGTTTCGACGTCAATCTGATACAAACTGCACCTGCGGCCCGGGTCACCGTCCGACATGACAATGGAAAAATGGCCGTTGCCCACTCTGTCCCCGGGGTACATCCCATAAGAAGGGCTCTTGGCACCTGCACTCCCTCCGGCTTTGTGACCCAAGAGAGATAGTATATCATGAGACGAGCCTCTTGGCGTCACAGGTGAAATGATTCAGTCCCTAAGAGCTCGCTTCCACTGCCTTGGGAAGCTTGGGAAACTAGACACGACCCACAGACGGGCGCTATCTTGATTCTGGAAAGGGCAATCCTGGGTCCCATTCAGGCGATCGTCCTGAACCTGATGCTTGCTTTTAATCCTTCCTTTCACCCATCATGCAATGATAAGCTTGCTGTGAAATCGTCGACAGGGTTACGTGACATGTTGTTTGTCATTGACAGCGGGCGTTTGCCTCTGGGCATTCATCCCTTCTTTAGATACGCAGTTGTACATTCGTTCCAAGATCATCTAGATCTGTGAAGGCGCGGAGCTGACCGAAAAACCCCCACAAGAATGGTAACGAGATTGCCGATTATGCCATGTTCTTGCTCTTCTCGAGTCGCGATCACGCCAGCACGGACGTGACATTGATTGATGTTGTGTCAAGTTGGCCGATGCGTATCCGTAACTTCTATGTAGAAATCATGCTTGATGATACTCCATACACAAATTTGGTGGTCGGCAATACGCCACAGCATGCGCCACGTTCTGTGCCACACTTTCGTCACTGGGCTTTGAAACCTGAGGCAGAAAAGAATGCCCGTTCCCGTGAGGCTCCCGAACAACGCCGGAAATTTCCAGGAAGGCTATCACGAACTGGGTATTGAATATCGGTGCACAGCCATTGCGGTCAACACAATGGGTTCCAGCGAGTCGAAACCAATCTCCTCACATGTGTGGAAGGCGTATGTCATTACCAACTTGCGAGCCATTTCAATAAATCTCAATCAGTAACTGACAACTTGCCAATAAACAGCTCAGCGCCCAACGGCATCTCACAAGACCTTGTCGATTCACTACAGTCTAGCAACGAGGTACACTCATTTCATATCAATAATTCACTAGCAGGCTTCTCAGGAATCCAATGAAACTAACAGTCTTGTGTTCTTTCTGAGTAGACCGATGCCTCTCGATCCAAGATAATCGAGCTCCAGATCCAGGCCCGCGTGGCCGAGGAGCTCAAGAAGCTTCAGCAGAAAGAGGCCGAAGCCCTCAAGCTCGCCCACGAGAAACTCTCTAACGCCGAGTTTAAGGACGAAAACAGCACAAGCCAGTACACTGTTAGCAAGGAGATCGAGGCGATGCGTCAAAAGCTCGAGGCTCGTAAGCAAGTCCGCGATCTCCCTGAGAGCGTCGACGGTGCGCGCAATGAGGTTATTCGATGTCTACGGGAGCACGACCGACGGCCGCTCGACTGCTGGCAGGAGGTGGAAAACTTCAAGGCTGAGGTTAAAAAGCTAGAGAAGAGCTGGGTTGAGAAGGTTGTCTCGTAGAGACAGAATGCTGCGGGGATTTGTAATGAGAATGGGGAACGATTCTATAGAGAAATAGAGACGGCGGGCTCTGGCATGCCCAGACAGGAACGCAAGTGTACATTACGACATTAGGAGCGGCAAAAGCTATGTTGAGGAATCAAAGTGTACAGCAACTTATATCTCGAGGACCAGTCCCTGTTCTTCCTCTTCTCTTTCACTGACATCTTTTCCTTTGCTTGTGTCCGCTTCTTGCTTGGCTTTCAGCTCAGCCTTCTTCCGCAGGCCCTCAGCACGTTTTCTTTCTCGTCTTGCTGCGGCATCCTCCCATTCCTGTCCCTCTGGGTTTCGGCGCGGCACGGGTGCGGATATAGCGTCCCGAAAAGCGTTCTGGAAACGTTCAATGCGCTTTTTATTCTCGGCGAAGCGCTCATTCGCAATTTCCACAAGTGTCTGAAGATATTCAGGGGAGACTATTCGTTTGCGATGGCCGTCAACTTGCTGTCCAACAAGAGATTCAAAGGCAAGGCCCATTGTCCGTATAGCAACCATTGGAGTAGTGACATCTTTACCGCTGGGGACAATGTTAAGAGCACCCGACTCCCGGAAGCCTGCTTGTAGACCACATCGCAGAAGTATTTGAGCGTGCTCTGCTGATGCCGTAAGGACGTGAAGAATCTACATAATGTCTCAGCATGACTTGCACTTGTATTCTAACATTGCCTCTCCTCCAATACGGAAAGGCATGGCTCTGCTTACCATTGCCTCAAACTTGAAATGAATAAGTCTTCTTTCTTTGGCTGCCGCCGCTCCATCATGACTCGTTGCAGAATCCTCAAGTCCAAACAGACTGCTCCAATCTGTGACCCCGTTACTTTTATCAGGTACAGGGTCGTGGGAAACAAATAACCAAGCTCCTCCAGCACCCTTCCCCCCAACGCCTGCTACTCGCTCATCTTCATTCTCGGCATCAGCAACTCTTCGACCCTCAAGGAATACGCTAACACGCCCTGCACAGCTGCTAGTAGTGACGAATCCAGACTGCTGGTTGATTTCATCGATAAGATCACGGATGCCCTCATCTACTGAACCTTTGGGCGAAGCATCAGTGTATTCTGTATCAGGAATCGCGAGTTGGTCGAGAATCTTTTTCTTCCGCTCAATGAAAGCGGGTGGACAAGAGGCGAGTTCTTGCATCGTGGATGTGAGGCAAGACTTTTTATTTGTTAGTTTACACGCGAGGCTGAGATAGGTCACGATGGACAGGCAGGTAAAGGGTAAGTGGAGGGGCTTTGCTAGAAGGATATCAGAAAATAGTGGTGGGGATGAGAGAAATTGTTAGCACGAAAACCAAGATTACGGACGCGGGGTAGGTTCAAGTTAGTAGCTTATCATCAGCGGCTTGTACCTCGTGATCTAATTGTCGTCAACGCCAACTTCATTCTCACATCCATATCTCATATCACAAATCTCACTCTGAGATGCAGCCCCGATGTTGATTAATTCATTTTATTTCTTGTTCTGTCTGCAGTCCACCGCAGATTCTATCATCTCATTTGTGTGCTTGTATTCCTCCGTTGTACCAGGTTTCCCATATTTTACCCAACGCCATTCGATGATTTTCGATAATCCCATTCCCTTTGAATTCAGCAAGATCGAATACTGAACCAATTTATTCCCTAAAACGCCATGCATAATGCTTCAATCATTAAGTCATCAAAGATAATGTTTTGTCTGGTTGCGAGTGCGTTCAGACGGTAGGCAGAGCCACTTTCTCAAGGGCAGCAGCAAGCTTTTCCTCTTGTTGCTTGCGCTCCATCATGGCAACAAACTCGGAGTATCGAGATTGCTTGTTGTGAATACCACACTCGGTCTTGTCCTGGCCCTTCCATCGGCCGGCGCGCTCGTCCTCGCCCTCCTTGACGGGGACGGTAGAGTGCCAGTCACCGACAGACTTGTAGCCTTGGTCGAGGAGAGCATTGTAAGGGACGTTGTTCTCCTTGATGTAGTTGTCGACCTGCTTGAAAGACCAAGTGGCCAAGGGGTTGATCTTGACAACACCACGCTCATCATCAATCTCGATGATGGGGATGGAACCACGAGCGGCACCTTGAGATCGTCGGCGACCGTTAAGAACTGCAGCGACCTTGAGCTCATCGTACGCTCGCTGGAGAGGCTCGACCTTGACGATCCAGTCGTACATCTCACTGGCGGTGTTCCACATTTCCTTGCCGTACATGTCCTCAAATTCTTCGGCAGTGTTGACACCATCAGGCTTGAAGATGTGAACAGGCACATTGGGGTATCGGGCCTTGACTCGGTCGACAAGATCGTGTGTCTCCTTGAAGTGGTACAAGGTATCCAGGAAGATAAGGTCGACAGTAGGGGTGTTAGGCTGCTCCTTCTGAATCTTGGAGAGCATGTCCATGGTGGCAAGTCCGGTCAACCCAAAGGCAGTCGATTGATACAGGTTAGGGAACATGACCTTGCAGAATCGGAGAATGTCCATGGGGTGCATGTCCTCAAGCACGTTGTTGAGGTGGTCGACATGGGGCTTTGTCAGAGTGACCCGTGGGAGAGTGGTTGACGATGATGGGGATGAGTATTCTGAGTTTTGTCCAGAGACGTAGCCTGACTCGCATTCAAGCTTCATGTCGGTGAGAGACACCTGCGAGGAGGTTTCAGAGATGAAGGCAGGCATGTTGAAGACGCGGGGAAGATGATTCGAGGCGTTTTTGTTATGTGTGGACTTGTTGAAAGCTGGGATAGGCGACGAGCGTATCCCAGTTATATCTAGTAAAGAGTCAAAGGTAAAGTGAGAAGGCTAGGTATAAGGTATAGTTGATGACGCAGATATTCTGCTGATTTGAGTATGGAACAGGATTTCAAAGCACTGGAAGATTCAGGACAACTAGATGACGAACACGACAATGAAGGAACGAGCGAGGACATTCAAATTCTTAAGAGGAGGAGAGAGTTGTGTAGTATGGGGGTCTACATGCTATGTCCGGGCGACCGCCCGCAGGGCCCCAACCTAAGGCGTCCTTAGTAATGTGCAAGGACATCGTCCGAACCCGAGCATATGCTGCCTGTGATGAGCTCAGGACGTGGAAAAAGATGGGGAGCTGCAATTGCGCAATCGCCGCCAGGAGGACTATCGTCTCTAAGTTGCAACTGAGACTGATCACGACATCGACGCTATACCTTTCGCGATGGAGGGCGCCACGTCCAGGACAAAGTTTGATTGGCTCATTCACCAAAGCCCTGAAATGGAGGCTAGGCCATGGGTCTCGTTTTGCCTCACCTCCAGTAACGACATATTTTCGAGACAACCGCCGAGCCGGAGGTCCATCAGGTAGAGAAGCAGTTCTGCGTCTCTAATTTGGTGGAAATACAGCGGTAAACCCGGAGGTTGGTATGTTTATTGGCGACAAGTAATTAGAGCTTTCAGCACGATTGAGAAATGGATTAACTGACTGATCAAGTTCTGTGGTATTATCTGGAGCACGGTACATACAAGATCAAATTGATGTTAGCTGAGATGGGTCTATTGCATGGGATGCGCACGAGATCAGTTTCCCCGCGATCATGTCATTTTGGTATAGTATTTCGCAATCGTATATCCGGAGTAGCTTTATGATGATATTCCTTTGTACTGTATGTTATGTATCTCTTTCGCAAGAATGAGCCTTTGTGTCGCCACGTCCCCAGATCGACGATGATAACGTTGTTGATATTCATTGCTGCTTATTTACTCACGGACCGATCAACTACGTATCCGTACACATTGGGGAGCAAAACAACAAACTCGGAGCAACAAACTCCAATTATGAAAATTGCGTCTTCGTCTTACAAGACGCAATTGTAGTCCCGGGCTGCCGATGCGGCGGCAGTCGGTCTTTTCCATGTGCTGTCGGAGTATCGGCACCGAGGAACCGTGCGACTGCCGTTACTTTTCTCCTTGGCACCCAGCCTAAACAATTTTTCCCCCTTCTTTCCTTGTTCCAGGACAAGACGGACCATTCGAGACTCGGGACAACCGTTAAACCGTAGTCCGCATTTGCGTGCTCACTAATTGAGTTGATCTTTGTTTAGAAATCTTCACGCTGACTTAGCAGACAAATCCCTACTTGTACTGGAGTGTACCCTAATATTGATTGGCCCCTGTCCATGACTACGTCATATTGTCCAGCTTGTTATCTGCGTCATTGCTATCTCAGTGTTACCGTACTTTATATTCATCGTCGTTCGCATTGATGGGTCAAAGCTGTTGCAATTTCGCTCCTCCCGACGTGTTGGACATACATACACCTCATGCGAGTATCGACATCTGCATAATGATCTGACAAAGTATCTTATCAGTCATGTGCAACTGCGCACCTACCTAGGCCTGGACTATCTACGTATCGTATCATATCGTATCGTATCTGTCTACTGTACCTACAGTACCTTATACCCAAGGCTTGTGGAGGTAATTTTAATTCAGGGACTCACGAGGTATAGGTTATTACGACGACATTGTTCAGTCATGGATGTCCTTTTCAAGTTCAGACCACGTGATGCTGTTGGGTGCCGTTGTGGGCTTATTCGCGCCAATCATACCCTAGAGCAGCCTGACAGGAGCCGCAGAAGCCGACCTGTTAGGTGTAGACCAGAGGTCGCACGAGCCATTGGCGGGGCAGAAGACGGAGAAGAGTGCCCTGGCGAAAGACGACGGCACCTGCAGTCAAACAAACAACTTGACCTCTCAACCTTTGAAGATTGACTCAAATCTTTGGGTTCGTTACTGTACTGCGCCTCACTGTTATCCGTACCGTAAGGGGTTGCGTGTTATTATCCACCCACTCGACTGCAACGCCGTATACTTTTAGCATTTCTAGTCTTACTTTTCTTTTGGTTCCCTCGGGTCGTATCTCAGCTCACTTTCTTCCCACCTACCTTGCGCTATTCCATTGTCAGACGTAGCAAATCTCACCCCGCGCGCGCACGATACAATGGCCGAACAAACAAGTCCTGCCAAACAAAATGCCACACGGCCGCAGCTGGGCTCAATGAGGAGCAGCTCCTACCTAAGTGATCACCAGGAATACCGCCCTCCCCGACAGGATTCAAACCGACAGGACCAGTTGTTTCACGGTATCGACACGGTTATAGAAGATACAAGTAACTCACCTGTTCCTCAAACGAGGCCAATCCTCCCTTTCAATGGCATTCCCTCCGAGGAAAACCCTCCTACTGTGGTTGATAGCGGACTGAGCCACTCGTACTCGCACCCTAACTGTGCTCCTCGAGTTGGCGAGAAATCGGATCGTCTTATTGCGACCCTCTTCTACAAGCCAAGAGGCGAAGATCAGGGTTCGCGATCGCCCGTCAAAACAACATTTGCAGATAGCAATGAGTCCCTACCAGCCAACCTGGCCCCTACGACCGACCTAAACGAGTATCCTCTTGAGCCGCCTACTCAGGAGTCGGAGCAGCTGGACCATATTTATGGCTCCTATATCTCACCTCTTTGCATCACCTCGTTCCTTCACCTCATGTCTTCGTTTCCTCTTCCCCAAGACGCCGAGGAGCCTCATTCTTCTCACAGGTGCTTGGACAACCAGGAGCAACCGCGCATTGTTGAGCTAACACTCTCCCCTACGCCATCTCCTGACTATCTTAGCCTGGATGACCTGAGAAAGCATGAGATGATCTATCGCTTTGAGCAGGAGTGGAATGTGGACGTGGTGCTCCAGAGAGATAGTGTCTGGAGGCGTCATCCTCGACTGGTGGTATTCGACATGGACAGCACTCTTATCACCCAGGAAGTGATTGACCTTCTGGCTGATTATGTGAAAGACCCCCCAGATCTGGCCGCTCGGGTTGCTGAAATCACGCACCGTGCGATGATGGGCGAGCTGGAGTTTGAGGCTTCTTTCCGCGAACGTGTTGCTCTTCTCAAGGGCCTCCCTGCTACTCTTTTCGAAGAACTTAGACCAGTCCTGGATGTTACTAAGGGTGTGCCAGAGCTGGTCAAAGCTTTGAAGCGACTGGGTATCAAGACAGCAGTGCTGTCTGGCGGTTTCCAGCCGTTGACCGCATGGCTTGCTGGACAATTGGGCATCGACTACGCTCACGCAAACCATGTCGTTATCGAAGACGGCAAATTTACGGGTGATGTTGAAGGGGTCATCGTTGGTAAAGAGTGCAAGAGGGATCTTCTTCTTGAAATTGCCGCCAAGGAGGGTATTGATCTGTCTCAAGTCATTGCCGTCGGCGATGGTGCCAACGACTTATTCATGCTGGATAAGGCAGGTTTGGGGGTCGCGTGGAACGCAAAGCCCCGAGTGCAGATGGAAGCCAACGCTCGTCTGAACGGAGAGAGCCTCCTCGATCTATTGTACTTGCTAGGCTTCACCATTGAAGAAATTGGTGCGTTGACCGCATAGGCCGTCGGCATTGGATAAAGAGACTTGTCACATGACCGGTGAAGTCAGGAGTTCAGGATATGACATGGAAAGCTAGGTGTGTTGTGTTGGGTTACCGAGATACCAGGCAGCAACGAGAAACGAGATTCCTCGGAGATGTATTTGATTGTGGATGTAGAATGACCATTGAAGATAATTCTGACACCGAAAGTCAATGGACTTGTACGTTCTGAACCTGAGCAGTGCATATGAGTGATGACAACCTTGACAGCTCCGCCAAAAGTCCCACTGGGCCAGCCGGACAAGAACAAGCTGGCTACCTCTGAGGTATTGCAATTCTGTCGTTGATCGTAGGATTCTCTGGCCATTGGCAATGTGAGCTGTCAACAACCGACCATTTCCTGTGAACCAAGTGAATTAAGGCACGAGGATACAATATGTAGACCAGCATCGAGGCAAATTTCAGTTAAAAGACACAAGGCTAAGAAAATTCGCGACGCGTCGTATATGAACTATTGGTGGTTGCTAAACTTGAGCCCACTCTGTCCTTCTTTCTACACATTGTGAGAGAACTGACTGATCCAACTCAGAACTCTTCCTCTCTTCCTCGAGCACGTGCTTATACGTGTAACCTGCTCTAAGTACGCTTCAAATTGCTGATTTAAGGGTAACCGTCCTTGCCCCACTTGTTGTACTTTTCGTGAAGCTCGGCAGGAAGAGTGACGTTGGGAACAACGACAACATTGAGGGCGCTGGGAGCGTCCTTAGGAGCCTGGTTGGGGTCACCACCGGGGTGGTACTGGTACTTGCCAGAGCTGCCGCTCTCCCAAGGGTGAGTAGCGATGTTGACGGGAGACTCGGAGATAGCGCCAGTGGGCGATCGGCCTAAGTTAAAGATGTCAGCAATTGCTGCGTCCTGTGGAGACCTCATATTGTTTCCATACCAAAGAAGTAACCAGCACCGCCGAGAGCAGCAACCATAACACCACCGAGAATCTACAATTCATCAATCTCAGTTAGTAATGGGAATTTTTGACTTGTTGTCCTTGCTCGTCGTTTTGACCGGACGCAGGTCGAGGGGCAAGCCGAGGTATTATGACGCACCAGAATCTCGGGGTTGCGACGGGACTCCTTCTTGAGCTCGGCCTTCTGGTGCTCCTGGAAGCGGCGGGCGGTAGTGGAGAGGAATCGGCGAGAAATACGAGAGGCCATTGTGACGACGGGCTTTTGCGGCTGTGGGAAGCTGGAGGATGGGTTTCGACGTCGGGACTTTGGATGGTTGAAGCTTTGAAGTTCTCGTATGATTTCGGAGGCAGTCGCTACCATGAATGCAAGCACCATCATTGGTCAATGCCGGGGAGCATTGTCGATCACGTGCGTTAGCACGCTTTCAAAGATGACGTCTCGAGCTGTCTTTCGATATCTGCCTGAGGCGCCAGGCCACAACCTCCTTCTCGCTCCAACTGTCTTCCTGTCCCTGGCTAAAGCCTGAGCCATTCGTTCATTGTGATGCGACGTCGATCTCTCGACCTCTTAAAGCCAAGACTAATAAAGCTACTTAATCAAGGAATGCAACCTCTGCCCATTCACGTAACCGACGTTATACTGGGACAGCCTGTCAAACGTCAACGAAACGGGTTGCTGCAGAAGGTTTCCACTCAGGTCCGTCCAGAAGAGTAACTTGACGTTTGCCGATGTGATTCGTGCATAAGACATATCGGGCGAGCAGTTACAATGTTTTCAGCCAAAGAAATTTTTGGTTTCCGTGATCAGTTATTCGTACTGCATTGAGTTATCACATCCAGTCCAGTCTATCCCTACAGCACCGCCGCTAGCAGGGGCTTCAGTGACCTGAGGACTGAGGACAGCCCCTGGCCCCTTACTGGGGCCCGAGAGCAGCCTAGCTGATAGTGTTCGCAGCGGGATCGTCCAATTAACTAACGAATCTCAACCAAGGTTTCTGAGGCTGCCCAGCCCGGCTTGCAAAAAGAAACCAAGACCCAGGTCCAAGCCCAAGGCGGAAGTAGGTAGGAAAAAGGAACAAGCATACACCTCCTCTTCTCATTCTTCACCTTTTTTCTTTCGTTGCTGGCCGCCCTTTTACGTTCTCTTTACCGGGTTAACTCTCGACTTGTGCGCTCCCTACCTATCTTATTTCAACTTGTTGCGACCGTTTCTCCTTATTCCGATTTTCTTGCGATTCCGATACGCTCCTACCAACCCCTGTCCATCCCTTTGGTTCCTTTTACTGTACAGTACTGCGTAACGCGAACGACTGCCGAACGTGCCGACTCGACATTTGGATACACCCTTTTGACATCATTCATTGGCGAAGGCGACCGTCGGAGGACGAATTTGAATGATATACTGAACTCGTGGCCGACGCGCATCTGTTTCCTTCAACCCAGAATAATTGTAGTCAAGTCACTTCAAAGTGCACGAGCAGCACACGGACGACACACTTGCCGACCAACGCTATGGCCGCGAAACCAGACGACGATGGCTTCCTGGCACCACATGCTTCCCGATCTGATGCACCGAGACCACCAAGCATCATCTCTTCCCGAATGACGGACATAGCGAGCGAAGATGGCGACGAACCAGAGGTACAAAAGAACAGACTGAGTATTCCTCAAAGTGCGGACATGGGCTCGCGACCCGACACTGCCCGGACGGGAGCATCTTCCAGAGGCCCATGGCAGAGCCAGTCATTGCGAAATAAAACATACCTAGCTGGTGTTCAGGCCAAGAGAGGTAGCGTTGAGAGTTCAACGGCTGGATCGACCAGTCAGCCACCAAGTTTGTCGAGCAGAAGCCATGTCCCATCACTGCAGTCGCATGCCTTCTTCCGCCCCATGAGCTCGCAAAAATTGCAGGCACAAAGAGGAGGATCTCATCGACCATCCACAATGAGCCAGATGTCACCCGCTTCACCTACGTCACCAACATCTCCAGTATCCCCGACATCGCCCAGATCCGACGAGCATGGTGAGGCTAGTGGTAGTCAAACGCGGCAGAGTATTATATCAAACCCGATTGCGCAGTTGCAGCGCCAGATGAGTAATGATGAAAACATGCGATCACCACCATCCCGAGGTACCGAGATGACCGAGCAAGAGACTTTGGACAGAATAACGGCGAATACAAGTCCAAGCCATGGCCATTATCCCGCGGGTAGTCTGACAGATAGTGTCCGCCCCCTCCAAGGTAAATCTTCAGATATGGGCCACTTTCAACACAACATCATCGTGGACAAAAGCTATAAGGATCTCTCAAACCTACCTAGTCCTATCAAGTCGCCGCGTTCATTTCGATCAAGCTTTCTTATGCCGGGCCGAAGTAACGATGGGCAACTGAGTCAGAACCGCAGTACTGAAGGAGCTGAGAAACTGTCTTCAGCCGCCTCTTCACCCCAGTTCAGGCCTGTCGACTCTCGAAATGGGCAACACCCACGTGTTCCTCATAAGCCCAGTCAGAAATCTGACCTTGGACGTGTCCATCAGTATTTTGATGGAAACACGGTGTTTTGCTTAGGTGGCCGTTGGCAAAACACACGAGGAAGACCTGTCAATATTGCGACTGGCATTTTTGTCGTCATTCCCTGTGCTTTATTCTTCGGCTTCGAGGCTCCGTGGTTGTGGAATAATGTGTCGCCTGCAATACCTATAGTGTTTGCATACCTTGCATATATATGCTTCTCTTCTTTCATTCATGCCTCAGTAACAGATCCAGGTGTAAGTCGACACCCCTATCCGACATAGAAAGTCACAATTTGGCTAACCGCTCTCAGATTCTACCACGAAATCTGCACCAGTTCCCACCTGTAGATGACAACGACGATCCTCTCCAACTCAGCCCCCCTACAACAGATTGGGCGCTGATAAAATCCGCCGAATCGACGACTGCCGCCATGGAAGTTCCGGTTAAGCACTGTAGAACATGCAACATCTGGCGGCCACCGCGAGCACACCACTGTCGCCTATGCGACAACTGCGTCGAGACCCACGATCATCACTGTGTCTGGCTCAATAACTGTGTCGGAAAACGCAACTACCGATATTTCTTTACCTTTGTTACGTCTGCGACTATACTCGCCGCTTATTTAATAGCCACATCTCTTACACAGATTCTTCTTTACAAAAATCGCCAGGGTATTTCGTTCGGACAAGCCGTCGATCATTTCCGAGTTCCTTTTGCCTTGGTTTTCCTTGGATTTATTACCTTTCTTTATCCGGCTGCTTTGATGGGTTATCACATTTTCCTCATGGCACGAGGCGAAACAACAAGAGAGTACATGAACTCCCACAAATTCGCCAAGAAGGAGCGTTTCCGGGCTTTCTCTCAAGCAAGCATTTTCAAAAATTTTATTGTTGTTCTTTGCCGGCCACGGCAACCCACCTACTATCAGTTCAAAGCCCATTACCATGAAGGCGACCAACGTTTGGGCATTCGGAGGGATAAGCGGCCAAGATCAAGCTCACAGGGATTGGAAATGCACAATGTCAACCCTGGGGGGCCCGGCTTTCAAGGCCCGGTCTCGCTGAGAAACGAAACTCCCGTTAATCGTGATGCCTAATATTGAGATTCGCCCTTGCATCGCATCACATCACATCATATCGTATTGTATTTTATTTTTGGACGGCGCAGCTTCTGGGAAGCATTCATCATCTGGGGCGGTGAAGATGATATGACGATGTCTGTTTCTTTTCTTCCCTTATTATACCCTATCCCTGTTAACTAGTTGACTACACTACACTCATGTATTCTCTTTTCCTTCTTCATTTCTCCCTTTTAGCAAAGACACTGGAAAAGCTGGCATTGCCAGCAAAGGCAGGCGTTGAATGGTCGGGCAGTAAATGAGTGGGATGAACAGTTTTCGTCTTGGCTCTGGTGTAGGTACGTTCAAGGTTCTACCCAGATTTTTACAGTACAGTACAGTGCAGTACAGTACAAGTTACCTGCCTCACGTTAGAATTACATTAAGTTACTTTGTGTCGTATATCTTTTCCACAAATAGAGTGACCGCCAAACCTTGGTGATACAAACTAGGAAATCACATTTTTTTTAGGTGCTTTCTGGTTGGCGATGATCTTCGAGGCTCCACTGAAACAGTCCCCAGATGCACGTGGAAATAAGAGAAAGGCGGAGTGCCCGATCCGTGCAGGCGATAACGCATTGATAAGAAAAATTTCAAAATTTAGTGCGCCCAACCTTAGAAAGTAAGGTAGTCTTGTTCTACCTAACATCGTAAGCAGCGCTTTTTCCACGCTCGCTATCTTTTTTTTTTTCCCTCAAGGGCCTCGTTGGTTTTTGTTGTTTTCTTTCCTTTTACTGCTGTCCTCGACCGGAACAGCTTTTAATACCGACTGAGGCCCGTTTTAACGTCTGTTGTATTGATTAATTTGTTTGTTTGCTCAAGGTATTACAACAAAGAAACGTCGATACGATGCCTCATCCTGTTACGCCGCCATCCGGCGACGCCCCGCCCCCGCCATCTCAAGAAACCATCAACGACCTCCTCAACACTATCTTCACTGCAAAGACCTCTGCCTCGTCGATCGATGCTTGCTACGGCCTTTGTGAGATTCTTCTTTCTTCTGTCGGCGTCGCTGGCTTGAACGACTACGGCGTCATTGCTGAGGTCAAGAAGGCTGCTGCTGATAAGAAGTCTGGTCTCCGCCGCGAGTCCAGCCAGAACCTTCTCGGTGCTATTTTTGAGCGCTTCCTCCCCCGACAGCCTGTCAGCGAGGTAGTTCTCCTCCTCCAAGACGGTGGCCTTATCGGCGTTGCCCTCGACGCTCTCTCTGATAAGGGCGCCGTCGTCCGCGATGCTGCCCAATACGGCCTCGATGCGGCCTTTGGCATTCTTAGCCCCGAGGCTCTTGTTGCTGGCCTCCTTCCCGCTCTTACCGAGTATTTGAACAGGAAGACCGGAAAATGGCAGGGAGCTGTCGGTGCCTACAAGCTGTTGCAGAAGATGGCCGACAAGGCCCAGATCTCTCTCGGAGGAACCAAGGAGGAGGCCCTCGAGAAGGATCTTCTCCGTGAGTCTCTTGGTGCCAAGCTCGCTGGCCTGATCCCTATTGTTGAGGGTGGTATGCATGACTTGAAGTCTGAGGTCGAGAAGCAGGCTGTCACAACGATGAACTCGCTCACTACTCTTCTCTCCAACGATGATGTCGCCCCTCGTATCCCTCTTCTCGTCGATACTATGCAGCACCCTTCGTCTCAAACTCTCCAAAAGGCTATTCATGCACTGTCTCAGACTACTTTCGTCGCTATCGTTACATCGCCTGTCCTGGCTCTCCTGACACCTTTCCTGGAGCGATCTCTCAACAGCCCCACCACCGCCCAGGAGGTTTTGCGACAGACTGTTGTCATTGTCGAGAACTTGACCAAGCTGGTCCACGACCCCATCGAGGCCCGAACATTCTTGCCCAAGCTGATTCCTGGTGTCAAGAGCGTTTGCGACCGAGCCTCTCTTCCCGAGGTCCGTGAGATTGCTGAGCGTGCCCTCGCTACCATGGAGCAGGCCATGGGTGACGATAAGGATGTCGTTGCCCGTACATCTGGCAAGGATGTCGCCAAGATTCTTGATGAGCAGATCAAGGCCAACGGTGGCCTTGCTAGCCAGCAGGAACTTTTCAAGCAGGCCCGCCCCTACATTTCTGAAATGGTTTCCATCGATGTCAACTACCGCTTCGTCAACCGTATCTCTGGGCGTATTGCCCCTTACCTTACTAGCTTCATGAAGAATGCCGAGGCCCCTCAGAAGATTGCCGATGCTATTCAAAAGCACTACGTCGAAGAGGATGAGCGCCGTTACGGTGTTCCCGAGAAGGAAGATGACGGCGAGGTTGAGATTGTCAACGCCGACTTTTCTCTTGCTTACGGTGGCATGCTCCTTCTGTCACACACCAACTTGCGACTTCTTAAGGGTCACCGATATGGTCTTTGTGGCCGAAACGGTGCTGGAAAATCAACCCTCATGCGAAGTATTGCTAACGGCAAGCTCGAGGGCTTCCCCCCTCAAGATGTTCTCCGTACTTGCTACGTCGAACACAACCAGGGAGAGGATGCTGACATCAGTATTCTTGAGTTCGTTGCCAAGGACCCCGAAATTGCTACTCAGGGCCGTGAGCGTATCTCCGAGGTTCTGGCTGAGTTTGGTTTCACTGCTGGTCCCGAGGGTCGACAGTCTGAGAGAGTCGGATCTTTGTCTGGAGGTTGGAAGATGAAGTTGGCTTTGGCCCGCGCTATGTTGCAGCGCGCTGATGTCCTTCTCCTGGACGAACCTACTAACCATCTTGATGTTGCCAACATCGCGTGGCTCGAGAATTACCTCAAGTCTCACCCTGATATCACCAGTCTGATTGTTTCTCACGACTCCGGCTTTTTGGATAATGTTACTACCGACATTTACCACTACGAGCCCAACAAGAAGCTGGCTTGCTACAAGGGTAATCTGGCCAACTTTGTCAAGATTAAGCCCGAAGCCAAGAGTTATTACACTCTCTCCGCCTCTACTGTCCAGTTCAAGTTCCCTCCTCCCGGCATCTTGACTGGTGTTAAGTCTCAGACTCGCGCTATCATCCGCATGTCTAACGTTTCATACGCCTACCCCAACGCACCAAAGCCCTCTCTGCAGGAGGTCTCTTGTCAGCTGAGTCTTTCTTCTCGTGTTGCTATCATTGGCCCCAACGGTGCTGGAAAGTCGACACTCATCAAGCTCCTCACTGGCGAGACCATTCCTACCACTGGAAAGGTTGAGAAGCACCCTAACCTCCGTATTGGTTACATCAAGCAGCACGCTCTGGAGCACGTTGAGATGCACTTGGAGAAGACCCCCAACCAGTACCTTCAATGGCGTTACCAGCACGGTGATGATCGAGAGGTTCACATGAAGCAGACTCGTGTCCTGTCCGAGGCCGACCGTGCCCAGATGGACAAATGGGTTGATTTGAAGGATGGAAAGTCTGCTCGTCAAATCGAGTCACTGGTCGGTCGCCAGAAGTACAAGAAGACCTTCCAATACGAAGTGTAAGTTTTCTGCCGTTTGAGACTAAATTGCAATACTAACTCATAATAGTAAATGGCGTGGCCTTCTGCCTAAGAACAACACCATGATTTCTCGTGACACTCTTACGGAGCTTGGTTTCGATAAACTCGTTCAAGAGTTCGATGACCACGAAGCTTCTCGAGAGGGTTTGGGTTACCGCGAGCTTCAGCCCAAGATTATCTCTAAGCACTTTGAGGATCTTGGTCTTGACCCTGAGATCGCCAACCACAACGAGATTGGCTCTCTTTCTGGTGGACAGAAAGTCAAGGTTGTCATTGCCGGAGCGATGTGGAACAACCCCCATCTTCTTGTGCTCGACGAGCCTACTAACTTCTTGGACCGAGACTCCCTCGGTGGTCTTGCTGTTGCCATCCGTGACTTCAAGGGTGGTGTTATCCTGATTTCTCACAACGAAGAGTTTGTCGGTGCCCTGTGCTCTGAGCAGTGGCACGTCAACGATGGCCGAGTTGCCCTGAAGGGCAACGCTGCTATCAGCCTCGACCGTTTTGAGGATAGCCGCCCAAGCAGCGGCGTCAACAGTACTGCAGCAAGCTCCGTCGTGAGCAGTGCTGTCAACAGTGGTGTTGAGGACAACGGGGATATGAAGTTCAGGGCCAGAAAGAAGAAGAAGATGACCAAGAAGGAGCTCAAGGAGCGTGAAGTCCGTCGCCGGCTTCGCCACATCGAGTGGCTCAACAGCCCCAAGGGCACTCCCCACCCTCCTGACACTGACGACGAGGACAACTAAACCAAGAAAAGTTTATTGCATTTTTATTTTTATTTTGTATGCGTCTTTTGTTGTGCGAGATCTGCAGACATGAATGAGTTTCTGCGTTGGACGGCATCTGATGACGGATGCTTTAGAAGAGTATGAAAAGCGAAGCATGAATGATGCCGTATCATGCATATGAAGAATGAATTTTGCTCCTTGAGATAGAATTGATAGGATGGTATAGAGGCGTTGGTTTGGGATAGACGACTTTGAATCACATCAAACTTCTACTGATTTTCTCTATTATGGTGTGACACAATAATCATTTCACGAACATGTCTGCTTGATCATGCTGCTCACATACAAGATTGGACAAACATGAGACACGAGGTCCTTTCATCTTTCTCTTATTTTACATGCCCTTTGAAGATGACAGTCATGGCAACCATGTCGTGTAATTTGTCTCTTAAACCGTTAGAACTGCAGCAAGACAAGGGAGCGGTGACAGGATATACCATGCAGCTCACGAGAAACAGAAAATAACCGTTGGCTATTGATTCTGGACAACTTTCAAAATACAAGAATTGTAACGAATGCTATCTTAAGTACATTGTTTCCATACTTTAGATCTGACACAAAAGCAACATAGATAAGACAAAAGAAAATATGCTTTTAGGATGATACATGAGCCATAATTACCAAGAGAAGGTCATCAGGGCGGGGTTCAGGGCCAAAGGCAATAGAAGGTGACTTCCGGCTACAGTGGCCATGGGGAGAATCGCAACAAAGTCATTGATGCGCCAGTCGTGAGGAATAAAGTCTGCAGTAGCCATGATAATGAGACCAATGATGGCCAGGAGAGATAGAGTCATAGAGACGCGGAACTATTATAGTCTGTTAGTAAATGATCAAGGTTACCCTACTAGGCAGAGAAAACTTACCTTCTTCAAAACCTTGGGAACCTCAATGAAGAAGTTAGAGAACTCGGCCTCCTTAGAGGTGGAGCCCCAACTCATATCAATCTCAAACATATGCGCCAACAAGGCTTGGCTGACATGAAGGGAAAGACCTCCAAGGAAAAGAGCCAGCATCAAAGTCCATTTGAAATTCTCGTAGATAGCGTAGCCTAAGCTACGTTCACCAGAACGGTATCGCATAACGGCAAGTGCAACATTGCCCAGGCCGTTGAAAACAAGGATGATGGAAAACCATACCTGCCAGGAGTCAAGATAGTATTTGTCGAGATATCCGTTGAACCAGCCCATCAGGAAGTAATTGGCAGTAGTCATGATCCAGGCAGCACCAATAGCATAGTAGGTACCAATGTAAGAAATGACAGTGATTTTAGAAGTAAAACGAATGTTGGAAAAGCAGAAACGACGGAAAAGAGGAGTGAAGGGACCACGCCACAACCATGTGCGAATGGGGTTAAACAGTAATTCATTGCATCCAAAGGCGTACTTCTCCCATCGAGCAAGCTCATCATACACTGTCAGGGACACACCTTCTTTGAAGCCGTCACCGGCCCAAGCAGCAAGACGGATGATGTAACCGCTACACTGTAGACGGAGGGACATATCGAAATCTTCAGAGACGTGGCTCTCAGACCAAAACTTGTCATAACCATCTTCATCTTGGTAAGCAACTTGTTGGATAGCAGACCAGCGAAGGATGGCATTGTGGCCGACAAAGGGGGCAACATCGCCGTTGGAGACAGTGAAACGAATAGCAGTGTAGATGAGGTTAGTGAAGAAGGTGATGCCGTTCTCGAAGTAGGTATGCACAACTTGCATGACACCAGAGCTGAACTGCATGATGCCAACTTCGGGTGACTGTTCCATCTCAGAGACGGAGTCGAGAAGACAGTCAGTAGGGACACGCGTATCGGAATCGATGAGGAGAATGTAATCGCCAACGCGAATGTTCCCATCAGCCCAAGCACGGCCGTTCTCTTCAAGAACATCTTTGAGGGCCTGTTCGTAAGCGAGAGCCTCGTCGGACTGGCTCCAATCGGCAGGCCGCTTGATAAGTTGCAGGCGTTCCTCAACCTTGCAGGAGATCATGAGACCAAAGTTCATGTTTGAAGCTTTTTTGAACTTGCCCTTTCGTACAAAACCATCCTCGCCATGCTTAGGTCGTGCAACCCATCCAATACTATTATCGGCGTAGAACTCGATACGGGCATCGCGCTCCTCTTCACTGACAAGCTGGAGACCATCGTCGTTGATGAACATGTTGGCGGAACCGCCCTGGAGTTCGTAGGTTGACATGGCTTGCTTGATGGATTTGACAGTTGGAAGGATAACTGCGTTCAGACCCTCCTTGTACACGGGGCACTGAATAGTGATGTGCGGTAGCGTAGCACCTTGGAGTCTTCTAGGGGGCCGAGCTGAATAAAACTTGGAATTAATGGTTAACTGACGAATAGGACCAAAAATTTGTGCCAAGCAGCCAACAATGACCTGTGCGAAGAAGAGAGAGAAAAACACTTGGATAGGAAAGAGTGCAACAAGGCCAAGGCGCTTGTAATCACCATCAATGGCAATTTCGACAGCGAGCTGTCTCCAGGCGGCACCAAGAGAAGCCATAACAATCAGAAGTGTAAGTGAAACGAGAACAGCATTCTGGAGATGAACTGGTCGAGATTCGGGCTTGATTTCGCCGCTCTCCTCGTCAATCTCGTAATCGACCTCGGTAGAAGAATCTTTCTCATCTTCGTCCATCGCTTGTCCCGAGTTCCATACAAGCTCCATGAGCTCTGATTCGATGATCTTGGCGCGCGCCATCAAGTTCAAGGCGTCATCGTCCCAGACAACTAGAAGTCCGTCTGATGCAATGAAGGCTGCAAACTGGTGCTTGCGAGCTCTGGGCAGGTCATTGACTGTGGGCAAAATCTGCACACGAAGACCATTCATCAATGGCACATCGACTGCATCAGGGGACCATTGAAGGAAGGTCTTGATGACGCGAGAGTTTACCGTCATCGCACACTAAACAGCAATTCAGCATTTTGTTGGTTGGAGGGGGGAAACGCAAACGTACCTGAACGTTGAGTGCTGTGCATGCAATAGCAAAGGGAGATTGTCCTAGTTGGGGTGGGCAGGCCATGTACTGTCCACGAGACTTGCGTAAAAGAACACCTTCAATTTCGCCAGAGCTATCACCGACCCAAAGCTGCGAGCATTGCTGTTGGTACAGGTAGTTGACCATGACTTCGTGTTTGATATCGTCAAGTAGTCCATTGGTTCCTGTTGAGGGAGCAATTGAGGGGGGACCAGCGGCGAACTTGGGTACAGCTGCCGAGTTTAACTCGACAACAGCAGCTGGAGGGATCTTCTCCTCAATGGGAGCATGGAGAGAGACAGAAGCTCGGTGGCTAGGCCTCCTGGGAGGAGGTCCTATCGGTGTCTGAGGCGGAATCTCCGCCTTAAAGTAACTCCCTATACCCATTGTAAAGACAGGTAGCTGAGAGGAAGACTAGAGGAAAACTTGGAAAGTCTTAGTACAGGACGGCTGCCAGTTGTAATGGATATCAAATGTAGGGATTGTATGATATGTGTGAAAAGATCGAAAGACCTCAAATGTTCGCAGTTATGAAGGTTCCACAAGAACGATGAGATAAATGATTGAATGAATGACAGGTGGTTGCACCGAGTGATTGAATGAGTGACTGGGTGAGAGAGTGAATTGAGAGAGCGAAGGTTAGCAATGAACGAAGACCAGAGATCCAAGAACCAAACCGAACCTCATGAAGTGCAACGACCGGTTCAATTAAACAAATTGACAGAGCCCCATATCACATCCATCAAGAAAACCGGACTGGCATATTAAAGTTTTCTGGCCTTTCAAATAGTGCAGTATGAGGCACCACGCCACTGCAGACTAGGTAGCAAGGCCATGAGGTCGGGCAAAGCGATAGAAGGTATAGGAAGCGGATCACGGATGGGTAAACAACCACGACTAGACCGTCCAGGCGTTGGAGCCACCATAACCCCGAACACTCCTGAGTGTCAAGCCATAGCAAACGACCGAGGGAGGGGTGGCCATAACCAAAGCATTGAAGCTCCAGTGGAGACCTTAAACAGGATGAGGAGAAGTGTTACAGGTGTGCCACTGTAAGCATAATAACGTTGACCGATTAACCGGGTTGAGACTCAACAGCTTTGGCAAAAGCGACTGTCCCGAGTGGCTGGAGCCGAGGCAGGTCCAAGTGGGCACCAACACAGGTACTGTAATGATAATTATACGGTGGGCATGACCACAATGAGTCCGTTCGAGCCAGTCGATGCCAAGTATATCTGTGAGGGTTCTAGCTGAGAGGCAAGTCCGCCGAGATACGAGGAAAACATCGGGTAGTCACTCGTCATCGCGAAGCCAAGTTGGCCACCGGTGTGGACTGAGTGGCAAATATTGATATTTTTGGTCGAACCCACTAAGACTGAGAGGTGCTCAGCACTTTAAAGTAGTGTCTTATCATGAGAACTGATCGTGATGGAGAAAACCTAGACCATAGAATATCATCAAGTGACCATAGAATATAACAAGATATTGCTGATTTGTAGATCAACAGGGAACACACGCTTCGACTATTGGTCCAGCTTCATGGTTCATTTCTTGGTAATCTTTGTCCTTCGTATACTATAAGCGAAGTTGGTGTTGGTGTTGGTGTTGGCGTTTGTGTTGGTTTTGAGGTGAAGTTGGAGTGCGAATAAAGTATGCTCAAGATCTAGACTATGGCAAGCCAATCAAGTTTCTTTATTTCTTGCTTGGCACGCAAAAAGGGAAAGCGGATCACGCCTGCCCCTCCCCTAGTTCCAAGTCCCATTGACAGCTTTAAACTTCCGTCTGTGGCGTGTGGCTTATCTATGACCTCCGGGAAAGGGAAAGCACGACGCAGTAACTTAGACTTTGGCCAACACCAGTCAGAAGCAGGCAAATGCAGGAACCAAAGTTTGTACCTGCAGCAGGTGCGACCCCTCCCTCTATCTCAAGGTGCAGGAACCACAAAACAACTTCATCCTGGTATAGGTAGGTAGGTACCTACTTACCTAGTAAATACCAACAACCTCACTTTATCTTTTACTCTTATAATCTTGACCAATGATCATGCTACCCAGTATGTCGGTGCTTACGATTGGGAAAACTATACACATCGTTACATCGGTCCACCCACATTTATTGCCATACAGCATTCCTTACAAACACCTAACTTGGTCATGTTAGAGTCTATCATCAAGTCTTCGACTTCAATGGCTTCTAGCTTCGCGCCGTCCCGAGATTGTTTGGGCTAAAGGAATGGAGAGCCCATGCCCCGGCCAAGCCGCTTCTCTTACACGCCCAACATCCATGTGAGCTGAACCATTGGTCAGCCAGCACCATTGTTCCCATCGGGAATGCGGCTTAAGCAAGATCCAAAGTACTGCGGGGACACTTGTTCAAGATCGCTACCAATAGGTTACGAGTTACTGTTCCATTCGACATCATTTTTCTTGGCTGCCGATGTGTTTCGGTCACGTCAAGGGGACGTCCACATGGATCTCACCCCCCCACACACGGTTTCCAGCAATCTGGGTAGATCGTGTTTCATACCCCTGACGTTGATCATTTGGGGTCCACGTAGTACGAGACCAGCAGACTCCAGCATCTGGAGTTTGGTGTCTGCATCCTTCGTGACCATGTCCACAGACTGGGCGAAGGGCCTGGTTTGGATCGTGTTCCTGCATTCGAAACGACATCATGAATCGTGCCCTGTCCGCTTAAGATGGATTTCTTGCCGAGTGGGACAGATGTTTGGTGCGAGACCAAGGTTCTGTCATCATGGAATTGTCCTACTCTCCACCTCTTAGCCTCTCTTGCTTGCCTTGACACAGAGGACCGATGCGCGAGTCACGATAATAAGTTTTCCACACTTGGGGAGATGCGATAGTTATTTACTTGCGATTTCTGGGACATGAATAGAAAGCACAAAATCCACGTATCGGTTTATGACCCTGCAACTGACAACCGTTGAACTTTGATGTGAAATGAGTTCAGATGTAGGGCTGTGGAAATTTCTCGTACCTGAAACTGCATGCCTTTTACTTTTCATCGGCGAGCGATGGACTGGGACTCACCTATTCAAGTCTTTCTCTTACAGATCTTCCCCTGGTACCTTGAGCTAACGCCAGTGTTGAATACAGCGCAACGGCGTTTGCTCCGGAAGTGGAATAGCTTTTCGATCCGATTTCATCACTCTGGAATGCTCGTCACCGATCCAGCACATTGTCTCCATTAACTCGTAGATATGGCGCTTCCTTACGATTCTCGAAGTTCGGCGCCTCCGCTCTTCACTGCCAGAACCATCACGTCCCTAAACCGGGTTCGAGCTCTCGTCTCCATGACAAATACCAATCTTTGTATAGATTTTGAGTTTAGTGACTATTCGTGCTCATAATTCTTATAGCTAGAACGGTCAAAGCTCGGTGGCTCTTGACTCCCGGGCCGGAAGGGACAGGATGATAGTCTTGATACAGTCAACTACTATAGCCACTGGCTTGGCTGCATTGGAGTGTGATGGCAATGTTGAATTTTTGACTTTCTGGGTCCTATTGTCGTCAGCCACTTTCTTGTAATTGTTGTAAGTATGATGCCCAACACAGATTTGTTGGTGTTTGCATAGCCGCCCGAGTGCTATCGAGAGGGGAGAAACATGTTTGAGCTGTGTTTCCTCAGCGATGAGACTTCATGTGGATGTTGTTTTTAACGGCAGTACCTCTCTTACAGATATAAAAGAACGTGTAGATAATTGCAGCTATATTTTGAGTTTTCGCTACGAACATACTCTGTATAAGCAATCTAATACTGCAACAGCGTCAAGTAGACCAAAGCTGTAACGGAAAGATTCAGAAAAATCTTCGTAAGACCAGTATAATCCAGTGTAACACAAAAAAGAAAATCATCATCAATATATCCCTGCTCCCCTCACAGATCAACATTTTCGTTGCCGTTGCACTGCTGCATCATAACCACACGGCTGACCTCAACTTGCGGCTGTTTCCAAGTAGGATACCACTGATCCCTGGCGTCCCAAAAGTCCTTCTTGGCTGTAGGCGAGGCATCGTACCAGGGTTTGTCCGACTTGCCATCTTGGAACCAACCATTTGTACCACCCACAGCCAAGTTGATAATGAGATAGAACTCTTGGTCAAAGGGTGCGTTGACGTCATCTGAGGCAGCCCAAGGATCGTCAAGCCGGGTGCCATTCTGGTCTACATCTGGAAAACCGCCTCGTTGGTACATGGGCTTTTTGAAGTTGGTGTATGTGACCTGAAGAAGGCGGGTATTGACGTAGGTGAATAGATATTTCTCAGACCACTCCAAGCCGAACATGTTGAAGCCGGCACTGTATGTTGTGTGCAAAGCCTTTCGCTTGTTGTTGGTCTTCCACCAACCATCGTTGGCGGGGTTTGGTCCCCAGTGCAGCGCCGAGGAAACAATATCGTTTCCACCTTGCTTGTAGGTCCAATTGTTTCCACGCGACTCGATGATGTCGATTTCACCAGAGCGAGGCCAAGAACCATACTTACTTGTCTTTGGAAGCATCCAGATAGCAGGCCAGAGCCAATCACCTTCGGGGAGCTTGGCGGTGACTTCAACGCGGCCATACTTGATGTTTGCGCCCTTCTTGGTATTGATACGGCCAGACCTGGCGGGAGGGATCACGGTTTCGTTTCCTCCAGTCAAATTGGTGGCAGCAACGCAGTTGGACCAAGTTTCGGAAGTACAGGTACCATCTTTAAGAAGATTGATGACATTGTTCTTTTGCATCAACTTTGAATCCTGCAGGGTCGCTTTGATGACAAGTTTACCATCTTCGACGTAGACATTCTCATCGTTACCGGTAGTTTCCTCGAACTGGCCATTTCTGGGAATATTGGTTAGTATTTGCAATGGTAAAACAGCGCCTGCAACGGAGCATACCCGTATCCACCAACTTCGACCTCTTTAGTCCAGATGTTGGGGTCCAAACCCTGACTAAAGTCCTCATCCATAACTGGACAGTACTTGTTCTTGACCACACTTCTGACGCCATCCCAGACGAGAAAGCCAGATCCAACAAGGCCGAGGAAAATAGCGAGTAAGGGAAGAATGGTAACCCATTTCTCCTTGGAGCTGGTTTTCTCAAGCCATGGTTTCTCGACCTCGCCAGGTTTTACTCTTCTAGAGTGAAAGTATCGGTTTCGCTCATCGACCTGGGTGCCAGATTCACATTCTGAAGCAGGACTTGAGTACTCAGGGATACTGAACATGCCTGCATTACCGGCTGAGCCTGAGCTGCGTCCATGGTCGGTACTATGACGATATCCAGTTGAGGTAGCGTCTACATGGCTACCGCCAGAGTCCATGGATTTCCTTGGCATATCGGTTTGGCCGGAGCCGTCGTGTCCACCGTAGCTGCTTTTTCGATACGGGTTGCTCATGATAAGGAGGGTATCGACTGCTTGAAGACCTAAAAGAATGAATGGAAACGAGGATTCAAAGCCGGGAAAGCGAAGCGAAATGGGCTGATTTTGTCAAAAGACAAGAGCATCTTCATAAAGTTCAGCGCCAGGGACTTCCGAGGCGAAGATACTAGACTACCTAGTCAGGAACAAAGCTCAGGAATGGACGGCTGATCTAGTACTGTATCGAGCAAAGACCGAGAAAGGTCTTCTCTTATCAGAGGCCACTGACCTAGATCAAAACGACATTTTCCGTGACCAGCCAAATCCAAATCGAGATGTTCGGCGGATGATGAAGGTCAGAGGCGGAAAGACTAAGCCAGGTCAAGTAAGATATGATGAGCATCGTATTTCACTGCGCTACTGATCTGGGTATGGTGATAGAGTGCTTCGTTATTTGGAAAAAGAGGCTGGCAGTGGCTTTTTGGCAAGACGAGGATTGCCTAGACCGGATGGATTGTGTATAAGTCGTTTAGGAGGGGCGAATACAGTGTTAATGATAGACGTACTGTAATGAAAACACCGAAGTGGTACTGTGCCAAAAGGCTTTACGCACTGGCCGTTCAGGCACTTTAGCTCCATGGGCTACGGTCACTACATTCCATTGTCCTCCACCATCTCCATCACAGTATCGTTCTCACCATGTCGATGCTTCTCTCAGCTGCTGACGATAAACTTTCCCAGTCAAGCTTTGATGCTCCAACCCAATCCAGTGAATAGCAGCCAAGTTCCAGGTACCAGTCCTGAACTACTCAAGAGCTAGCCAACACCAAGGTCCAAGTGTCTCCTTTACCATTTCCAACAACTCGACACAGATGCATGTGGAACATGGCAGACCTGGAACATCCGCCTCTCCCGCCTTCCTAACCACCAAGGCTTCAACAACCACGTTTTAGCGGCAATGAAGACATGAGCAGGAACACACTGCCCTGCCGTGGCTGGATAAATAATGGTCACACCCCGCTCGCGCTTGCAGAATCCGGACTTTGTTTCCATTCGACGGTGTCCCCATTCAACCAGGGACGACTAACAAATGGATGCCCTCTGTACTTCGACTACAAGGAACCCGTTGCTCCGAGAACAAATAAAGAATGATATCAACATGAATAGAAGATCATTGCCTGCCAAGAACTACGGCCTGGTGGGGGTACTCTTGGCTCCTTGTGTGGACTCTGTGAAAAGAAGTTTCAAACACATGCTGTTGTCCACATGCCTTATGCTTTTCTCGATACGCTAAGCAATAAAAGATACGTTAAGTGGTTTGCAATCAAAAGACTTTATCTTTCTCTCTGCCGGGTCTCAGAAAGGCAGGCCCCTTCCAATATGGAGAAACCACCACAAGGGCAAAGGACAGCACCAATGTTTGTAAATTTAGCGCAAGGTCATTCTTTGCGTTTCTGCAGGGTTGTTTGTCATGCTGGAAAGGATCCCGTACTACAATTCGCCATCAACGTTGTGCATACATTTGCCGACAACAATACAGGGTGGTCGCCCACGGTTTACTGCACTTTTAAATAGAGAACGCGAATCATCCGTACGCGCGTACCAAGCAGTCTTTACTTGAGACTAGCGTCAGACGTGTGGCTTCCCCTCTCAAGCAGAAGGATACCGGATCGGGCTGAGTAGGTAAGTGGACAATGAGGTCCCGAGAAGTCTTAAGGGCTAGGCATTGTGACATAGTTGGTGAAGCCGAACTCTGAGAATCCCTGGAGGGACTCTGCAGTGGGAGCTTACACATTAGAGCGAACTCACCTGATCCAGATTCTTGGTACTGACTTTGCTACAAGGTTACAGGGTACTATAACCATAGACGCCAGTCGTATCTTTGAACTTAAGGAAGACCGAGGTTCTCCCCAAACACCGTTGAGTTTGCCGTTGTAGTCTACAAGAACCAAAGTCAACTGCCATCAGCTTCAACACTCTGCCAATCCTACCGCTCTGGGATGATCAGCAACGGCGTCGTACCAGGGTAGTATATGTAGGAGGAGAACAAGTGCCGCGGTGATTGACTAAGATGTTCATGAAGCTGTCCCATTGGACGGTATTGCGGCTTGTGCCTGGCTGTCAATCCCAATCCGGAGGTCTGGACCCTTGAAATCCTTGCCACACAGGGTTGCTGACAAGGTTCAGGGTTCATGTTTCGGAATCTTGGCCGATCTGACTGATACGACAATCCCTTCGCGCACAGCAGCACTGCACTGCATTGCATGGCGATGGGTGTTCCGCGTGCTCAGCGGCTTGGCGATATTTGAGTTTGCTCATGAGTTTTTGGACGTGTTTGATTGGCGATCTCAGGGCTAGTCAGTATAGCTCACTATACCCTTTTCTTGGGGACATGATCCCACACTCCTTGCGGCTGACGGGATATCCGTAAAGGATGCCTGGGCTTCGAGACCTCGCCCTGCGAGTGGAATAGTATTAAGCCCAATTGAACGGCCGTTTTCTTCTCGACTTGGTCTTTTGCGTCTCTTTCTTGCTGTTCCCAAGCATATTCCACTCATTCAATCCACTCCTCTAGCAGTATTCACTCATTACAAACCAAACCACAGCATTGCTGGCCTTGATCTTGGTTTAACTACTTGTGTCTTATATTGGAGGCTATAGTAAATCAGCTGCTAGTCTGGCCGTACCAATCATCAGAACATCTAACCAAAACACCAACGATCGAGTCTTTTGTCGAAACCTCACAGGTCGCCCGTTGATCTTCAAGACACTCCTTTTCATAGCACAATTTGAACAATGTTTCTAATTCGAGCCCTTGTTGGTATTGCCAGCTTGTTTGCCCTGGCAGAGGCCTCTGACACTACCCAACCCATGGACCTGGGCAGCGTGCTCGGGAGGCATCCTAAGCTCTCTACGTATTACAAGCTGATTCAGGTACGCCAAACTAGACCATCTCAGGAAGACAAGACTAACAGGCTCTTTTTAGAAATTTCCCGATATCCTTCTACAACTCCCCAGTTATGATGGTGTTACCGTGAGTAAAGTCCTATATATTTTGGGGGCAACGCTAACATCCACGACTTAGATTGTTGCGCCTTCCAACGACGCTTTTGAACAGATTCCGTATACTGCCCTCTCTAAGATCTGGGACCCAAGCGATGCGAAGACCACTGTTCCCCTCCTCCAATACCATATACTGCAGGGCACAGTAAGTGCCATGAAGCTCAAGGCAGGCCCTGCGTATGTCAAGCCCACACTCCTCATGAATCCCAAATGGAGTAATGTCACTGCTGGTCAGAACATTCTCATCAACAAACAACCCGATGATATCGTCTTCAGTACGAGATATGGAAATCGAGCCACAGTCATCAACTATGATATCAAGTTTCAAGGTGGTCTCATTCAGATCGTGGATAGTCTCCTGATCCCGCCTTCTGGTATCCTTCAAGTTTTGATGGCAAGCAAGGTCGAGTCGTTCCTTGGTGGTCTTTTCAAAGCTGGCCTTATGCCCGATCTTGCTGATAGAAACGACATCACGGTCTTTGCCCCCAGAGATCAGGCTATGGAGAACGTTGGCAGCACTCTCAACTCTATGTCAGCAAAGGAGCTGGCTCGCGTCATGGGCTACCACATAGTGCCTGGAAAGGTTCTGGTATCGACTGGTTTAGTCAACGGCACTTCCCTCAGCACATTAGCGGGCGAGAAAACCTACATCCGTCAGGTTGGCAACGAGAAGTTCATCAACTCGGCCAAGATCATAACGACTGATATCCTCATATCCAATGGAATACTACACATTATCTCCAATGTCAATAATCCAATGGACGCTGATGCTGTACCAAACCCTACTATGTGGGCTCAAGCCCCTGTCTTTCAGTCTGCCCAGGCTGATGATGTCTTTCACTCGGCTATCCCGTGCACCGCAAACTGTCCAGTGACAAATACCCCGATGCCTACACCAGCTGATCAAGCAGAGAATAACGCAGCCACGACGCCATGGTTAACCACAAGGTCAAGCACTGGAGTCGCAGCTGCACGGGCTACAGCACAAATTGCTGGTGCTGCACTGGGTATTATGGGGGTAGGTGCAGGAATGGCATTTCTCTGATGATGGAAGGGCTTCGACACATTGTTCCATACTATATGCTGTTCATTCTGTTGGTATTGGCATCTGCAGTGTCCATTTTCTACTTACAAATATCGCCCGACAGTCACTACGGATAATTTAAACTTGCCATTCGCTTAGTTATCTTATCTACAATATATGGTTGTATTAATACAAGGAGGAATGGATTCCTTGCGTGTGTTTCTCGTCTTCGTGTAACCATGACGCAATATTCTCGTTAGGTAGTTGATGTTCCAACGCAGAAACGTTTTATGCAGAGTGAATAGGAGGGAACGCTCACTCTCAACCGGGTTACACAAGGACATCGGGTACATTGGCCTCCGTCATCGGCCTAGAATGTAATTCGCAGTAATACGATCGTGATCCCTGTCTCAGATGATGACTTTCCATTTCTAGTATAACAACACCGAGTCGTTGCATGGTTGGCTCCAACTCCCAACCGTCCAAGCGCGAGAAACTCTAGGGTAGGGACCCTGTCAAGGACTACCAAGGGGAACCCAGTTAGCTCGTGGGGTAACCAAGGTGAAAAAAGCCTGAAAAGTGTCACCGGTTGTGACTGAAAGTTCGACAGGCGGCTTCAATTGGCAAAGCTTGACGGTACTGTTCTGAACTAGGGGGAATAGAACGGACGGTACATAAAATAATCGACATTTCAGCTAGGATCCTTTTATCTCGACAAAGATGAAGAAGCGGGTAGCAGGACAGGGGTTCTGTAAGTCAGTACAGCATAAGTCGGCTGTCTGCCACGAGGTAGCATTAGATGGACTGACAGACTGGGTTGAGGTTGTGGCCTTGAGGTGAGGTGACTGACTTGGTATTATCCGTCTGTATTGTCATTACTTATAAGCGAGGTAAAGAACCTGGCTCTCGCGATTCATTTACCCTGGAACAAGACACAAGTGGCAACCATTTAGATAAGAAAAACCAGTTAAACCCAGTCTGCCTGTTTCATACATGGAAGCCTTGCCTTGGCGACCGAGTCAGTATCATGAGCCAATCCAGTCCACGCGCTGACAACACTCATCCCACGATACCACGAATAGATAATAGCAATACCAGAAGAATAAACGTAATAGACCCGCTATATGGCCTAGTTTGTAATATGCCGTCGTCTGGATGGACCAACAAAGTGGCCTAGTCTGGCAAGCTGTGAGATTCCGCCAAAGATGGCAAGAGGAAGCGACAAGAACATGAATCAGGGTTGTAGTCCTGTATACATAGGCAGGTATCACAAAGACGACTCCGACGGTGACCAAGCCCCCCTCCGAGAAGCGCCAAGCGGTCAGAGGCCTGTGACTGCACGTGGTAGAGTCGAGCAGACGAGTCCCCTGAAGAGCGATAACCGCCAAGTCGCTTCATCGGATGTTGGTCCCCCAGATTCTTCCGTTATACCCGGCAATCCGACCTCCAGTCGGATTTGCGTATCTCTGCAGACACTCTCCCTTCACATATTCACTGGCTGTACCGTGTCATACCGTGCCGCCGGACTGGACTGGACTGGGCTGGGCTGGCCTCATTTCCCCTCTAGCACTTTCATACTCCGGGTAATGCAAGCTGTGCAACCTATACCACAGCGCGGTCATGGCCCGGCTTACTCGTTCCTATCTGACGGTTCCATGCCTGCATCCTTAGTCCGGTGCAGATGGAAGTGACAATGGGTTGGATGGGGAACAGGCTGTTGCATGCTGGTGATATTGCAATCAGCACCAGCGTCTCTTGCCCCTACCAGTCCACGAAATATATCATCAGGCCATGATTTCCGAGTGGCGGAGCAGGACATGCTCTTTTTGGTGAATGATCTTGACTCCGAGAAAGGAAGAGCTCTTGTTACACAAGGTTCACCGAATGAAGGATGGATCGGCAAAAACAAGTATGAGACAGGCTGTGAGCAGTGAGAGCTGAGTAAAGAAAAGAAACGGCATCTAGCTGTGAGGAGGCGAAGGCGGCGGATCTGGCTGCGGAGGAGGTACTCGCGGGCCCCCTGGAGGTGTTGGAGGAGGATCTGGATCTTGCGACTCTAGACACAAGATGTATTGGGCCATAGCATGCGTGCAAATGCAGGCATAGTTGTGGGTTTGAGATATCATGAATGTTTGAGAGAACTGCCGAGGTCGTTGCTCGAGAGAATGAGAGAGTACCCCTTGATCTTCTGGAAGTTGCTGGTCAAGGTGAAAGAAGTACTTGGTCGATTAGGTTCAGGTCCGAGGCTCATGTTATAGTGGTTGGATTACCACAGCCCACAGCATCTCTAGTAGCTGGTGCGACCCTATCTTCCCAACGAAGCTCACGTTTTCCACAGACCATGGTATGACATGTACCTTGTCTACTTTAGGTGGGTAGAGAGCTTGTAGAAACAACTAACAACTCCCGATACCCACGTTCCCTAGCATCCATGATCAGCTGTGCAAGGTGTTGGCAAATCGCGGCAAAGCGCATCCGCTGCCGCGGTCTTGATTCAGGCTTCGAAGCCAGCAAAGTTTGCTGCCGTCTTTCACCAGATCGCTGTCGTCGTAGTCAGCAGTGTGATGCGCCACTAAAGACTCAGCTCACCAGGCAGTCAAACCAGCGAGGGGATTGAAAGCGCGAAGTTTTTACCCACCTGAGAAGCCCAGAGTCTCGGGCCGACGACAACTAAGTAAGGTAAGTAGAGGAAAAGCGCTAAAGAGGTAGCAGCAGTATGCGTATTAGCCTTGGTAGGGGTACGGGTATGAGTATCATGGCACAATTAGCGATGCTTTCTTCGGTGGTTTCAGCCTCAACTAGAGTGCGATCCTATGCCACTAAACAAGACTATTCAGTGGCAGCGTCAAAATAACAAACGGCTAGGCGGAGTTGCTTTGTACGAGTGACAAGGAAGATACTCGGAACGCTCCACGATGACACGCGCCAACAGGGGCAACGATGATATGCATCACCCTTGATCCAGTCCTGGCAGTTCGTAGTGCCGCACAGCCTGAAATCAACTTTTGAAATAGTCGACTGACGATGATCTTGAAACCAGAAGGAGCTGTCAGCCTCCTAGAGCAAAGCTGGAGTTCGGATTTGGCTAGAATGCTCCTTAAAGCAGGGATACCCAGTCAACTAGGTGACAGAAGAGTTGTCCTCTAAGGCTCAGGGCGCCAAAAGAAAGTGACCAAATTATTTGGTCTCTTGTGCTCTTAGCCTCCAATTCTTCTGCCAGCCGAGCGATGAATCCTCGGCAGCACAACCGACTTGGACCCTGTACTGCGCACGTTGTCAATGTAACCGGAAACTAGACCTATAAGGGCTCACGAGTCTCACCCTTCCCTGTCCCGTCTAGACTTTATGTGCATCAAATGCCCCGAAACAAGAGAGGATCCGCAACGGTGCGGCATGTCTCTCGTACCATATCACGCTGGCTGGCCATGCGAGAATCCTAAAATGGTAATGTGGGAAGAGGCTTTGGATCCGCATACGAGCAGAAACGTTGTCTATCAGGCCTCAGAATTGTCTTCATAATTGGGCCCCCTTGGGTATGTACATGCATTGAGTGAATAATTCTTGATTGGACTCGAATCAAGCCGGAAAAGACTTTTGCGCCTGGCTTCTACAGAGCTAGCAGTCCCTCCACCGCACAACCGCCCCAGTATTTTGCAATTACTTGCAATTGGCTACCATGCGAATGGATCACATGGTAGCAGATCGTTTGGTGGATATACGATGCGTTGATGCAACAGCTTGGGGGTGATGTGTGGTTGTGCCATGGGCTGTCACAAAGACTGATCTGCCGACACGCATGCTGCATGTTGAGATCTCTCCGTAAACACCTCATCCACCGCATGGTATATTTCGTTGATCACGACTGCTGGCTAAATGCCGGGCGTCTTAGTGTGCTGTGCTGTGCTGCATATCGCTAAAGGTGTCGGCAAGATCTGCAATGTGTCAAGCGTCATTCCAGGTACATACAGATACCGTACAATACATTACAAGTACCCAGAAGTTAGACCGCACGTTGACAGCAGGCTGCGACTTGGCCATATTCATACAGTACTGGGGGTGGGGAGGGAAGGGAGCGACAGCCCAGGCCCAGGTTGTCTGTCGTAACGAAAGAGTAGTGCAGGGTTGACAGCGGCCCCTCTTTAACGGTGACCATGGCCCCCTGCTGGTTGGACCATGGATCTTGCTTGCAGCGGCTATGTAGGTGTGCTGTGGGATCGGACCTTCAGCCCTATAACAGAAGCCAATGTGTTGGGTGTGGTGAAGATTAAGACCCTGCCCTAACTTTTGCGCCAGGAGCTTAGTGGGGGTTGCTAGCGCTTTCTGCTGCCAGGATTGCTTTGGATGTTTCTGTGCATATGTACAGTAGTAATGAAGCTTTGAATGCAGTAAACCATGGTGAGGAACAGAAGTCTAGCCAAGATGGCCTTGTCCAAACGACATGGGAGCCCTCGTATCCCCACACCACTCCCGTGAACTGTGAGCGGGGAGAGGGCTACCAAGTGGGATGAGATCTAACGATCCCTGAAAGATGTCTAGACAGGCGCTCGGGGAGAAGCATTAGCTGCATATCTAGCAGCAGAATGTCCAAAGTCTATCCCACTTGCCGGTCTGGAAGCATGCATCCATGTGGCATAACGACATCCAGTGCTGAGGATGGATCCATAGGATGCATTGCATGACGTTAGGGGCATTCCCTGCTCGCCCCGTCCGCCATGATGAATATTTATAATGTGCCGAAAGAAGAAGAGAAAAATCACGTAACAAGGCCATGTTCTTTGACATTGACACGACTGAAACCAGCTGATTGGTGAGTGATTGGTGGTATATTGCGACGGAGGGGTACCTCCGGACTGAAACATGGGTATGATAGGTCAAGATCCGAGAAGTGTTTGATGAAAGCCCGCGGATGGAGTCCTCTTGATCTAGCTCAACTGTCAGATTTGCCAACAACCAACTTGTTTCTTTTTGTGGGAGCTAATTAAAACCTGGTGCCCTTGCCTGTGCCCTTTTCCTCATCTCGTAACGCCAAACGGAAACCGATTAATTACACCTTGCTCCTTATAGCTCATCGGGGACCACGTCCTCGACTACGGGATCGGCTTCGCTCGCCATAGCTATCGATACTCCCGCGACGTCTCGCATCGTTCTCGCCGTGCCGGCCAGCCGGTTTTCGTCTTGGTCCCGGGGATCGTGAGCGCGATCTGGATGAGTAAGAGTTGTTGGACCGGCTGCGATACCGGCCGCCCCCAGTACGAGAAGGAGGCCCGACAGACGATCGGGAAGGTGAACGGGATCCCGGGCGGTACACATCGGATCTTGGACCATACCGACTTCCCGGTGACTTGCGACGGCGGCCTCCTCCGCCACTCATGCCGTTATTTGCTCCCACGCCCGCACCAGGTGGACCCCCACGTCCTCCTGAAAAGGGAACTCTAGGGTCAATGTTGGCTCCACGGCGAGCTGTTGGAGGTGCAGGAGAGAGCTTGCGCCGAGGCAGTACTATAGAAACATTGATAGCTGAGCCGTCCACCTGCGCCTCATGCATATGGGCAATCGCGGCTTCGGCATCGTCTTCGTAGTTGTAAAGTATGTATGCTGTACCACGGTTGGTTCCAACTGTATACACTGGTTAGATGCTATTCCAACAGCAAGATTTCGGTTACCTTACAAGTTCTATTCATCGGCAGATCGAGGTCCTTAACTCGCCCAAACTGCCCGAAAATCTCGTAGAGATGCTGCTCATTAATGTTTTTGGACAGTCTCTCAACAACAATCTAATCCCAACAATTTAGCTCCTAGAACAAGAGACTGTGAAATCTAGGCGTACCTTGGTGCTTCTGGGAGGCGGAGAACCACTTCTGCCCCTATCGCTGCGCTCACGACCTCGGCTGCGGCTGCGGCTTGGGCTTCTGGATCGACTGTGGCTTGGGCTTGGGCTTCGGCTCCTGTAGCGACCGTTCCGACGCTGAGGCGATAGAGAGCGGGCGGGTGAACGTGAATCGTGCGGGTTTCGGCGCTGGGGTGAACGGGAAACCTGAGAGCGCGGAGTAGGCGAGCGCGTGCGCGACCTATAACGGCCCCGTGATGGCGATCGTGATGGCATTAGGAGATCGATCGTAGATGGCCTCAGCTTCAAATGTTTTTTATCGCGTGTTGAAGTTGCAAGAATAGACTTGTAACGCGGCAGGCGTTCGTTGTCAGGCAGGTTGTTCAACGGCTGGACTTCTTTGACAGGTGATCACGTGAGTGCCTTAGTAACGCGTCATATCCAAATCCCAACTTCAACAACACCAAGGTACCTGGTTACTACATTAATCATCTTGATGTGCGAGATGAAAACCACCTCTTTGACTGAGTTTGCAGTATCTACAAGCAAGGCAAGGATAGAAAGCACGCATCAAGAGAAGGTGATGCAAGTCAGAATTACTCCTTGTTCCATACGGATTCTATCAACCGGCAAGCTTCTCATCAACATCTGGGCTGATGAACGATACCCTGCAATGCTGCTGCATTGTCGATTATGGTGGAACTGAGCTGGTTAATCGCCGGAGCTGTTTTGCGCATAACATGACCTCCATTCTTCCAAAGTAAGCGTTCATATAACCTTGTAAGCTTCATCGATACCCTAGAACCGAGAAACGCCCCCAATACATGCTTGGTATCGTACCGACCACAAACACGGGACCATGTCCATCCAGTTGTGATTTTATGACCTATGTTTCCTCCAAAAACCCGGTTGGCTTGACACACCGAAGAACCCATCAGTGTCTAGAATTAATTCGCATCTTTTGAGTTTGGCTGCATGTTTTCCGTAGTCGTGGTGACATGCTTCCTCGTTTGTTCAGTCGTGGACTGTTCCTGCGAGTCACCTGTCAACATGTTTGTTAGCAACGAATCCTAATACTACGATGGCTTGACTCACGCTCCCAGAGACGCGTGTGACGCATCGAGGTAGATCCGATCTGTTCAGGTTCGGTGACGTTTGTCCCCTGATTTGCCTGGTGCTCGTACTGGCTTTCAGCGTTGCCGTCTTCGACTGTTTGAAGCAATCGCTTAGCACGGCGACGTTCGTCAATACCTCGAACGACGAATACAGATGTGATGATAACGAAGAACAAAACAATCGCCCCTACCATGAGACCGATGTCGACACTACTCATGGGTCGTGAGCTAGGGGTTTGAGTCTCCGGCTGAGATGAGGTTACTGGGTTTGCGGCAGCCATGGTGCACCTAATCCAAGGGCCAAGGCCGTTGTTGGGATCGATGGGTGGACGATGAAGTTCTTGAAATGGCCAAGGTAAAGCAAGCGAAGTGTCTGAAGGGTAGCAAGGCCTTGTATGAACCAAGAAAGATTGTGCTGCCAACGTCAAGGAAATGTAGCAAAGCTGTGCATAACATGTAAACAGTAAGATGCAACAATAGAAAACGAAGTGTATTGTCAATACTCTGGGTAAACAACGAATGTCAAGGTGCTGTTTGATTTAAGCACATGCTGCCAGGTGCTGCCAGCTGGCAAACACCACGACTCTAACTACTAACCTAGCTCATAGCTTAACATCGGAATATTAAAACAATGTTTATTCAGCTTTTAATTGTACTCAAGTAGTTGTATCTGAACGAAGCCAGGTCCTGTGTATGCTATTAATGTCAGTCAAGGTAAGCTGCTACGGTAATATAGCGTACCACACACACAGGGAGATGATACATTATAAGCTCGGATCCTTCTTTGAAACCTCTCAATGCATGGGTAGGTATTAACATATCTCTTGCAGCGGTCCTCTTCCTTAACAGGTCGAGCAAGGTCTATCGAAATCTTCGCCAAGGCTGGCCTATTGCAGACGACAGCTATACAGCGTTTGCCTGCAATATGTGTTTGGTAGTATTACGGACTCGTGCCCGCCGTGATTTGCTCACTCCCAAGAGCAGTTGGCTGATGCCCCTTCCCCCTTGTCCAAAAGGTTCCAGCCAACAACGACAAGGGTTACTTTGCACAATAATGCCACATGCTTTGACGTTTACAGAGTCTCAAACTAGATGGGTCTTCAAAATAGCCATAGACCCTAGTCTTGAGCTGAGAGAAGGAGTCGATATTGTTACACCCTCTGGTTATATACAATGTTCACATCATTCCTTATAAACTCCAAAAAAGAACACCGTCTTAGTCTTGTTGACGCCAAATCACTGCACCTTGCATGTACAAACTAGTTTCGCTTCTGTGAGGCGTTTAGAGTCTCGCTGGTAGTCTTGGCAGCGTCCCGAAGCCGGGACTCGAGATTGGCTTCACCGAGCATAGCTCGGCCATGGGCCTTGAAGTCTTCGAAGACAGGAATGAGAGCCTCGGAGCGAAGGTCACATCCATAGTAGAATAGGACATTACCGTTCCTATTGAAGGTTCCATCAGCCTTCTCGAAGAACCAAGTCAGGTTCTCGTCCTCTTCGCTGACAGTCCAGACTAAGCTAGGGTGGTCCTTCTTGATGGAAGCAAAAACGTTCTCAGCGATGTTGCTCAACCATCCTGACTTAGTAATGTTCAAGGTAGCAAGGGTGGCAATAGGCCGTTCCTCGCTGGCCGGCAGGACAACAGCCAAGCACTGCATTCCATCGTCGTAGTAGGCATCAAAGCTGTTGTCCTTGAGCTGGTCAACAAATCGATCGACGGTAGCCTCAGCATCCATTCCTTGGCGGTCGCGGACCAAAGTCTGCTTGAACTTTGCCAGGTCCTCAATCTCGTTAAGGGAGGAAATCTTCTGGACTTTGTCACCTCGACGGATGAGAGTACCAGCGCCGGAGTCGGTGAACAGCTCCTTTTGAAGATCACTGGGGTGGATAATGGCAACGGATGAGCTGCGAGGCAAGGTGTCCAACAGGTCCTTGATCTCGCGGATCTTGAGCCTAGTTCCATATCGGCACCAGGGCTGACTCATCAAGTAGTCGAACTCGGCATCAAGGTTGATAACAGATATCTTCTCGCCATCACCGTCGTACAATCCACCCTTCTCAGACAGATACACGACCTTCAGAGGCTCAAGAGCACGGGCAAGCTCAGCGGCAGCGACGTCAGCGTTGACATTGAGAAGGCGTCCATCCTCAGATTCGGCCATAGAAGTAAGGACGGGGATGTATCCGGCCTCAATGGAGTGCTCAATAGCTTCCTTGTTGACTTTGGTGATCTTTCCAACGTACTGCCACTTATCCTTGTCGAGGTAATCGGCGATAAAGGCGCCGCTAATGGACCGGGCTGAGACTCCAAGCTGATCGAGGCGGTCGATGAGCTTCAGGTTCTCTTCAAGAAAAAGCTTGCGAGCAACACCAAGGGTCTTGGCATCGGTGACCCGGATACCTTCTTCGAATTGAGGCTCAATGCCAGCCGCCTCCAGAAGGTTGTTGAGTTGCGGGCCTGCACCATGTACAATAATAGGGTAGAGGCCCAACTCGAAGAGAATTTTGAGAGTCAGGGTCAATTCTTGTAGGTATTCGGTAAGAATGGCGCCGCCGACCTTGATGACGGCAAACTTCTGCGACTCAACCGAGGTGAAGAGCTTCAGGTACTGCTCACCCTCCCGCTTGCTGCCAATGCTGTTGATCGTCTGCGCAACAATCTCCCGAACCCTGTCACGATCAGGCGATGAGGCCAGAGCTCGTGTGGTCGAAAAGGCTCGGCTGGCGCTGGCGTTGATGAATCGGAGCGTGGTCGGAGCAGTTTTGACACTGGCACGAGCTGCGAAGCGGGGAGCGGCTCGTCGAGCGCCAGCGCGAAAGACCCCAGAAGTAGCGGACAGCATCTTGCTCGAAGGATGGAGATTGTAGGCGGACAATTGGGCGAGGGAAGGGGAGGGTTGAACAGAGAGAGGGAGGGAGAGAAAAAAAAGGCGAAGAAGTGGTGGAGGGCCGATGACTCGTTTTCGGAGAAGTGGCAGGCACGCAGCGGGAAGATAAGAAAGATCCTGGGGTTGATGGAGGGGCAACAGGGCACTACCGCTGCTAGCCTTCGCCTTGAGAACTTACAGTACCGAAGCTAGGTACCTACGTCCATACTCCCATCCATACCAGGTACTACGATGCATTGGAATAGGTACAATTGATGACTTTCTTTACAAACTGATTTTTTGTTAGCTATTGAAAGGGTCCCTGGACCAGTAACTTTACCGATCAAAACAACCGATGGCTCTTCAGCTTTGCTTCGCGATAAAAATATAGGTCTAGTAGTTATGAGCTGCTGGATAAGGTACGCACATAATAGGTACTGTAAGGATCGCGAAGACCGCCGACACCGCTCGCATATGCTGGGGTCGCTGCACTGTAGGGATTGATCGTCATGATAGAATTTTCATCAGCATGATGAGAAGTCAACAGGCCAGTATCCATGCCACTGGGCCATTCCGTAGCCTCGTTATGCCAACACAACAGGATCACTCAAGCACTTTGAGTTCTCGTACAAGCACATTCCATTCTGGAACTGTAGGATAGTCTTTGCACGTTGCTGCGCAGATCTCAACTGTCTCTGTCAGGCTCCCCGAGGCACAGATCGGAAGCGTTACGGCAACAGATGGAGATGAGGCATTATCAATCAGTATGTGTTATCAATCTACGGATACACAGGTGGGTAACAGAGTAATTGTCCTCCGAGGATTAGGCTGCCAAAATAGAGCAACCTAGCAGTAGGACTGAACTGGCATAAAATAGCCAAACTATTTCGTCTGTTATGCTTTTAGCGGTCATCTCTTCTGACACCCTGAGGCTATCTTTCTGTACATGGTATCCATACCGCTACCGAACAAAGCCCACTCCGAGATGACGCCAGTCGATGACCCATTGCTACGGTGCCTCGAATCAAGAGGCTCTCCGACGCTTCTTATCCCTTCTTCCCTGCACTGCAGAGTGCCCGTTGCCATGTATACAGGGCACGGAACAATGCCTTGAGTCCTAGCTTAGTTCGTCTCATGTCGGTTATCAGCGTCTTAATCAACATAGGTATAGGTATCACAGTATTTGACCCATAAGTTTGACTGTCATGGAAGTTATCGTGATGTGATTGAAGTTATGCTGGTAAAAAAAACTATCAAGAGGCATTCCATCCGAGGTAGAGGCAAACTGCCGACTCAAATCTCGCCCAAAGCCGATTCCCTACTAAAAATTCCAAGAACCGGCAGGACTATCCTCTTGTCCATACTGATGACGCAGTCAGGGAAAAGCTGAAGTCGCCGGTCAGAATCCGCGGAAAGGTATATATCTCAATTAATCGGGGAACGCCTAATCTCATACATCCAGCCCGGACTGGCGTTGCAGGAGTGATGCTGAAACTGCGTCAGCAGACAGCCCCGAGAGCAAAGTCGCCAGCGTAACATGACCGGACCCAACGTGAACAAACTCCACCGTGCTCAAATCATATTCCATTGCAATAATGGCCAGTTGCCCAAAAAAAGTTCCATAACCCATGGTCGTAGCTTGCGATTATTCGAAGTCGTCATGTCCCAGCGTGTGCATCGTGAGGAACAAGTACCCAAAGCTTTTTTGTTGAGCCTTTAGCGGGTAGCCACAACTGAGCAGAGTTAGCCGTAGGACCATGATTTATAGGGCGCAAGAATATCTTACCAGAAGGGACAATAATGATGACCAGTAGAATGATAATACCGATAATCAGACACATGCGCATCTTCATGTCCTTCCACCACATCTGCTTTCGGACCCTGTTGGCTCCTCGGCGGAAACCTTGCGCTGAAACAGCCAAGTTGTCGGTCTTATCCTGAAGAGCATCGAGTCGCTCACCACGTTGGGATACCTTGTTGATATTGTCACGCATCACACCCACGGTGTCGTCGATTTGCTAGCGATAGTATTAGCACATGTCTAAATGAAGCGTGATTTTCTGTGGCGCAAGAGTCTGGATGATTTCTGGCATCATCAACTAAATGACGCTTGGCGTATGGTGCCAAAAGCTGACAGAGTGAAAAATAATAAGCAGCGCTCGACCCGTTTGCCAACAAACTGACAAAGCGACACAGCAGCTTGAATCCAGCAAGAATTAGGAACTTTTGGGTCGGGAATTGATGGCTTGTCACCTGAGGGTAACCATATCGCATGCCGTTCGTACTTTCCGAGAGGAGACGTCATCCGTCATCAATAGCCTTTCTCGACAAGTGTCGCGATCCAAAACCACCCAAAAACAGCAGCGCATCAATGAAAATAATTAAAACAACTTACAGCTTGCAGCGCCTGCGTTCTAGCATTGCCGCCAGCACCCTGTTGGGCTCCAGCCTGGCCGCTGGGGATATAGGGGTCGTAGGGGGCTTCCTGCTCAGGCATTTTGGTTGTGTTTGGAGGAGCTGTCGAAGCGCTAGAAAATAGCAATGGGGTATCGATCGAAAAAGCGCGAAAAATAGACGATGGACGAAGAGGAGTTCAAGATCAAAATCGTCGTCGTGCGTGTCGTGTCGTGTTATTGGGATATTGGATGCGAAAGAAGGAGGTTGGCGTAGCGAGAGGTTGGAAGAGGGAAGTTGATTGTGAGACGTTGCGCTGGTTCAGGCGAAGCGAGTAGTGAGTTGAATGACCAGGTTGCATGCCCGGAGCGAGCTGGAGGGTAAAGAAAGGGACTGGACTGGGAGGCAAGGGCGGAGCTTGTCGGGGCTGGTTTGGGGCGCTGCTGGGTGACGAGGCCCCCGAGGGGACCGGGCTTCTAGAGGCCCAGTGCTGAGCCTGAATTGGCTCCATTGGTGACGGGAGGTACCTCTACTTTGTGTGAGGGGTTGAGGACTCTAGGTAAGCAATGAATCTTTGCTCCATGGCTTGAAAGTTAGTATGGATACGAATAATAATTTTTTTCTTGAGGGTTACTGATATTCTATTTTTGGCGTCTGTGAAACCTCAGCGTCTGATCTACTTTGTGGTGGATGTTCTGGGGGTTTCCGATTAGTCTAAGTTGTTTCCACTACATATCTCGGATAGTGCAGTTCATCAACTGCCAAGCTCATGGAAAGGCGTGGAGTATCCGAGATAGTAAGCGGATATACTGGATAGTACCTCTCCAGGCAGTCACTGTACAATAATTGAGTAGCAGTACCCGGCAAAGCTGGCGAGGAAATGTGTGATGGATGCTCTCATGTGATGCTGTACTGTATTGTGCAGACCAGGGTGTCTACTTTTAGCCAGCGGCAGAATTGATCGTATTCGCATCCACATCCATTGACCTCCTCAGCCACAGCCAATGTCAGAGTCAGAAAAACCACAGCAACGCAGCCACAATGATGCGGGCCATCGAACAGGAGGCTTAACTTAAAATGGAGACAGATTATCACCAAACATTAAACTTGTCCTGAAACAATTTAATGCGTTTAAATACATGAATAGGACGATTTGCATTGGGAGTCAGTCAGCGAGGTCATGGTTTTCTGGTGCGAGACGAACCTGAAGCACCTAGGGCTTCACTTGACATCGTTTCATTCGTGCTGTGTGGCTCGCTCGCCGACGTAAAACAGCCGATGCAGTTTCTCCCCAGAAATGATATGCATACATTAGTAGTTACAACAAACCCCGGTGAGTTTGAGGCAGGTAGTTGTGGTACATAGGTTCGCCTACCTGCACTTTGTACCCAGCTGTCCTGCAAACTTGCTACCTAACAGCAGCAGGGACAAACTGATGATGCCTTGATAGGTAATGGTTCAAGTCTGTTAGAAAGAGTCTTCTTCCTTCTCAGCTAGACTCTTATCTATCGATGTCGTCTTTGTCGTTGGCATGTTGTTAAGCCAAGGCTTTGGGCAAAGAGGCTGTCGTAGGTTCAACGCAGAGAGCATCAAAGTATTCAAGACTACCTTTATTATATCAACACGAATGCTTTTCTTCCAGTGCAGCGACAAAACCACACAGCGGATTGAAATATAAGGTGGGAGGATGAGGTGTATGCTGACACTTAGTCCCCTTACATTGTGAATCAGTTCTGTGTTTATCCTTGTCAACAGACGGTCGAGATGCTGTTTCTCTGTAGACTTTTTGCGTCAGTGCAACACCGTAGCTATCAATAAGCCACAAGGGAAAGAAAGCCATTAGACCCCTTTGTGGTAAGTGAGTGCTTCCCAGACATCAATAGAAAGCCACAACTGGCATCCTTGAAGGAACAGTTCTTTGTTCTCAATCCCGGATGTGCGGGTATTTCCGAACCCTGCTGAGGCTTTTGACCAGGACATATCAATTGCGTACTGTTTGGTCATGTCATTGCTGTTCTTTATAATCGTGCGCACTGTGAAGTCGAAGGACAAATTTGAGGTTGGACGTGGTGATGCTGGATAGGTACCGAAGAGTGGTGAGATCCATACTGGCTCCTTCATGGCAGTCGATTCCAGTGCTCGCCAACCATCGCGCCATGCCCGTATTTCATCCTATCACACTCATGTTTGCTGCAGTAGAAAGAAATTCTCAGTAATTGACAAGTCGAACAATCCTCACCTGGGTGACCTCTTCGGCTTCGAAGCGCCTTGTTAGCAGGGCAAACATTTGATGTGTTTAGGTGCTGGTATGTCATTGAATCGATCTCTGAATGGTGGGGACCGTATTACGGTGGCAAGGAAGAATAGGACATCGGAGCATTTTTACTCGTGAAAGGTGGGAATCCCGGCAAGCTTTATATATTCGACCTATACATTAAGTTGGTGGAGGCCACAATACCGGATACCAGTAACGTTACTGCATTGGTTTGATTAAAACTCCAGAGTATAAGCTCAATCGTAGGGCTGTTGTGATAGCTGAAAAAGACGGTCATTGTGTTGTCATCATGACGGGTCGGCGTACAGAAAGACGAGCCAGTGGTGGAAAACATGGACCATTTAAAAATGACAGAAAAATCAGGGAACGATGAGGGAGTCGATTTCGATCCGATTTACAAGGATGGTGAGCCAATCACTTGACTCGGATAGTACTCCGAGCCTGGTGGTTCAATCCAACATGCCTGGCCATGCAGATTGATGAGCTTGAAGTAACTTGAACAAGTTAACTGTACGGATAACGGAGGTTGTTTCGAAGATCGGTACGATAGGTACCCTTGAGCTTGGCTACTACCTTCACGTGAATACATGAGAAACCAACGACAGGCACGGCACTGGACAGCTAACCAATGCAGTCAATATACAACCCAGGAAGAGAGCAAACATCTATCTCGTCATTCTCCCATCATCAAGACCCTTGATATCTGCTCTACGATAACCGACCCCCTGTCGTCATCAGACCCCAAAGCTCCAAGCAATGTCAAAAAGATATCGGCAACTGCTTCCTGTTCCTCAATCCGAAAGTTCCTCCAGTTCTCAACCCTCTGGGTCCTCTACAACCCCGCGATCATCTAGCGACGAGCCCCTCAAGCGACAGCGAATCAGTACACAATTAGCATGTAATTCGTGTCGCAAGAGAAAGATTCGCGTCAGTCATTCCACTTTCCCACCTATAAACTTACCACCGTTAACTCGAGTCGTATGGATAGTGCGATGGGAAAAAGCCTGTGTGCGAGGCCTGTCGTCGGCGAGGCGAAAAGGAACCATGCATCTACACCGAGACCAAGAGCCCGACTCAGACGAGCAAGGAAACCGAGCAGATTCTGGAATTGTTCGAGATCATGAAGACGGGGCCTGAAGCACAAGCCATTGATATTTTACGAGTTTTGCGAAGCCACACCAACCTCGACACGGCTCTATCTATAATCCAACCTCGAATAGCACAGCATATTCATGCTCATGCACGTGGTCGTGCTCCCGAACATACGCGATATTTGGGCCTCGAGTCTGAGCTCATGGCGAGGCATTCTCTTGCTTTCCCGCCAATTCAGCCCCTCGAATCGAGCATTTTAAAGTCAGTTGGTTGTCAAGGGCAGATCTTAGAAGTCATTGTTTGGTTATAGAGCTGCTTCCTATGGAATCAAAGCTGACGACGATTAGGAAAATCTTCAACGCGGGTCAGAAAGCAGCCGCAGATAGCGAAAACGACGACACCCCAATGGCAAACGAGGAACCCAATCCATTCCCAGCGCATAATCCCACACAGTCTGAAGCCCACGATTTGAGTCTCTGCGACGAGCGACTCAAGAAACTCAACATTGAATTTTGGACTTCTGTGCCCATTCCCTCCGACTTAGCTGCAAAGATCATCTCATTATATCTGGAGACGGATCACCCTCTTCTAGGTTCTTTTGATCCAGATCTGTTCTTGGCTGACCTGGTTGACTGCCGGAACAACTATTGCAGCGAGATACTAGTCAGTGCAGTCATGTACTGGGGTTGCGTAAGTGACCAGCTCTATATTTAATGCTCGACTGATGCTAATATGATACAAGCAAATGTATAGTGGTGTCGATTCCATAGCGCAGAAGTACATAACGCAGTTCTGTGAAGAATCCGAAAAGAGGTGGTCGTTAGAAAAACTGACAGATTCGCTATTAACACTTGCAGCAACACAGCTACTAGGTCTGGGGTACCTAGGCAATGGGAAGGATCATTATGTTTTGACGTATGTGTCCGAAGTAAACTCCATGGGCACTCGCCTAGGTCTTTTCGGTGTCGAGCCCAGTGTTGCCGTTGAAAGGGCAAGGAAGGTCGGCCCAGAAATGCAAAGTGCAACGTCTTACGCAGCTTGGGGTACTTTCAACTGGATAGTGTAAGTTGATACCTACAGCAGAATCCAAGGGGAATTGAATGTGCTGACAAGCATAGACTCATGGCTCTGTTCTACCAACAACCCGGACTCTCATACCCCGAACATCCCCCCGCGGTGCCAATACCGGGGCATACATGGCACCACTCACCCGAAGGCAGTCCAGAGTCTACTCGTCAAACTTTACAACAAACATATATGGGAGACACATTTCCAGTCCTCTGTCGATTCTGGCGTATCATGCATGAGGTGACCCTCAAGTACTACCGTGACCAGCCATATCCACGCGAGGGTCTCAGCAGCCACATCACACTCGCCTTTGCCGAATACAAGTATCGTGAGCTAATAGCCTGGGCAGAAACCCTGCCCCCATCTATGGTTCGATCCGAGCAGAGCCCGCATCATGTTTTAGTCTTTCAGTACGTTTCATCCATCGCCGCATTCATGACGGAAGCTTTTGCATGGGGACTGACTTGCCGATAGTATCTGGCTTCAAGTAGGCATCCTCAATATCTTACGACCTTTTACCGTTCGAGCGAGGGATTCTCATAAACCATTAAGACTGAGGACATTTCCTTGCAGACGAAGCTCACCAGACGCTGCTTACAAGGCATCTGTGAATCAGTTGAAGCGCCTCGTAGTGGTCTATCGAGAAAACTACTCATGCTCCTCTTATACAATGCTGTGGCATACCGCTCTGATTCATGTTGCGAACGCTATCCTCGGAGGCACAAGAGATCCTTCTTGGCGCTTCTACTTATTCTTTTGCGTCCAAACATATGGGGAGCTACGGCGGTCATTCCGGTTTGCGGAGACTAGTGGCCGAAGTATTCTTTCTATGACCCTGCAGCAAGGCGATATATCAGCAGAAGAGGCGCGAAAGTTGATGGAGCAGTTTGAAGAAAACCGGTTGAGTAAGCCTTCAGATGATATAAGAGCTACATTTATGGCTGATCTGAATCTTGCCATGACCGATCCTGAAGGAGCGAGCGTTGAGAGCTTGTCCGACAAGTTCGAGGATATTGCTTTGTTCCAAGAATTTACAAATGGAGGAAATTCGAGTGAGGATGAACCCATGGAGTCGGATGACAATGCATGGGATACGTTGTGAGACGTATTTGTTGATAGGCAAATAGGGTGTTCAAGTACAGCACCTAGCAAGGACGAGACTTATCGTGACAGTGGGTCGGTAAAATACAAGCAGACAGAGATGGGAACGGTCCGTAGTTGACTTGAGTGCTGGGATATTGAACGTTCTCCATATCAACGTGGGCTGCAAGCGGTTGGTTACCTGTTCGTCTGATATATTTGACAGGTGGATCAAAGGCCCGTACGGCCTGTCTTCTGGGCTCAGGTCAAGAGATATGGAATAATATGAAGAATGCAGTCTACCTGCTCGTACTATATTCGGCGAACAGTTAGCTGGAGATCCATTGATTGATATAAAGGTCAATGTTGAATACTGTACGAGCTACGGATACCAACAAGGCAATCGAGAATTGCAAAGTCACATGGAATCAACCAAGACGTCATTGATGGCTATGAGTATGAGCTCAGGATAAAATGGCTTGGCACGTGTAAGGATTTCGCCGAGGGACTGGGTACTGGGACCTCTTGGCAACGATTGGATACGACATCGAGACAGAATATCAATGATGGGTGCGCTTATGTGCATACAGTATCCGTATGTCTTTTAATTATGTATTGCCTGTGTCAACCATTGAAAACACAGTACTGACAAACCTCAAATAGCCCTTGGTTGCCGAGTTACCGAGACTATCTTTTGCTTGCAACAAGATGGACATGGCATGCCGTTCAGGTACGAATTAAGCTTATCCTGTCTGAGTTTGGCACTTTTTAGTATTTATACGCTAAAGTTGAACCAACCACCTTGACGAAGACGTTCCAGGTTCTTTGTCTCCCATTCCATGTTGCTCGTATTAGGAAATCCCCACACTGGAAGGTCCCGCATGTCTATCCATGTCCCCAGGAATTGAGGGGAAGCATCCACAATGCATCGCATCACGATTTGTATCCGTACATAATTACTGTATTTCCATATCCGAGTTGATCAGTACTAAAGTGTCTAAGATTTGTATGCATCCATTCAACAGTGACAAGACATCCATGCCGCAGTCAATCAGTGACACTGCTGTATTGTAATATCCAGTCTCAACGGACGTACCGGAAACCCAAAAGGGTTCGTACTGGGGACTTTGTGCATGGCTGCGGCTTACACGGGAAACCCAACTTAGCTCGGGTACCCCAGCACTGTACTGTATGTACATGCCTGTAATGGATGTATGTAAGCTGATATCCATGGATCTCACTCAATATGGATGGTTGCTACACGAACGAGCCATTTACTTGTCATGTAATTGCCTCCTGTGGTACTGTTTAGGTATGTAGTGCCACAGTCTCACTCAGTCTTTTTCAAACGTCTTCGTCTTCGTCCTGGTCTTGATCTTGATCTTCATCCACGAATCCATTGATTAGCCAACATTGTCTTGCCTCTTCTTACAGCCCGACCTCCAACCTTTTATTTAAAGTTCCGTCCATTAGAGAGAGTAAGCACCTACACTCTACCAAGGTAGACCACTAATAGTACAGAATATACCTAAACTTGCTTTAGCTCTTAGCTCTTCGTGCCTCCATTAATCTGACCCCTCAACCCCTGCTTCCTTCCGTTCTTGGATACCATACCTACCTGCCTCTTTACCATCCATTTTAACCTCCGCTCACGCCTGCCTCTCCACTTCTCATCGTCATCTCTCGTCTTGTCTTTTCTTGGCTTCTCTCTTGTGTTCACTGTCAATAATCGTTTCCTCATGAAGCTCGGCGCGCATCATTGTCGCCGTCTCTGAGCTTTTGGTTGCTCACGCTTCATCGTCGACATGCATTTCACCTCAAGGTCGCATGGGTCAAGGCCCAGTGCAGGCAGCGTCATAGCTGCTCTGCTATTGGCGCTCAACCCATTCGCCTTGGCCTACAAACTGGATCCTAATTCGACCAGTGAGTTACACCATGAAATAAGCCCTGGGATGCTTCCCGACGGCACTTGTTCTCGTACTAATGTGGATATAGCTTCGGTTAAGTCAATCTCCAAATCAATCGCCAAGGATATGGTTGCGATGTATCATGGTCATGAGCCCGGTGGTACGCCGGGTTTGCTACCGGAACCTTATTACTGTAAGAAGCATTCGCATTCTCTTACTACTTCCTCCAGCATTCTAACTTGATGTCAAGGGTGGTACGCTGGAGCCTTTATGGGAACACTGGTTGACTATTGGGCATATACTGGCGATGACCAGTATGTCAACCTCACCAAGCAGGCACTCCTGTTCCAAGTCGGCGACAACGATGATTACATGCCTATCAACCAGACAAGAACCGAAGGAAACGATGACCAAGGCTTCTGGGCACTTACCGTTATGTCTGCTGCCGAATATAATTTTCCTCATCCCGAACCAAATCAGCCACAATGGCTCGGACTTGCTCAAGCTGTTTTCAATACCCAAGCTGCTCGTTGGGACACAGAACACTGTAATGGCGGACTAAGATGGCAGATTTTTGAGGTCAGTGGCTCGCATTGTGCTTTCGTTGAGACATACTCCCAGTGTGCATGAGAGCTAACACCAGTAACAGTGGAACAAGGGTTACGACTACAAGAACTCGATTTCCCAGGCTTGTTTCTTTGCTTTGGGCGCTCGTCTAGCTCTCTTCACCGGCAACAACAGTTATGCTGACTGGGCTGACAAAACCTGGGATTGGATGATAGGAACTGAGTTTATTGACCCCAAGAGCTGGTATGTCTATGATGGTGCTCACATATATAATAACTGCACCAAGATGGTACCGTATCAATTCTCCTACAATGCAGGCGGTATGATTCTTGGCGCTGCTGCCATGTACAATCATACCGAAAGCCAGGTCTGGAAAGATCGTCTGGATAATCTCCTTGAAGGTGTCAAGGTCTTTTTCACAGGCCCCCAGAGTAACATCATGACAGAAGTCGCGTGCGAGTCAGTAAAGCTCTGCAATTTGGACCAAAAGTCCTTCAAAGCATATTTAAGCCGTTGGCTGGCCGTTACCACTCAATGGGCACCCCATACTCACGAGTTTATTATGCCCCTTCTGCGTACATCAGCCATTGCAGCCACGGATGTATGCACAGGAGGCGAGAACGGACGAATGTGTAGTCTTTACTGGACCAAGAACACATTCGAAGGTGAGGTGACCGTGGGTCAACAAATGGCAGCATTAGAAGTCACTCTTGCTTGCATGATCCAGGATCGACCTGCTCCGTTAACGAAAAATACCGGAGGAACAAGCAAAGCCAACCCTGGTGGTGGTTCAGCTGATATCGGACGAACGATCCCAGATCTAGACTATGATCCCCTTCCTGCAGGCGATAAGGCTGGAGCTGCTATTCTTACCGTATTGGTGGTCACCGGCCTGCTCGTTCTCATGACCTGGATCCTCTTGGACGAAACATCAGACAGTGGCCCAATCGATCAATTCCGGAATTTTGGGTCATCAACTACTGCCGCAGTTACGGCTCTGGCTGCAGGCGGAGGCGCAGGGGCAATATTGGGACACCAGAAGACAAGGAACATTGATGAGAAGAATGGCGCAGTATTCCACAGTAATGACAGTTCACAACAGAGCGACGGAAGGCAACCTTTTAACAACATGCCAATGTATGGAGGTGCCCCTTACAGCCAAACTCGTGGGCACCGTCGAGTGTCTAGCATGCCATTGGGTTGGCCACAGCATACTACACGGGGAAATGCTGCATACGATTCAGACGGAATATATCCTGTCTCTGCCTCACAACGGCAGTCTCGGAACGACTGGGCGGCTGCAAGCCCCGATGAATCCAATAGCGGGCCAAGAAGCTCGATCAGCGGCAGAGGGAGTTACATACAAAATGACGTTCCAACGAGCGACACAACTCCTGGTACCGATGAGCTCCGCGCATTGAAAGACAGAAATGGCAACAAGGACATCCACACCTTCCCAGACGTTGAACCTGTACAGGGAAACGGGCGAGGGACCATTGGGGTAGGACAGTAACTACCCCTTGTTTAAATTAACTTCATGTAACAAGAGTGACTTTGGGTTTATGGTTTTCCTAGGATATATTCAATTAGGCATACAGTGGACGTTTTGTGCGTTTGAAAGGCGTTTTGGCGGTAACGGCGTTTATTGGATGACAACCCACGGACTGGCTTTAAGGGTCGTATACGTAGTCCATGAATTGGAATGAGGAACCTTGTGGAATAGCTTTTTAGCTACAGCAGCCGAGCAGACGCCACGCAGGCTCGCAATATGAAGCAATATGAAGCACGATCATTCGTCCTATATCTACTAATGGAGGTATTCTCTTAACTGTGGCTGATACCTTACAGAAATGATGCAAGCTTGAGCTTGGCACAAAGATGAATGTGGTCATATCTATAGAAGTGCCATCGCCAAAACAGCCCCTGCTCCTTTATCACGATCTTACGTTTGACCTCATCCACCTCTTTATTTTAATTAGACTAGCGGTAAGTCTCGTGGACAACTTCCTTCTCTCTTCCTAAAAAGTGATCAAGGGTGCTTAGAGGAATTCGCCATGTTTCTGTCGCCTCTTTCGTTGCCAACTTGGCCATATCTCGCATACAAAGTTGACCAGCAATGAAGGGATTGGCAGGTTTCTGTTTCTCAACATCTTCATCTGAAAGGTATTCGGCTGTGAGCTCCCTGCCTGTTGCTTGGGACAGGGAGTGCAGAATGGTCTCTGGATCAAGCCAGTCGTCAGCATACGTAATCTCCTTTTCGTGGAACCGCTTCGGATCCAGAAAAGCTTCGCCGTCGACCCTCCCAATAGTGACAGTATCAGTCAGGGGCAGAATGGTCGCAGGAGTGAGAGCAGTCGCCCAAACTCCTTCATCAACGAGACGAGGATACATCTTGACAAACGGCTCGACAAAGTTGGCCATGAAGAAACCAGGACGCAAGATCGTCCAGTATTCGAAGCCCGCGTTACGGGTCTTCTCCTCAATGGCGTTCTTATTTCGCATGACTGTATCCACAAAACTCCCTGTCTCTAACAACGTCAAGTTGTTTGGATTATCTGCGCCGAAACCACTTGAGTAGATGGCATGCTTAACGCCAGCTGCTCTGGCAGCGTTGAAGATGTTGGTAGCCCATCGCTTTTCCGCAGTGAGGTCTGTGAAATCCGGCATGAGGACCAGAAAGAGAGCTGTACAGCATTGCATGGCTTCCTCGAGTGCATCCTGGTTGTCATAGTCTCCGGGAATAAGTTTCACCCCAATTGAGTCGAGTTCTTTGGCTTTGGCTGAAGTATGGTCGCGGGCAAGGGCTCGTACGGGCACGTCTTTAGATCGAAGATAACGGGTGACGGCACCTCCCTGGCAACCTGTCGCTCCACTGACAAATACGGTAGGGGTGCACATCTTGAGGGGGCTTGGGAGAAGTATGGATATAGAGTATTCCACGGATATGGTTATTTGATAGTGTTCGTGAAGGGAAACTTAATACCTAAACATTGCAAAGGTTTCAACGCAGATTAAATAGACGATCCATCAAGACTTGGAGATATGTTTACTCCTCACATCGGATACTCAACTCGCCGGAGATCCGCTATTCTCTACCGTTTCACCTCCGACCCCGGGCCTCTCGCACCGGGCGGAGTTCCGCCAGGTCCCACATTTCCGGCACAAGTTAGCGGTTAGATTCATCTTCTTCCTCTTACTTCTGTCATCTTATCGCCGTCTTCCCTTTTCAAAGCTTTGTTCTCCCGCAAGATCAAATATATAAGTGGCATTCATTTGCGGAAGCACTTTTGCCATTATGTCACTCACCGCTCGAGAACGCCGAAATCCGCCATCTCGGCGGAAATCCTGCGCTGCCTGTACAAAGGCCAAGCGTCGCTGCGACTTCGCTATGCCAGCATGCCTCCGGTGCTCGCAAAGACAGCTTCACTGCCAGTACCCTGCTCGAGCGATCAGAGGGCAGGAAGTAGTTCAGTCGGAAGCACTGGAGGCTATATCGCCTGGCCTTCTTACTGCCGAAGATTCTTCCCCGGAGAGTCCTTCACATGATGCACCCCTAATTGAAGATTTCAATGCAGTCATCTCAGGTCTTGATGCCTGTTCAGGTGACTTGGGAGCATTGGAGTTTCCATTAGAAGATGCCACTCTGAAATTTGTTGACCAGCCGTGGGCGTTAACTGCACCTTCGACAAAGGATTTTGCGCATGTTCCAAGACATATTCTTGATCGTCTACAATGGGCAGTTGATGAAATAAAACGAGCCCCTGAGAAGATGGTCCTAGAAAACCAGACTCCATGGAGTCATCCTTCACTCTACAAAGATGGGATGCCTCGATCAATGCAGGGTAAAAGCTTAAGCTCTCTCAAAACCCAGCTCGTCTTACTAATAACAGTTCAGACGCCCATTCTTCTTGCGCTCTATACATGGCCAAGAACCACGTTAACTCTCCCATCATATTTCGTAGTATGGAGTCTCGCGTCAACGACCTCCTTGCAGCGCCAGCTCCAGTGACACCATTGGAGTGTCTGGCACATACACAAGCTCTTATTCTTTACCAGATTATTCGTCTATACGATGGTGATATTTGGGCTCGTGTATCGGCAGAACGTATCATTCCAGCCATAGAAGCTTCAGCGATATCACTTTTCTCGTTTGCGCAGTTCGACATAGATACAGCAGCCATATCGCTCCCTGTATATCCGATAGCGCCCACGAAGACATTCTGGCAAGACTGGATTTTGCAAGAGTCACTCCGCCGCACACTTCTGTTCTCTTTCTATTTTGTACAAACATATCGTATCATGGCCGGCTGCAAGATACTGCAATGTGATGGCAGACTCGGTTTATGCCACTCTTGGACGTTGTCTGCACATTTGTGGAATGCGATGACGCCGCTGAGTTTTGCCGAGGCTTGGAGGGATAAGAACCATTATGTAGTGACGAATGCTATCTTCTCGGAGGTACTTGACCAGGCGCAAGCTGAGGATATCGATATTTTTGGGAGGATAATGATTTCGAGTCTTCTGGGGAGGGATGAGGCGGAGGGATGGTTTGCTAGTAGAGGAGGAAAGTTGTAGTCACCAAAAGCTACAACAGCTGTGCTACTTTGAGTTGAATTCTACCGTACAAGTAGGAATCTAGTGAACTTACTTGATCAGCTGAGTAAACCCTGACGAGAATCCGATTCTTCTCAACTCATCAACTATCAGAAGTGAATACAAATAGACCGGGCGATGTCAACATTGAACTTGGCCTATTTTACCAACAGGATCTTCCAAGCAACAGCGGGTTTAGCTCAGTTGGGAGAGCGTCAGACTGAAGACAAACTTCGGGAATCCGATATCTGAAGGTCGTGTGTTCGATCCACACAAACCGCAAAGTCTTTTCTTTTGCTCAGCTTAGCTCTGAATGTCCCACTTATTGATGAGTGGGGACGTTTCATTTTTAGTGTTGCAATTCCAATGGAGTTTCAAGACTGATACTTTCCGTCAGTAAGAAACCAATAATGAATGAATGGATGGTTCGAGCCACTTAGGTTAGTAGGCACTTAGAGGTATAGATACATACCTCATAGTACCGCAAGTTCGATGACATGTATCTTTACAAATAACTTTCTGACACTGTCAAGTGATCTGACTGCAGAGCTTTCAAATTATGAATGTTTCTTGAGACGTTTGGTTCCTCTCTTTATCCCTTGCAAAACCAAGACAACGGATCCCTTGATGAACAATTGAAAAAGATCGCGCCATTCATAGCTCACTTCCTTTAAAAGTGGATACTCTCTTGGGAGCTAGTAGAAGTTTACACTGGTCTCATTCGCGGCACTGAACTTTACTGGATGGCACTACTGTACCGTCCCTACTCAAGGGTCTACCCATGTCTTACGTCCCCTTAAATAGAATACCTTACTCAATGTAATCCATAGCGGCGACTTCGCAGTTGTGAGAACACTTTATGTTCTTCAACAGCATTTTGAAATTTTATCATTATGCCTTCCTCCAATCTAAATACTACACCTTCCCAGGTGGATCGTGATAATGCCTCGTTCCTGTCCCCCATCGCATACGACGACGACGCTTCATCCCTTCACTCCCGCAGCGACCAGGACACCGATACCGACGATGACGAACTTATTTCGCGTGCGAGAAACAGCAGAGAACTGCGCGCCCACGATCGCATCGTCTTGATGGAAGAGGAAGATATTGATCGGCTCGTGACGGACTCGCGACAAAAGAAAGAGCGAGAGCGACGTGGCTCGGGTCTTGCTGTGCCCAATTTAGGGAAGATGTTTGGTCGTCGCGGAAGCAGTTCAGGAACCCGGTCAGTCAACAGCTCAACTGAAAATCTTGTGGTCGAGAAACGGAGTACCCGACGTCAGCGAAGGCAAAAGAAGCGAGAAAAGCTCGTAGAGCATGCGGAACATGGCGAAGATGGAGAATTGATGTACGAGATGGAAGAGGGTGGCATGAAGGAGGGAAGCTCAACAGGCGAGAGCAGCGAAAGGGACGATAGTGACGAGCTTGATCGACATCATCTCAACTTGATTGCCGGAGCGAAAGACCAACGGCGTCGCAGTTGGCGCCGGTGGGTCTTCATACATACACTTATTGCGATCGGTTTCGCCATATTGCTTCTCTTGGCCTGGAAGCTTTCAAAGAATCGCAAGAGCAAATATGTCAAGGTGAACCAGACTCTGGTCAGTAACGGAACTGCCCTCTTTGCGCCGACATCTCTTATCATCAGCCTGGACGGTTTCCGCGCTGATTTTCTGCAGAGGGGCCTTACACCTATGTTGAACTCATTTGTTGCTGAAGGTGTATCGCCAAAGTGGATGCATCCATCTTTCCCATCTGTCACCTTTCCAAACCATTATACCTTGGCGACTGGCTTGTATCCCGAGAGCCACGGTATCGTTAGTAACACCTTCTGGGACCCCGAGCTCCAATCGCAGTTCTACTACACCCATCCGGCACAGAGTCTGGACCCAAAATGGTGGGGAGGAGAGCCTTTCTGGGTGACAGCAGAGAAACAAGGGATTCGAAGTGCTATCCATATGTGGCCTGGCAGTGAAGCACATGTTCTTCATACTGAACCAAGCTTGATGGACAAATTCAACGGCAAGGAGACACTGGACAACAAGGTCTTGAGAATTATGCAATTCCTCGATATGCCTGGCTTTGAAGACAAGACTTTGGACGCCAGCGACGTGCGACCTCAACTGATTGCCGCCTATGTCCCGCACGTGGATCGCGATGGTCACAAATTTGGCCCCAACACTACTGAGATTCGCCAGACTATTCAGGATGTGGACGGCATGATGGGAAAGATATTCCACGGTCTCGAAGAACGCAATTTGACAGATATTGTCAACGTGATCGTGGTTTCGGATCACGGTATGGCATCGACTGACATCTCACGTCTCATTCAACTTGAGGATCTGATTGATGCGGACAAGATTGAGCATATTGACGGCTGGCCTCTGTATGGCCTTCGCCCCAAAAACCCCGAAGACTTGCAAGGTCTTTATGACGAGCTAAAAGAGAAGTCGAAATCAAACCCGAACTTCCAGGTTTATCTCCGCGATGTAGACATGCCTGAGCGATACCACTTCTCCAAGCATCATCGCATTGCTCCTTTGTGGGTTGTTCCTGAAACAGGATGGGCTATTGTTACCAAAGATGAGTTCGATGTCGAAGAGGGAAAGAAGAAGAAACTTGTTTACCATCCTCGAGGTCTTCATGGATATGATCATGAGCATCCTTTGATGCGGGCCATTTTTATCGCTCGGGGCCCTGCGTTCCCTCATCCGGCCAACAGCCAAATCGAAGTTTTCCGTGAGTCTCAAGTACCGCTAAAAAGAAAGTATTTTATCGCTAACTATGGATGAATTAGAAAACATCGAAGTGTACAACATGCTGTGTGACTCTGTGGGCCTGACACCAGCCCCCAACAACGGAACACTGCGGCTTCCTCTGGCGCCCATTGGTATTCACAAGCCTGAAGATGCACCAGGAGAACCCGAAGATCCTCCGTCTTCTTCCAAGGAGCCGGCTCGTCCAACTATCCCAGAAAAGCCGACCCAACCCGAACGCCCGACGGTTCACCAGAAGCCTACTCAACCTGAGCGGCCCACAGTGCCAGTCACACCTTTGCAGTCTACAACGACAACGGTCTCGCTTAAGAAGCCAGCAAAGCCATCCAAGTCAGCAGCCACCTCCAAAGGAAGCGATGGCAAGGATGAAGACAGTGATAGTGACAGTGACGACGATGATGATGGCAAAGACGAAGGCATCTGGGATTGGCTCACTCACAAGGTGGAGAAGGTTTGGCATAAGATTACTGGGGATGACTAGGTATTGTAAGGGGGTGCAGTGTTATTGACTTTTGTTTTTGTGAGATTTCACGGCGTTCAAGAGGGACAACGAGTCCGGGGTTGACTCACGGGGCGTTTAATATCGTGCACGGCTTGAACAACATTGTGTCTCGTTAGGCAGGAAGCATAATAACGATACTGGTCTCTTCTTGAGGTACCTCAGATTTCTCTAGCTGTGCACTTTTGGTTGAGAATGAGCCGATCCATGGGCTTATTATTACGCCCAAGGGATACAACCAGATTTGATGGCAACATTAGTATACCAGTTCTTAACACTTGAAGAGGTCAAAGTACGTGATATTTAACATTGAGATTTCTGGTAATTCTCCGTTTTAACTATCAGGATTCGATTTGATGTTAATTACACTGTAGCTACGCGTCAGGGTATTAGAAGAATTGGCTGTTACAAGCATAAGGGACGAAATAATTTAGTCACTTTATGTCAGCTCAGACTATCACTTAGGTAGGCTACTTTATCTTAGTAGGCTAAGCCTCTACGATATTCTTTCCGGCAGTGACTCGACTTTTGTCGTATCTGCCTGCATTAGTATATTTGCACTTTCAAGCGTCCACGCCTATTCAAAACTGCCACGTAGTAAGTGCATTGTAGTTTAAGACATTGTAAGTTATGTTGAGCTTTCAACCGTAAGCAAGGTGACCTTGGTGCAAATTCAGACTTTGACCAAAGCCTAATTAATCAAAAGGGCATGTTAATTCTCAGAGTTGAGCTACAGGCATGAGACTCTTATCATACCTATGCAGGTGAGGTCATTATTCGGCTGCTATACAAACACACATGTCCCTCTGGTGAAGAGGAAATGATCCTTGCTTGTAATGCTGGTTGCTCGAGAGACTAACTGATTTACTTTTTATAACATAATCGGACTCAGACTGCATGTGCACTTCGATGATTTCATGAAAACTCAAGACAATGATGTGGATACCAATCGGCATGTCGAAGTACCTATTAAAAAGAAAAAGAAGAAAACTTCTAAAATTTCTGCCTAATAAGAGTCAAGATAGGGAAAATCCATCACTCGAGGACCCGAGGGGAAAAAGTGTACAAATTGAGTTGAGATGATTTCTTCTCTTGCGGATTTAAAAATCGAGTTTTTGTAACACCTCGAAGTACAATAGGTACTATGCTCGACTCGAGTCGATGCCTGCCTTGTGGGCAATTGGATTGAATTGCCCCTCCGCAGGGTGTCACAAGAATTGGCCGCCTAGGTCATAGAAGACAAAATCTTCTAATCATCTTATGCCGGCTTAGGCTTGCGTTATGCTCCTTTACTTTTGTACCCTAAACCTTAGAGGACAATTTTTCTGACACCCACCTGCCCCTCCCCCACTACAATCTGCTCCTGCTGCCTGCATTAGTGCAACTGCTCCTTCCTCCTCCACTGTGAGTGAGTGACGGCAGTGAATACGCGTGACGCGGCGGAGCTCCTTCCACACTGTCGGATGCACTACAACTACACTCCACCTTAAACATCGACTTGCATCTATCAACCAACTCCCTGCATATCAGCCTCCTGCGTGCAGCGTACTGCGCTTCGCCTCGCTTCACTTCATTTTGCTTCACTTCAAATCACAGTGCTGTGCACCTTACGCCGCATACGCGCAAAAGCAATCACCGTTCACCTGCAAATACGCCCATCTGCAGATTGCAGATTGCAGTATCAAGACTTGCAGCCACCTATCTTTCTTGTGTATCCAAGTTTAATGGCTGGCCGCCTGCCCCCTGTGGCCCCTTGCTGTCGCTGACCGAGAGGCTCTCGGATGATACTGCACTTGTACGCTGTCTCATTCGCCTTCCTGCAGACGACAGCCTAAGATGGCCGACCAAGCCGCCACTTCCATGAGCTTGGAGGAAATCCAAGAAGAGTTGACTGTACAAAAGGTCGTGCTCGATTCTCTTGGTGATGCCGACTACGATGGAGCGGAGGAAATGCGACAAGATGCTCGTGAAGAGATCATTCGCCTGAAGAAACTCCTCCGAGACTTGAAGCAGAAAAAACAGACTAACTCATGTATGTATTCCTCTTTAGCATATGTCAACTATTGACTTATTTCCTGATTGGCTGACTTTATCGCAGCTGGGGAAGCTCTGCCAGGTAGCTCTGCGCCAGAAACTTCTCACCACGTCCAGTCTAGTTCAGGTATGAATTTCTATCATAATAGCCTTTGAACTCTCCAAGGTTGTCTACAAAAGGCTGCGCCCATGCCATCCCTTGCTCATGTTCCGTTACTTTTCAAACATTGAGCTGACTTGACCTCCAGCCGTTCAACAGCGTGGTATACCAAAATCCATGGATTCTGCTGCGAGACACAACCGCTTCTCGTTGCCAGATCGGAAAAGGGGGGCTGACTCGGCTCGCCTCACTATCCACGACAACCAGGCAAAGGTTCCTCGAATCTCTCCCCTTTTTGAAGACGAAATCGCTTCGGATCCAGTGGCCATTAACGACACAGATCATGGACCTATCGACTTCATTGACCTTACTGGGTAAGTTGCTACCTGGCACACTGACCTTCCACAAGCGCTAACAAGATTGTCTTAGGGATGATGACGATATAGGATCTGATTTTATCGCAGAACAGATCAAGGCTGAGCAGAGACAGAAACAGGAACAGGACGACCTTGCGTATGCAACACAAATTTCCAGCCAAGACTCACTTGGCCGGACGGCGGCAACACAGTCTCCTCAGAACAATGCTTTCACACGCATAATGAGTACCCAACTTCCTCCGGCCGGTCCTCCTGTTGCTGATGGAGAGAGTCCACCCCGTATGCCAGGGGCTTACAATGCACGATGGGATGACTCATCTGAAGCAGGCCCAGCCTTCGGGTTCCCTCAGAGCCAACTGAACCCCCAGTACATACCTTTACCAACTCCTTCAAATCGCCATGCTGTTAAGGATGAGCCGGAAGTTATCTTTGCAGGGTCGGTTGCTCGTGCTCCTCGTCCTACCGGGCGCGCTGAGCACTTGATTCCTGGAATGACTATGGGCTACCCCGATTTAACCAGACGCGGTGTCGTTCCTCAGCCTCCCGTGGTCGGTAGGTCCGGTCACTTGGCCAGGCCGCCTCCGTCATATGTGCCGGGGTCTTTTTCAAGCCCATCTGCTTTGAGTGACATTATCGGGCGGACGAATAGGTACGATATGACCCATGGAGTAGATGGTGGTGGAAATCCATTGCCTGCACATGTCCGAGAATGGTTGCAGGATCCTGATCACGATCCATATGCCGCTCTTCTTCAAGGGCCTCAATTGGACGCGCAAGAACTCGAAAACTTACTCTCAAATATCTCTTCCGACATGGACCTTCCAAAGGCAGGCCTTGGAGAAGCCCCGGCTGGGTTAAAAAGACCATTGTATCCCCATCAGGATATCGCCCTTGCCTGGATGAAAAAGATGGAGGCAGGAACAAACAAGGGTGGTATTCTCGCCGACGACATGGGATTAGGAAAGACGATTTCGACACTTGCCCTTCTTCTGGCACGTCCAGCTACGACACGACCCAAGACAAACTTGATCGTTGCTCCTGTTGCCCTCATCCGTCAGTGGGAAGAGGAGATTGCCACCAAAACCAAATCATCTCACCGATTGACGGTATATGTACACCACGGTAAAAGGACTACGATAGACGAGCTACTCACATACGATGTGGTCTTGACTACTTACGGCTCACTCTCACACGAGCTCAAACGATACGACAAGTTCAGGGAGCAAAATCCCGAAGAAGACCAAATCGACTGGAATCACAGAACCCCCAAGCTTAGCTTTCCACTGTTGCATCCGAAGGCTAAGTTTCACCGTGTGATCTTAGATGAGGCGCAATGTATCAAAAATGAAAAGACGCAGGGTGCCAAAGCATGTTCTCAGCTTAGAGCAATTCATCGATGGTGTCTTACAGGAACGCCTATGATGAATGGCGTTCTGGAACTTTACTCCTTAGTGAAGTTTCTCAAAATCAAGCCTTATTGTAAGTGGGAAGACTTTCGTCAGTCGTTCGGTCGGTTATTCGGTCGCAACGGCGACCCAAAAAGTACCGCAATGAGAAAATTACAAGCATTTCTCAAAGCTATCATGCTTCGTCGCAAGAAGAATTCGCTACTTGACGGCAAACCGATTCTAAGGCTGCCTGAAAAAACTGAAGAGATCGTGTATGCCAAGTTCTCTCCTGAAGAGCTGGACTTCTACACCCAATTGGAAAAGCACGCCCAAGTGCTGGTAAGCAAGTATATTCGCGAGAGATCCATCAGCAAAAACTACTCCAATATCCTTGTCCTCCTGCTCCGTCTTCGCCAAGCTTGTTGCCATCCACATCTGAACCTCGACGTCGATGACGCACCATCTGCAGTCTCGGATGAGGAGAAAACAAAAATTGTTGAAAAGCTCGACGAAGCCATTGTAGAAAGAATCAAAGGTATTGAGTCTTTCGAATGTCCTATCTGCTACGATGCCGTTCAGTGCCCCAGTTTCTTTGTTCCTTGCGGACATGATAGTTGTGGGGAATGTCTTGTGCGCATTGCAGAGAGCGCTCATGCAAACAACCTCCAGGAAGGAAACGAAAGCAGTCGGGCTAGGTGCCCCGTCTGTCGTGGCCATTTTGACCCCACCAAGTGCTTTTCGTACGATATATTTCGCCGGGTTCACATGCCGGAAACTATCGAGGAAGGATCTATCAAAGAGGAGGTTGCTGAAGAGAGCGACTCGGAATCTGACTCGGAATCTGACTCAGACAATGAGTCGGATGATGACGTTGACCAAAAAGGAAACCTCAGAGACTTTATCGTTAACGACGAGTTTTCCGAGGATGAAGTACCAGTCAAAAAGAAGCGCAAAACAAAGGGAAAGGGGAAGGGCAAGGAAAAGGCACTGGACGTGAAACCCTCTATGCTCAAGACCCTGCGCAAAGAAGCTTGCCGGAATCGCGACGCGTACAAAAAGTATATGAGGTACTTGCGAAAGACCTGGGAACCTGCTTCCAAAGTGACAGAATGCATGAAACTCCTCAAACAAATTGAGGAAACAGGGGAGAAGACCATCATATTCTCTCAGTGGACTCTATTGTTGGATCTTTTGCAGGTAGCCATGCGGCGAGAGAATATGCCAAAGCCCGAACGCTACGACGGGTCCATGTCGGCAACCCAACGAAACATTGCGGCTCACAACTTCCGCGACAAAAAAGATGTCAAGGTTATGCTGGTGTCTCTGAAAGCTGGCAACGCAGGCCTCAATCTTACCGCTGCTTCTCGGGTCATCATCATGGACCCTTTCTGGAATCCCTACATTGAAATGCAAGCTGTCGACCGTGCATATCGAATCGGCCAACAAAGGCCCGTCAAAGTGTACCGCATACTGACAAACGAGACGGTCGAAGACCGTATTGTTGACCTTCAAAACAAGAAGAAAGAAATGGTCGAAGCGGCCCTGGACGAGAACCAAGGTGCACAGATTGGACGACTGAGCGAAAACGATCTCCGAAATCTTTTCAACATTCGCGACTAGACAATGGTTGTTCTTTTACAGAAGTTGGCTGTTATGCTGCCAACAGCTTACTTCCCCAACATCAAATTGCTTTTTAAATCTGTTTAGAGTCAAAAGAGGAGACCGCACCGTTGCTACACGACTCCTATTCGCTTAGATGTGTGGCAACCCAGAGAAGGATCGCGATTTATAAAGCCGATATGTCCAAGGCCATCCGTATGCGCTACTGTGAAGTGGCAGGAGACGCAGTGTAAACAACTGATAGCAGCGAAATCTTACATAGACCCCATGTTATAAGAATTAGCTAATGATGTCGCAACTACATGCGTTGTGCTGCGTACAAGAAACCCATTTACGTGTGCATTCTAACAGGTGCCCAATAAGTCTATCTCGCTTTTGTATTGAACGCCACAAATGGACTTTGGAAAATACTGCTGGCTTCTAGTCTCTTACCCTTATCGACAGTTCCCGTGTCTCTTCTTCCCTGCGCAGAAGCTCTTTAAGAGTTTGTATACAAAACCTTTAGTTCATTAAAATGCGTAGGCCTCGTTTGATGTCCCACACTCAATAAGAGTTGTGGTCCCTCAAGACCTAATCTTTCGAATCTCTTGATCGACTACAGCCTCCACACTCTCCTTGGTGGTATCATCCGACCATGCCCACTCGTGACGCACTAACTTGCCATCTACCAACGATGTGCTTCTGACACGTAAAGCTGGAGTGTCCGTGACGGCAAATGACAACTCAAACTCCTCATTGTCTTGATTGCGGATGACATTACCCTGAATGCTGCGGGTCCACGGGGAGGAGAGCTTGGAGAGATAGTGCTCCACTAGCAGACGTGAAGTAGCGGTGCCAAGATAATGAGCCAGAGCACTAGGATTAGGGTATCCATCTTTGTAAGGAGCGCACACAGACGATAGAGGCGAGTTGGGAGGGAGGATAACACTGTAATAGGTTGCGGTGACAGGGACATGGAAGGTGCGCCCACGAACGGTGCAGGTAACGTCAGGCAGGATAGTAAGCTTTATGTTGAATTCGATAGGGTGCAGCATATTTCGCATCATGGTCTGTGAAGATGCAAGCTGGTGAGGTCCTTGGTTTGATGGGTCTGAATCGGATGGGGATGTTTTGGGCGTTTTGAGAACGAAACGAGAGGATATGCCCGCTCGCTGTAGCGACTGAACAAGGGCGCCGACGTGTTTGGTAACAACCTCAACGTTGTCAAGATGCATAAGACGGCCGATGATAGGGCGGAGAAGGACATGTGATTGTTGGCCCCGTGCTCGTGCCATGTGAGGAGGCAATGGGCGTGTCCTCATTAACTCATTCTGCCTGTGTGCGTAGCCTAGAAGGATATGTAAAGCTAGGGATATCGTCTCGGCAACTTGACTGTCTGGAAGGTGGTCGTCAGAAGAAGCTTGAGTGCCGAGAGGGACCAGCTCCAGTATGATTCGTGACTTGGATGCCGGATCGATGTCGCAGGTGAGACGGGAGCCGTCTGGTTTGACGCCATAAGATGCCAAACTACGGGCCTCTCGTGTAAGCTCATGCCAAAGCTCTTGTGAGAAAATAGTGTTTCGGGCTTCAAGAACATGCTCTTCGAGAGGGGCATCGACAGCTGTCTCGGCTGGTAGAGCAGAGCGGCCAGTAATTTGGCCGTTCTTCTCATATGTTACCACGACTCGCTCTGATACCCCTCCTAGTTTACCGCAGTCGAGCTGGACTGTTCCGCCATCGCCTCTTCTCATAGGTGCGAGACTGTTCCTGTACTCAGGAGAAGCTATCTAGAGAGTTAGTAAGGTCGTGGATCGGTCGTATCAGTTGCGAAATTGACATGCCTTCTGAGAAACCAAACCGAACACCCAATATGTGCCTTTCCATGGGGACTCTAGTTATGGACCATCCAGACTTCTGAACAGCAATGATATCTTCCCAGTAGTTCCCCTCCGATGTCACCTCCTTCTGAAGGAATGAGCTAGCAGCTTCAGCAGCATCGCGTACCTTGTTGGTTTGCATGAGTGTGAAGCCCAGTGCTATATTCTCCTGCTCTTGTGTCTTGGCTGATGTGGTAGGGGGGTTATCCAGCTTGTCGGCGCCTATCGTACCAATTCCTACCATATCACGTAGGCCTTGCGACAGGGTAACGCCTGCTTGTGTGGGGTTTTGCTTTGAAATGAGGAGCGAGAGGAAGTCGAGAGTAAGAAGGGCCGTGTTTCCTGCGATACTGAGAATAGATGTTAGTTTGAACGGGAACTTGCAATCGATGTCCAGTTCTCCTGGACAACAAGAATTTTCCATACTCGAGGTTTTTGAACATCTCCATGCGCACCTCTTGAGGATCTCTTGTCGCATCATGATCGTCGTCGTCGTCGTTGTCGTCTTCGTCAGCTTCGGCCATGTCCACGTCTTTGTGTTGCGAATCGCCACCCGCCGCATTTTCCTGGGCGATCTCCTCCCTGAGTTTAGCCTCTGATATAGCTCTAAAACCACCTGGTTGCGCGTTGACACGAGCAATGAAGTCGGCAATGTTTCGAGGTTTGCGATCCGCAACGGGAGGCGGTCGTACCGACAGCGGTTGGCCGTCGTCGCCTGGAGTCATGATGGGCGGTTACGTAGCGGTCTGTTGGGTTGATTCGTCGCGGAGCTATTCAATGTTTGAGAAGTTGGGAAAGCGACATTAATTCTTGATCCGTATTTGAATTGAGACGATTTGTTGATGTTGGTGTAAAGTTTGGGTCCTACATTAGCTCCCGTCTGAGGCCCATGACCGCGGGGCCATTCAGCTCGGACCCACTCAAGCTCTCAGGTAGGTAGGTACGAATTGTTTAAGCAAAACTCCAAAGGTGTTATCCATACCATCCATTATCTGTTGGTCTACCCTGGTTGTAGGAAAGGCGGAGATTACATGAGTCCATGTTATTCTTTCATTCTGCTCTATAGAAAAGACGTCCTTTCTTCTAAAAATAAATCATCACCCCAAGTATGTATTGTATTGTAGAATGTATAATATGCCATAACCCAAAATCACCATATCCATTTCGCCGTTGCAATGCTTCATAGTCCTAATTACCAGAATCCATTCACTCATCCTGTATGCTGCTTGCGCTACTCCATGCTTCGTTACCTCCCGTTCGTCGGTGTCCCTCTCGTTGCAACATCCTGACTCGTCTCAACTTGGACTGTGGGTTATCCGCTGCCATTGTGGGCATCAGATCATCCTCTAGAATGGGAACCTCTCCCAATGGGTCAAGTTGATCGATAATGTCGGAGATCTCGGTTGGTGGAACAGACTTGAAGACCGCCTGAACGTCGTTGTGAGGTGACAAGGAGGTGAATTGCCACTTAGAACGCTTGCCAGAAGCACGTCTGGACTGCATCCAGAGACGGCGTCGCTCCACAAAGCTGATCAGAAGCAGAGTAGGCATGTTGAGAGTTCGAATCAGGGCCACGTTGACAATGTGGAATATCCTAGCTGAGGTGACAAGCTTCAGAGGCAGAAGTGTCATGAGAGCTAAAATATTGAAGGGGGGCGGATAGGCGAAAATAGAGTCGCTCTTGACGCCTTCAAAAGTCAAGACAGCGCGTCGAAATTGGATTTCGGCAGTCTCGTCGGCCACAATCTTGGAGAAGGTGTTTGTGAGCATGGCAATAAGGATGGTCAAAAAGAGCGTGTTGCCGAGGAATGCAAAGGCAATCATGAGTGCAGGGCCAATAATGATATGGAACCGCACCGACTCTTCGATTCCTTCACCATCAAGACCAAACCAGATCCAAAGCATCCACTTGCCCACAACATACCAGCTGAACTCTTCATCGCCATCGTTGCTAGCACTAACAAGCCACTGCAAAGCGAGAAGAAAGCCGGTGAAACACCAAGTGGCGAGGAACGTCAGCATGGTAAAGTCCTTCATCATGGCGTGAACGGAAATGAAGACAAGGTTGTTAGGCAGCAGGTTGAAGGCAACCCGAGTCAACATGACAGGCGCCGCAATACACAAGATCGGTAGTCCGTAGCCGGAATGGAGCTGGTCAAGCAGGAAATCGTAGATGCGAAGAACGAAGTAGGCGCCAAAGATGGAACCGAATGTAATGTCCAGAAAGGCCCATAGGTTCTGGGCGTGGACCGCCCAGCCGTGCTCAATAATGGCAGCCATCTTCTCAAGCAACCAGCCAAAGGTGTAGATACAGAAGGCAAATTCCCACATGTTGACCTCGGAATGACGAGAGACCATAGTCATGACATACAAAACAAGAAGGATAACGAAATGAACGAGCTCGATCAGGTTTCGGTTACGAGGAACAATGAGGCGATGGTGGTTAAGAAGAGGCGCCGTTCGAGGATCGTAAAGAGAAATAGGCCGTCGCTTGTAGTAGTCCGGCAGGAAGTCCATGAAGGAAAGTGGCGTGTAGATGATCTGTCCATTGTGCACAGCATCAACAGCTCGCTGGCAGGCGGCGGAGCTAATAAAGAACTTGCTTTCGGATACAATGGCCAACTCCAAGGCTGTAAGTTTTCTCTCTGACCCGAGATTTTCCTGAGAGCTTCCAGGCCATTGAGGTCGATTCGCTGGCCGCTCCATGTGACTGGGGGCACCTTGGAACGGATCAAAGCCCTCAACGAGGATGTGCGATAGCAACAAAAGACCTTGGGGACCTGGGTTATCCTCGTGGAAGCGGCGGAGTACTCGGCTGGCCAGTAGCTCACACAGGATCGCACGAGCTTGATTGACACTCTGATGGACTTCTGTGGACTGGTCTCTCAAGAAAGAGACACGGTTTGCTAATAGACAGTAGACTGAGAGGCGGTAAGTTAGAGATTTGAACTGAGTACAAGATTCTGTCTGGTGACCTTACCAACTGAAATATCATCTGGGTTATAGAGTCTTTCTACCAAAGGTCTTACAACGAGAGCATTCATCTTTGGATCTCTGAAGTGTTCCATAGTATAAGGGTCATCTTGTGTCTCGTTAGCTACCTATGCACAGCACAGTCCATGATAATCCCCATGGAGAACAACTCACCAATGCTCGCAAGGACTAAACGCCGGACTCTACACTCAAGAAGAGTTAGCACGCTATTCTTTTCATATCTCTTCTTTTATGTTGAGTTCACAGTGAACAGCTCCATGAGTAGGCTCTCTAGGATCGAGTCTCGCAGGGATTGGGGCAAGGTTACCGGTGAATTGTCATATACACGGGAAGCTCAGCCGTTGTTAAGTTGAGCGTCGACCGGTTCCCTTCATCGAGAATTCCTTTTGATTCTGCATCTCCATCTTCTGCCACGCCAAGGAAGCAATCGTCTTCATCATCGTCAACGGGCTTTAGCCAGTCGTTAGACCGCTCAGTGCTTCGGCGGATCACCATGATGAGATTGGTGAAGAGAATGTCAGAATAAGAAGAGACAAACAAGTCAAATATAATCAGATTCTATCCGTAGACTCCAACACAAAGCAACGCAACGCAAGGAAACAGAAACACAAGGCGAGACGCTTGAGTTTTAGCTTTTAGTTCTCCTCGAGTGAAGCGGAAGCCCCATTTCCGATGTAATTTGGGTCGTTCTGCCCCTGAAAGTTCTCATTCCACGATCACGACGACCAATGAACGGTCTTGAATGGTTCAATCGACCCGCCCCCAGGTACGCGTCTTTTGTAGGCGAAATATTGAGCATTGATTTATTTAGTAATTACTAAGGTAAGGTAAGGAAAAGTAGGTGAGTTCTTTTTTACTGTCTTCTTCCATTGCTATGGGCATTAACAATGACCAATTAATTCACAATGCATTCCCTAAGTAATCCATGCTTAGGTATGCAAGATATGCATATTGATTGCCCTCCACTGTACTGTAATAGATAGGTACCTAAGGTAGGTAGATATAACTAGACTCCATTCGATGACAACGGCCAGCTCCCATTGGGAGTTTGTGGCGCTACGTTACTCTGTAGTCTATACGGATACCCCTGAATCGAATCGCCTCCAGCAAGAGTTTGGCTTATGACAGATCAACAAGACGCTAAAAACAGGGTCCAAAAAAGAAGCAATGGAATGCATGTTTCTGATAATCACAATCTACAGTACATACAACCTTAATGATGGATGGATGATATATGGTTATCCCATGACTTGAATCTTCTCAACTCAGTTCATGACATTTCCAAAGCTCATTGGCAATTCGTTGCCCTGTTCCAGTACCCCTTTCTTGAGAATAGGTACATAGATAGGTAGTCTCGCCATCAAGCTCCGTCAGCCGTTAGATTCAAGAGGCTTACCTCCATTTAATGAAACCCGACTCGCAATGACTAAAACATCGTATGAAAAAGGCGGCCTAGCTCTGCACCAAGGTCAACTTTTGCAACAGAACTCTCACAACACCAACTTCATCTTGTCACGAGGTCATTGAGTTCATGGCTCGGCATCATTGTCTCTGCCTTTCATTTGTCAACTTTGGCAATTTCTTGATACTTTACAATTCTGGGCAGAGGAGGGAAAAGCCTCTTTGGCTGTATTTCGTTAGCTGGGAGGGGCGCATTGTCACTCGACCATCTCAGCTGGCGTCGTGAAGCTACTCTCGAGACCTTCAAACAGATATCTACTCCGTACTTACAGTTATAAAGCAGGGGTCTTCAAGGATTGCAAACTAAACGCCCTACTCCTACACTTAAACAGTCGCATCTGCCCCCCCTTCACCAACAACACCTGACCATGGCCTGGCCTTGGCTGCGAGCAAGCTTAAATATGGGGTAGCCTAGTGAATGCTTGGCTTTCTAATGGCGGCGTCCGTATGCACGCAAGATTACACGCCAAGATATCCCAGAGTGGCAGTGTATGAATAAAGTCAGCATTCGTGAAGGAGACAAACAAGATACTGCCAGTTTGCTATGCTATGCAGTATGCACCAAGTACTGTAGGATGAGGACACTGCCATTGACACATGCCAACCTCGGCTGTCTGGTCCAGGTAACGCACACAGCTGACTGACTGGCATCATAGAGCATCGGTGACAACCAATCCAAGTCTACCGATTGATTGATCCCATCTGACAGGCACCCACAGCCTTTCCTTGGAGAGTCCGGGGGAGCAACGGCGGGGAATCCGGCGGCTTCGACGGCGGACCCATCCAATATGCGTATTGATGAATCCGGGCTTGGTTAATTATTCGTCCATCTTCAGGTCTCAGGAGATTGGTTGATCCCGAGGACCTGAGCAGAACAGAGTTGTTGTAGTTCAAGACGTGCCGCTATCGTGCGAGCTGCAAGTATTTGGCGAGTAGGTGACAGACATAGCAGATGGTATCACTTTCTCGTTGGCTTCAGAGGCATTGACTTTGGTCATTAAGTAGTTGATGTCTTATAACCACCATAGTATCTGAGCAAGTAACTTAGTCTAGATAATTGAGTGTGGCGTCGAGTGCTAAATGGGTCAAGGTATAATAGCCCCTCACGAACGAACGATGTGGATTTTGGTGATCTTGGTTTATCTCGGCCCGGCTGACTTTTTTCTCCCAAGGTTTGGTCCCAACAAGCAAATGGGAGGACGATGCTGTAGCTGCATGTCGGTAGCTAATAAGGTGCTGACCCCTGGCAGCTGCTGACTGGCGTCAGGTCGATACATAGTACATAGTATGTACCGTACAAGATCCGGAAGGATTACAGTACCTGAGTACCTACGGCTACGGACATGGCACCTGTACAAAGGCCCTTGTTGGTGTTGAAGGAATGGAGATGCCAATGGACCCAGGCATTGGCTCGGACCAACCAGCCTCGGCGTAACGGCCAAGCCCAGTGAGGGTTTTGAGATACGGTGATTCAACGAGCTAGGTAACTGGGCCTGGTTGCATACCCTAACCCAGTCAGTCATGGACCTGTAGCTGTAGCTGTGTCCGTAGCTTACAACAATAAGAAAGATAAATTAGCTCAAGGAGCTTTGTAGATCTGGTCTCTGTTGGTGACGCTGGGGCAGTCAATGCACCAGCCGAAGTTGAGCTACTAGCAAAAGCAGTAGACCACCTCACCTTAAGACCTAAGGTAGTAATTTTGGTATAGCAGGCTCATGTCTAACAGCCGAAGGTGCCGGAAAGACAGCTGCCTGCTTAAGCTCCCAAGCCAATCCAATGACGATCACTTTTCGCCTTAGACTCTTGGGTTGTCTTGTGTCGTTCGCCTTGGTCATATTTACGTGGTCGCAAACCTGCCACAGCAATTTTTGAGTGCTCCATTCGTGACGCAATGAGCGTCAAGCTCGCTGCTTCCCCAGTGGACATAGCGCCTGGAAGCTTCCCTGTAGATACTAACCAATGGAGCACGGCTATTCAGGCTAATCCAAAAGGAGTATGCTACTCTGTTCGTCGGTTGTATCCATTGGTACCTTTTTGTTTTTGCTGTATCATACCTCCAAGTTCCTATGGTAGTTGGGACGATTTACTCAAGGTAGTCGGCCATGGCAGGGAAATTGCTATGAGACTTTGCGTGAAAACCCATACATACTGGAAGTTGGTTCAGAATACGAAACTTGTGCCCCATTTTCACATGAACTGCAATTTGCAAAAGATTTTCTCAAGGATTATATCCCATCCCTGACTTTACTGATAAGTCTGTTTCTGTGGCGCGTGCATCTGATCCAATCCTATTGGTACTTATCAAGATTTACGCGAGTGTTTTCAAGGGCAACGACTTCCTATCTACCTACGTAGATAGATATCTTATTATTATCGCGAACAACCTAGGGCTTCTCGGTGTTGTTAACAGTCCCCTGTCAGGTGGGTAACAGAAGATTTGCCCTCTAAGGCTTAGACTGCTACAATAGAATGAATCAAGGGTTAGTCAAAGCTAGCATAAAGTGTCCAAATTATTTCGTCTCTTATACTCTGTAGTTTTTGGAGTCAACTCTTCTGATACCCCAGGGCCTGTTAAGAGGGTGATCTCATCCCGATAGTGTGAACATGATTATGTTTCAATGTATTACTCAGTCTTGTTGTTCAGTGCTTACGAGTCTCCCCTGACGGACTTGTAGTAATTAATGCATTGGTACCTTAGGTAGGCCGTAGTAAGAAAGCTGTAGGTAGTATTAGGTAGTATTATCTTATGAAGTTAGTTACCTAGCCAAAGCCAAGAGTGACGGACTCAGAACCTAGCACCTGCATCTCTTAGTACTACCAGGTAGGTGAGCAGGTGGAGGTACCTCGGGGTACTTTGCTACTAGTTTTCTCCACCTTCCAGTTGGCCCGGGCTCTTACGGTACTGCTTTGGTGTGCCCGTGCCGTGTCTTTCCTGCGGGCACCTAGTGGCCAGAGTACAGAGTACCTACCTCATTAGCTCCAACCTACTAACTTTTGGTTGCTCTTGCAGTTGCGTTGCTTGCTTCTATGCCCGTTGACATTCTCCACGTCCACGCCTGCGCCGCGCTTTCTCTTTCTCCTACGTCGTGTCCGTGGCTTTACTTTCCGTCCCTTCCTCACATTAATTCCACTGGCCTCCCCCTTCATCCTTCTTCCCTTTTCCTCCTTACACTTCGCGATAACCTCATCCCCCACTGTCGTCATCGCAGACCATTCTGTGAAGTTCTTTTACTTCACCCTAACTTGCATCCTCATCTTCACTTCCACCTTCATCTTGCTCATCACCAGCTTCTCTATACACCTATACATACACCTTCCCATACAACCCCCCGCGCAATTAAGATGACGGACTGGACGTCGGGCATCATGCCGCTGCACCAGGTGCACTCGCCTCCCTTCACCGTCGAGGCTCCCGGCTACGAGAAGGTTCCTGGTGAGACCATCCCTCGACGTCACCCCAAGGCCAAAGACGGTCTTATCAACTATCCTGCTCCCGATGCCAGGACTGTCTTCCAAGTTGTCGAGCGCAGTGCTCGGCTCTACCCAAACCACCATGCTGTCGGTGCCCGCAAGTTGATCAACATGCACAATGAGAAGAAGAAGATCAAGAAGAACGTCGACGGCGAGGTTCAAGAAGTTGAGAAGGAGTGGTCATACTTCGAGTTGACCGGCTTCGAATACTTGACTTACAAGCAGTACCTTGAGCGCGTTCTACAGATTGGTTCTGGTCTAAGGAAAGTTGGCTTGACCAGTGAGGACAAGCTTCACATTTTTGGCACCACTAGGTATGTTCAAAGTCGATGGCGTCTGTGACTGTCTCTAATCCCAGCTTCTAGTATCGGTTGGATTTCCACATCTCACGCTGCCGCCTCTCAATCCATCTCGATCGTCACAGCCTACGACACTCTGGGTCCTAGCGGCGTTGAGCACTCTCTTGTGCAAACCGACTGCGCCGCCATGTACGTCGACTCCCAGCTCCTCAAGACCGCTTCCGAACCCATCAAGAAGTCGTCAGTCAAGGTTGTCATTGTCAATGACGGAACAATCTTTTCTAAGGGAGGCGAGGTCGAGAAGTTCAAGGCAGAGCACCCCGACCTGAAGGTTGTCACCTTGGAGGAACTTCGAAAGCTAGGCGAAGAGAGCCCCGTTGAACCGAACCCGGCCAAGCCAGAGGACCTTTACTGTATCATGTACACTTCTGGCTCGACCGGTTTACCCAAGGGTGCTTGCATTACCCATGAAGCGCTCATTGCTGGCAGTACGTTGACTTCTTATCTTGTTGCGCTTGTTTGCTAACCCGCTCTCCGCCAGTCACCAGTTTGTATACATGTGTCGAAGAATGTGTAAGCGACAAGGAGTGCATTCTTGCCTATCTTCCCCTCGCCCATATTTTTGAAATGGCCCTCGAAAATCTGGTCATGTACATCGGAGGAACGCTCGGATACGGTAACCCTCGAACATTGTCGGATGCGTCGATGAAGAACTGCCCTGGCGATATGCGCGAGTTCAAGCCTACTGTTATGGTTGGTGTTCCTCAGATTTGGGAAACCGTTAGGAAGGGCATCACTTCCAAGCTGGAAGCTGCCAGTCCCCTTCTCAAGAACTTGTTCTGGGGCGCCTACAACTGGAAGGCATTCGCTTCCAAGAACAAACTGCCACTTGCTGGCTTGTTTGATAGCCTGGTGTTTGGCAAGGTTCGCGAATTGACGGGCGGCCGTATGCGCTTCACTATGAATGGCGCCAGTGGTATTTCCGACGGCACAAAGAATTTCATTTCGCTGGTCGTCGCTCCCATGTTAGCCGGATACGGTCTCACCGAGACCTGTGCAAATGGTTCGTTGGGTTGCCCGCTTGAATTCTCTCCTGACGCCATTGGCCCCACCCCTTGTGCTTGTGAGATCAAGCTCGTTGCTCTCCCTGACCTGGGCTACTCCACCGAGGCCAAGGTTCCTCAGGGTGAGATTTGGATCAAGGGCCTGCCTGTTATGTCCAAGTACTGGAACAACCCTGAGGAGACAGAAAAGGCCATCACCCCTGATGGATGGTTCAAAACTGGTGATATCGGAGAATTCAACGAACAAGGTCATCTCCGTGTCTTTGACCGCGTCAAGAATCTTGTCAAGATGCAAGGTGGCGAGTACATTGCTCTTGAGAAGCTTGAGGCTGTGTACCGTGGCGTCCAGTCAGTGGGCAATGTTATGGTCCATGCTGATCCTGAGCATTCGCGCCCTATTGCCGTCATCATGCCGAACGAGAAAGTCGTGCAAGAGAAGGCCAAAGAGCTGGGTCTGGACGAGCACAACCTCCACACCCTCCATACCAACCCTAAGTTGATAAATTTTGTTCTTAAAGATCTCCAAGGCGCTGCGAAGCGTGCTGGCTTGAGTAGTTTGGAGACTGTTACTGGTGTTTTGATCACAGACGAGGAATGGACCTCTGATAACGTAAGAACCTGCCTTGACTTTCTACCAACCCATAAGCTTTGATGCTAACATGCTGCAGGGTCTTCTCACTGCCACGCAGAAACTCAACCGACGAAAGATCACTGAGCACTTCAAGAACGACATTGCTGCCACACTCGAGCGCTCGTAAACCATGATAAGATCGGATATGTAACGAAATTGTGGAACATCATATTTTGAAGCTGGAACAATGGATACCAAGAGAGAAAGAGGGACGGGAGTATATCGACTTCTTGCTCAGTTTTGTTTTCTAGTGTCTGTAATGTATTATCGCGGCGTTGGCTCCATGATATCTTAAGAGGAAATTTTGTAGCGACAATGGAACTTAATCCCAGGTCATGCTGTGCTTGTCTCCAAATCTCGGCTTTACTGTCTTGGGTGTGGTGGTATTACCTCTCGATATGGCCCGGCAATGTAATTCTGCAAAACGTCAACTTGACGCTTAAGACGGACATGACCGTGATTAAGCTGATTATTGAAAATAACATCACGGCACTGCCTTACTCCATCTTGGAGCATTAACCGACTTCGAGTATTAATACAATGCAATGACCTTACTTCCCCAAAGGGTCTGAGGGTTTGAATTAACACCACATTACATCAGCTGGAACAAATCAAGTCTCATCGGTATATATAAATATATGGGCTAACTAGCGATGAAATTCTTCTTACACCGAGCCATGATTGATTGTAATGTACGACGCCCAAGCAAATATGCTGAAAAAGATTCACGCTATTCACTCCATACAATGCCTCGCAATAGCAGCTTACTGATACAATACACAGGTGCTGAAAACGACCGAGAAAAGAAACTATTCATATAGCCTGGCAAGTTGTGAGATGAAGTAAATCAAAACGTTGACGCTATAAAGCAAAAGGCGGCCGTTGTCCACTCAGATGACGGACAGGAATTGGTGGGCATGGACAAAACTTTCCCTGCCCTCTGAAAAACAAACTCCAAATCGTCAACGCCTTCGCTCGACTGATCGCTCGACTGAACCTCTTGTGCGGTCTAAGAACACGCCGGTTTTTGAAAATAGAGGAAAGAAAGGGAGCATTCGACTAAGTGCCTAGACAAACAAGACAGGTGTTGGTGACGATAAAAGGATACGGTGGGCTCAACGCATGCCCTTGCGGCGGAAGAATACAAGATATGGAACTCGATCTCGACCAGATTTGAACACCTCCTCTTGAACATCATCGCGATCGCCACTTCCAATGCGAACCTTTGTTACGCGTGTATCGTTACAGCAATACCAAGCATACGGGTCGTGAGATGTGTAGTCGCGCACGTATGCCAGATAATGCCCGTTATCAATACGGCTGCCGGTGTGTACGATGACTGCATAAGCTTCATAGCGGAAAGGTCCGGTAAAGGCTGGATCCATTGGATCGGTACCGGACGAAGACTCACGAGCGCCACGAGGGAGAAAGTAGCGGGTGAAGTCTGTGTCGTTAAAGTCCCATGTGATGGGCGCGGTAGACTTGCGCATATCTCCAGTAGTCGGTTGGTAGTTAAACCGGCGAAACGCGACGCAGAGTAGGGTGGGAAAGCGGGCAAAGGACAGAGTCTGTTGAGCGCGAGTGGGGTGACAGCAACGGGCACAAGCGAAGTCCTCAATAGGGCTGCTTGAGGCGTACTCGTCGAAAGCCTGCTCAAGTGTCATGCCGCGGCCCATGCCCACTGTAACAGTAATGAGGTCGAATGTGGTATACATGTAGGTGCGGGTGCTGCATTCAAAGCACTCCACTGTTGATAACTCAAGGCCACGCCAGAAACGGTCCACGATAGACTGGTTGTATTCGAGATGGTTGTTCCAGAACTGAATAGCGGCTTTCAGCAATGTCTGGCGAGAGGTGTCAGGCTGTGGAACATTTCCCTGTCGATCTCGCCGCGTGTTGGTCTCATCATGGAGGTGAGTGAGGACGAATGTCATAAACTCCTGTGCATCCTGTTGCTGAGACCCGCCAAACTGCTCAATACTTCGACTCTGTTCGCAAAGGTGCCGTGAGTAGTCCTGTGGTTGGGTCAGCGATCTCTCCTTCCTTTTTCTATTGTTTTTTAAACTTACCATAAGTGTCTGGGCCTTCATGGCCTGGAACTTACCCGAGTTCATCCAGTGAAACAGGTTAGAGATAATACGAATCATGAGTTGCGGATGATCAATCTTCTCATCTGGCTTCCTCGGAGCCTTATATCTATTGGCCCATTCCGAGTTTGCCAGTATTCTGCCAAAGTCGGGGGAAGCAAGAAGGCTCTGAAGCGTGCTGTTTGCATAGCACCAGTTATGGGGGTTATTGAGTCCCGTATAGAACTTGTTCGAATCGCCCGTCGTCTGGTGCTCCATCGGCTTTATAGTAGGCGCTCTTGAGAGGCGGGCTGGCACAATCGCATTGTTGTTGCCGTAAAGCTCGTTCTCGTCACGTCCCTCGGTGAGACCACTGTAGCTCCGACGTGGGAGAGCGGGTGCTGGTCTCGTGGGCGGCGAGGGCAAGTCCGTATATAGATCTACCTGGTGAGATAACCCGTAGACTGCACGATTCTTTAATTTCTCCTCTGGAGAGGTCATGGACTCCTGTTCCAATGACACGGGTGGAAACCTTCTGAGAAAGTCTTCGGTGGTGCGAGTGAAGTTTGGTGATGATGCAGTCTGCAAATCGTCGTCATGCTTGAGTGTTTCTTGCCAAGCTTTAACTTCATCTGGTTTGAGAGGCTTGACGATGTATTTCGACTTTCTCCGCTCGATACCTGATTGTTGACTTCGATTCCTGTTCAGGGCTGAAGTGGTAGATCCCAATGATGCTTGTCCCATTAGATCTACCCATGCATCTAGACCTCCTCTTAGAATCCTGGGCGTGTTCTTGAGCTCTTTCATATAATTAAAGTCAACTAAGGCGCGGTGGAGAGAGATGATGACCATATCCTCTGAGTTCCGTGGTTGTTGAGGGATATCTTCGGAGCTTTGATCATAAAAGACCACCAAATCGTAGATGTTGCGCTGTTCAAACAGACTTTGCTCCTGATTGGGTGATAGGATCAAACTTTCTGAGATATCATCTGCTGAGGGGTTGTCTCTGAGTAAGATGCTGGGCTCAATACAGATGGTTGACGAGGACATGATGTGGCCTTCGTTGAAATCGTCACGCATTCGAATGTCTATTATCAAAATGCTGCCTCTGGCTTTCATAGCTTGGTACAACTCTTCTGGAGAAATGGTATGCCCATCAGGAATCTTCATGGAGCCAGTAAGATTACCTGGAGGGATTGGGGGGATGGAATTATTGGAATAGCTTTGTGTCGGTGCGAAATAGTCAGGCTGTGGTTGCGATGAGGCATTAGGTGTCCCAGGGCCCGAGCTTGTTGAGGCTGTACGATACAAGCTGCGTGGCGTACTCGAGGGTGGCCGTGTTACTTCTCCTGAAATGCTTCCACGAGCAGGACTGTAGATGGCATCTGGCATTTTAGGGAGAGTTGGCACATTGGTGTCAACACCAACCTTGGGGGGTCGAGGAGGAGGCATCTCTCGAGGGCCCATTGGTTTGGGCAGTGTTATGTGGTGTGTCTTGATACGAGGATCTTGCCCTGGTGATGCTTGCGGTCCTCTTAAGTTGGCAAATCTGGCAGCGAGATCTGGGTTGGCTGTCCCAGCCCCTTTTTGAATACCAGGCTTGATTGCGTTCCCGTGAAGGGATTGAGGCTTTGGTTGAATCGTCGGTTTTGATCGAGCAGGCGAACCGTTGGTGATTGATCTAAGTTTCGACGGTGACATTGTTCCATCTACTGCCAACCCTGAAGGAGTATGAGGCCGGCTTCCCCCCTGCGATGAGCTTGGTCGGACTGTCAGTGGCTGTACCCCTGATCGTTTGTTGTCCGCAATGATGTCCTGCTTAATTTTGCCATATATGGGATCCTGCTGGCTGATCTTGTTGAGCAGATTTGCATGTGCCCTTTTAAAGTCCGCATGACTGGTCCTGAGGTCATGATAGTCTGGATGTTTAGGGAGGGTCTGAATTGCAATTATGGAAGCTCGTATGTATTCTTTCAAAGCAGTAGATGGTCGGCGAAAGTCTCGAGCCATCTCAGCTTGTCGTAATGCCGTCTCCGCTGTTTCCAACAGCTTCCGGGCGGACATATTGGGGTCAAGGTTGTGAGGAGGAGCAATAACATCGTCGATATGTGGAAGTGAAGCCTTCGAGGGAGAATCGGCTCCTCGATGGCCACCCGGTACTGAGCCATGACTAAATGCGCTTGAACTGACCAAGGAGTGCGATCCTGCTGTGGCCACACTACTTGCGCGCGAATGGCCCAGAGAAGCCATGATGGCTTGCTCTGCCGGAACGGATTATACTATAATAGCTCGGTCGAAGGGTTCGGAACGGTGGGAATATGTATAATCGTATGGTCAAGTTGTGGAAATGGTGTGCGAAGGTAGGGTCGTAATCTATATCTTGACTACGATGTAAACGTAGAGTGGCGGAGCGGTGGTGTTTATTAAGGAACCTGTTTAACGTTTTAGCCTTGAATAAAAGGCATGGACCTGTAGCATTCTCAAAAAAGGCTGATTAAATAAACACGAAAAACAGGACGTCCTTCAAGAAGCATTGTCGAGGCGCTGTAGAATGTTTCGAGACTCGCCTTAGTAATGAAGTTGGTATAAAGGAACCATTCATGGAGAAGACGAGCGCCCATGAGGTGAGGTGTCGGTCCCTAGGAACCTAACCCGCGGGGAACAAGGTACTGATCAAGGCAAAGGAGGTACTTAGTCTTAGAGCTAAGATCACAGTGTAGACAAGTACTGTTTACCGCTTCTTAGTACTCCTCGGTCACCCGGCGCATGAGCCACCAAAGAGGTACCCATCTATACCAGGTAGTAGCTACGCCACAGTCCAGAGCCCTCCGGACAGCTAAGTTCCATCGTCATTTCCTCCACTCTACATAGAAAGCAAGAGCTTAGTGTGACCAGGCCCCTGCAGGTGGGTGACAGAAAGGTTGTCGTCCAAGGCTTAGAAAGCCAAAATAAAGAAGTCTAACAATCTACCTAAGCTGATTCCAAGTGCTTTAGCTATTTTGTCTCTCACACCCCCAGAAGCCAGTTCTTTTGACACCCGACCCTGACTGCCCTGCCAGCGCTGACGACAGGCTCTGCGAATCCAGACTTCAGTGGGGTTAGGCTTCCTCCAAGTGAACTGCTGTGGAATCAATGTCCGCTCTCGTCCAATCCTAGCAGGCTTAAGCTAGCCTGATGAGGCACCATTCTACGTAAGACCCAATAGCACCCAGACAGAGGCTGGGGTTGATGATAGCCTGGAGCAAGCTAGATACTGAATCTCCATCAGACATCCAACAATCACATCGCATCGCATCACGTTACAGCCGTTCTGTCTTCATTTCCCGACCTCGCGCGCCGTCAACTCAAGAGCCCAATACTTACAGTACTTTTCGCTTCGGTTTCCTCCGTATACTACTCCTCTGGATTGTGGGATCCAAACACAAGATGATGAGTTGGTGGTCGTCGTCCGCCAATACGGCCCTGGACGAGCAGATCGAGAAAGCCACGAGCAGTAGCCTGTATGTCATCGCTCAACTCTCCTTGTATTAGCATCATCTAACTCAGATTATCAGTGAAGATATTGCCCTTAATCTCGAAATCTCCGATGTCATTAGATCCAAAACGGTCGCGCCCAAAGAGGCGATGCGCTCTCTCAAGAGGCGCATTGGCAACAAGAACCCTAACACCCAACTGAGCGCTTTAAACGTACGATTCCCGTCATGTTGATAAAACCAAACATTGAGTCTGACGCTTCATCAGCTTACCGATACTTGCGTCAAAAACGGCGGATCACACTTCCTCGCCGAAGTCGCATCACGGGAGTTTATGGACAACCTTGTGTCGCTTCTTCAGGCAGTTGGTGGTGCTGCTGTCAACGCTGACGTGAAATCAAAAATTCTCGAGCTTATACAATCCTGGGCCGGCGCTACTGAGGGACGATACGAGCTTTCATACATTGGTGAGGTATACCGAACCTTGCAGCGTGACGGATATCAATTCCCTCCCAAGACATCAGTGGCCAGCAGCATGATTGACAGCAGCGCGGTAAGGACCATCGCCGAACATTACCTTAGTAGCTAGCTGATGATGCTTTAGCCCCCCGAATGGACCGATTCCGACGTGTGTATGAGATGCCGGACACCCTTCACCTTTACGAATAGAAAACACCATTGCCGAAACTGTGGTAACTGTTTCGACCAGCAATGTTCCGCCAAGGTGGTTGCGCTCCCTCATCTCGGCATCATGGCGCCTGTGCGAGTTGATGATGGGTGTTATGCGAAACTTACCAACAAGGGTAACAAACTCCCTAACCCGTCGCTCGATCGATCACCGACATACCCCCACAAGACGCGCAGTACCTCTGCGATGCAACCCCGAAACGCCCGAGTTGACGACGGGTTTGATGAGGATCTGAAGAAAGCATTGGCAATGAGCTTGGAGGAAGTCAAGACTCATTCCCACAACCATGCACCGCCTGCACAATCTTCGTACACAACCAACGGCGACGCCTCGGCGGTCAAGCAGGCAGAAGATGAAGATGATGACCTCAAGGCCGCAATCGCCGCGTCCTTGGCCGACATGGAAGAGCAGAAGAAGAGGCATGCTGCGGTACTCAAGGAGCAAACATCCAGTTCCGTCGATACTTCTTCCTCCACCAACTTTGTTCTTCCCAAGAATGACTACGAGTTGACTCCTGTTGAAGCAGAGAATATTAACCTATTTGCAACATTGGTGGACCGTCTTCAGACTCAACCCCCAGGAACCATCCTTCGTGAACCTCAGATTCAGGAGCTCTATGACAGCATTGGTACATTGCGGCCCAAGCTAGCAAGGACCTACGGAGAAACCATGAGCAAGCATGGTAAGCAATTCGTTTCCACCAACAGGTGTCGGTAGCTAACACAGGTACAGATACACTCCTAGATCTTCATGCTAAACTCTCGACCGTCGTCCGATATTACGACCGTATGTTGGAGGACAGACTCTCCAAGGCATACAGCCAACAGAATCTCGGCGGATACAACCTACCCCCACCTCGCCAGCCAGCCGGTCCCTATCCTTCTATCTCTTCAACTCAGATGCCAAGCAATCCTGGCGCTGCGGAAAGCTTCTATACTGGCCAACCAAGAGCCAGTTACCAGGCTCCTCAACACCAACAATTCCAACAACCACCGCATGCAACACCCCAGCCTCAGTATCCTGCTTATGGATCTGTATCAGAACAACAGACCGGCCAATATCCTCCTCAGCAGATTCAAAGAACCGATAGCTGGCAAAACAGGGCACCTTCGGCACCTCAAGATCCGTACCAACAACAGCAGTCACACGATCCAAACCAACAGACACACAACCATCAGCAGCCACAGGCAGCAGCCACTAACGACCCCAATACCTCTTACTACTTCACACCTCAGCAATCACAGCAGGCCCCTCTCGGGCCATCCGCTCCAGGAGCTGCACCTGACACTGCTCAATCACCGTATCCTAATCTGCAGCCGTCTTCGCAGTACTCTGGAGGCCCTGCGCCGGTGCCCTCGCAGTCCACGCCAAACCAAACACCCGTCCAGCCGCCCCAGGCGCCTCAGCAACCTGTTCAATCACCCCAGATGCAGCACTCTAAACCACAGCAGCCTCAGATGGGTCAGCAAGTTCCTCCCCCACAACAGCAGCACCAACAACAGGCATACTGGCAGCCTTCTATGCCACAGCAGCATCAGCAGCCACCAGCAGCGCCGCAGAACTGGGCGTATGGTGGTTACACCCAAGATTCTTTCCCCTCGGTGCCGCAGCAAGAACCTGCGAAGCAGCCTGTAAAGGAGGAGGCTCTTATTGAATTTTAGATTTGTACTGGATGATAGTCAGGGTCTTGTGTTCCATCGGTTCGATAATGGCGTTCTAGTGGGATTGGCCGTCGTAGACGATCAGAAGAATGCATTCTTGGCAGAGCAAGGGTATGGTCAAATGTACTGCTAGATGAAGAATTTGAACTGTGATACCATTCTTTAGGTCTTGCGCAACACGCAACAGATTCTCATGACACGACGTCCCTCTGAAGGTTCTCAGTAACATCACGTTGGGGTCATCAGGTTATATTTGAAATGAGCAGGACAATCACGAAATCAGTGCATTGATTCACCTATTCCGAGAAACATACGGATGGAATAACAATGAAGATTGCTTACGAACTGTTTTTGTCACTACAACTTTCGGCTCTTATTCACCTAACGCTGCATGCCTGTCTACAACTCTGGTTAGCGAGCCGAATCGGATACAAAAGAGGTAATCAAGGCGACCCAACCGAGTGGCCCTCTGCTACGAATAACCTACAGAGGCTAATGATGCATCTCGGAAACCCCCAAGATTAGCCAATCGGCGAGCGACGGCCGCGCACGCCGCTCACCTAGTAGGGCAGCTCCGCTTACGCAGCCGAGTCCGGCCTCCGGAGATCATGACACCGGCTTTGGCGGGGCCACATCGGGAGGGGCATTTTGAGTCATTACATGACATGGTAATCCAACTTTTCCTCCCGCTTCCTTGTCTGATTATCATATATACCGCTGTCTGTCTACTGTGATTCGTTTAAATAGAGGTTGGTCACACGTTGAGCGTCCTTTATTTCTTTCTCTGGGCTCTTCTGATTTCCACTCTAGACTTCATATTGGAAAATACCACTCAACCAAACCTTCTCATTTTGAATATACTCATCATCATCATCGTAATGGCGCCCACTATCCACCTTGTTCGCCACGCCCAAGGCTTCCACAATCTCTCCATCGAGAATGAGTCGATGCAAGACCCTGACTTGACTCCTCTTGGAGAGGAGCAGTGCGCTGCTCTGCGCAAAGAGTTCCCTCACCACGATAAGCTTACCAAGCTCTTCGCTTCGCCTATGCGTCGCACCGTTTACACATGTCTCCATGCTTTTGGAACAGAGGATCTCAAGCCAATCATTGCTATGCCTGTTTTTCAGGAAGTCTCTGCTAATCCTTGCGACACTGGCTCCGCAGTGGCTAAGGTGCAGGCCGAGTTTCAGGGCATCGCTGACTACTCCCGGGTAGAGGATTCGTGGACTGATAAGGGTCCCGACAGCGAATATGAACCCACAGTCGAGAAGCTCACTGCCCGTGGTCTGAAAGCTAGGAAAGCCCTGAGGGATCTTGTGAGTGGTGATGAACACATTGTTGTTGTGTCTCATGGGGGATTCTTGTAAGATGAGTGATGCCCTCTGTTCGTACGTATTTGCTGATTGCCTTAGGCACTTTCTGACTGATGATTGGTATGGTGTCCCTGAGGAAAGAGGTAAGTCTCAGCAACAGAGTTTCTCACACATAACAAATATGATGATCTGACATCTATCACAGCCACCGGTTGGTCAAACTGCGAGTTTCGCTCGTATCAATTTGTCGATCCTGACGGTGACGACGAGGATGCTGCGCTACTCGAAACCGAAGAAAGCTGGCATAGACGTCGCGGCGATACAAAGCCTCCTACTCGCACAGAATTACGTCAGGTAAAGCCCGTTGCTCAGAAGGCTATGGCTCCATACTTGAATCTCCAGATGCCTAACTAAACCTCGGATCTGAGACTTGCAGTCGGGTGTATAACAGAAGAATTCTCCCCTGAGGCTGAGGCTACCGATAAAGTAGCTAAGGAGTCGTCTCTTATGCTTTCAACGGCCAATCCTTCTAACGCCCTGAAGGACGGCAGTCCCGTTCTTCGCCATTGGTACACCAGTGCTCATCTATCAAATGAAATGTTGGTGGATTTCAGTTGTGGGAGGGGAGACAAAACAACTTCAGATATATCTTTCTGTCCTCGATTTGTTTCTTGGCTTCTGTAGTATTTATCGGTGGCCTCGATTAGGCAATGAGCTTTAGGGTATGTTGTGTGTTCCCGAGGAAATTTTCGTAGAGGTAGACAGATAGAAATATAAAAATAGAATGGTCACTGTGTTTGATTCTTGGAACTTGTCGGATCTATTTAGCATATGGATGAAGCATTGCTTATATCCCACCAAATTGACACCCATCTCGATAGAATTCCGTCATTAACCCACTCATTTACTAAAGGAACTCCCTGGTTCATCCAGATCTGTTCTCCCAAGCGTATCCATGACTCCCTGGATTTCCTTCCAAGTCGTAGTACGGATCTCAAGTACCGTGATTCCCCATCCGGTTTCTGACCTAGGGTCGGATCGCAACTTACATCGGCAAAAGCATTTCATACGTGATGATTGCGCCTTCAGTAGTTCCCGAGCTGCACAGTCGATTGGACTCCCTGCCTCCTAGCCCAGGAGAGCCCCATTGATATAAGGCGGGCATTCTTTAAGTAGGCTTCGAAATTGAAAGTATTTTTTTTGTGGAAGTACTCGCGACTAGAGTAGATCACTCGAGCGAACAGTTCAAAAGTTATCTCGGGTTGATGTCGGAACATTTTGTGCTTTAGCGTCTAAGAGTTCCTGAAGATCGAAAAAGGGTTTGAAAGGTTTCAGTAATACTTGACCAGTAAATGCTGCCAAGGAATGAGATTTTGTGGGCGCTGACGATCGAGATTGGGAGGAGATCCAGGTTTCTTGTTCAACTGGTCGTGAATCATGTTCGGGGATTTTGCTCCTGTTTTCAGTGGGAAACCCAATTGTTGATGCAGGATTTGGTTCCTGACGTGTGTGCTCTTCAATAGCACTCCAGTCTATCTCTTCGGGCAATTGGTGATACCTGATACTGGATTCTTGCTTGTCTGAAGAAGAGTGCGGTGAAGAACACTGCAGCTGCGGGTCATACTCATCCGCTGATCTTGAGTTCCGACTCCATGTACGAAGGACACTTGATGGTGGTTGTTGAGGCTCTTCCTAAGTATCCTCGTTCAACAGCGCCACCAGAGCATCCTCGTCAGATTGTTTCAAACCGTATTCATCTGCGTCGTCCAAATACACTGTCGCCGCTGAGGGTTCAATGGAGATGGGCCCAGTGAGGCTCTCCAAGTATTGATCTAACTCCAGATCATCAAAAGGGTCGTCATAAGGGTCTTGGGGTTCTCGTGGAGAGGGGGCGAAGGAAGTTTGACGGGATTCCGGGTTGTCAGTGTTGGTGGACTGAAGGATCTCATCCAGTGTGAAACTGGACCCTTGGGTTTCAGTAACGTCACTGTAGGTCAATTCAGGCGTTGATTTGTCGATGTTTGTCCGTTGACGTTTGAAGTTATCCACGCAAGGGTCCTGGTCCTGGAGTAAGTGACGTTTTGATGATTGCGCCGGAGGATTGGGCCTGATCGACACATGTAAGTACTAAGAAATGAAATCATACGGCCGGGTCGATCGTTTAACTCACATTGATAACTGAGGATTGTCGTTTGGTTGCATATTGACTGGAGTCAGTCCCGCTTGTGAGAGAAACGGTGTAACGTCATTGGATTTATGTGCCAAAGCGTTGTGTCATAGCCATGTCCACAGGTGGATTGCTGAAATGTGGATTCTGGTTATAGTGATCTCTCAGAGGCCGCAACCTTTAGAGTGACGTTTTGAAGTGACGTTTCTTGCATAAAGAATTAAGGGTCCAGGTGTTGAATTTTCTCGAATCTCGATGCAATTGTGATCTTCATATGGATGTGTTCATCGAGAAGGCATCGAGCCTGCCTTTACAGTACTGTATCAGCCACATCCACTGCGGCTCACCACGCACTTGCCTCGTCTGTGACGTGTAACGCCACTTTTTCAAAACCGGTTTAATCCCAACCGGGCGACTTTGTCCGGAGGAAAGAGCAGAGGAGACACAAGCAATTAACAAATGCGGACCCGTGCCAAAGGGTAGATGCAGTGAAGGAAGGTGCAATTCCTCGTGATCTTGTACATACATTTCTGATTAGAACATCAGGTGGGTCGAAGAAAAAGCGAGACTTAGCTAAGGGTGTCATAAAAGTTAGGACAGTTTACCTGAGCTTAGTATCTAATCAAGTCTAAGTTATTTTGTCAAGAGACTCCTGCGTCCTGGTTATTTCTCGGACCGCCTGAACATCCAATGCTGTATCTCGCTCAACCTGGGCTTTTTTGGAGACTTGTCACTTAGCCTTTCTGGGATGGACAAGGCTGCCCATTGGTTCAACAGCCGTCATGTCCAGGATTAGATCTGTCGTATCCATGTAGTTGCAGAGCTGTCATCAGGAACGAACCTAATCCATGGATTTGATTGCCGGCTCAATGTAAATGGAATGCACACATGGAAAAATACCCCCAATATTGAAGAATTTGGGTCACGATAGTGTCGAGGAAGCCATTGGGGGTGTCGGCAGTACTAATTGGGGGCGGGTACAGAAAATCCACCAACCAGGGGGTTACCTATTGAGGGCACAGTACGGTAGCAGATGAGTGTCCCTCACTCAATTTGAATTTGAGCCTCCAGAACGGGCATGGGAAGCACGCGTCAACCAACACCCACCCACCAAGAGTCTGGACTCTGTGGGTCCACCCCTTAAAAAGGTTTCCGGGAGTCAGAATTGAATGGATTGAAAGAATTGGATGGATGTCTGCCGGGTTACTGCTTTGGTTTTAGGACAAACGTGGGGGAGGGTTATTTTGGGTTTTAGAATGCGAAACAAAAGAAAAAGAAAAAGAAAAAGAAAGGTGCTCGTTAAACAGCCTCGAATGTCTTTTGTCTCTTCGTAAGCTTAATCTCAGGTTTGTCCTCCTGATCTGAGAATCAATTTCCCCCGTGTGGGCTTCATCCCGTGCAAAACAATTCCTTCGGTGTCCCGCTGGATTAAACAGTGGATGAGCCCCCGAGGCCGGGGCTCCGCATAGTCCGCCTGACCTGTGAAGTGGGGTTGGGGTATTAGAAGTAAAATGCCCCACTAAATGATGGCAGAAGCCGACCGAAAATCAAACCTGCTTTTGAATTTGACCCGGCGATCGATCTCCCCGGGACTGCGAAGTGGTCCTTGGACGAGGCACAGCAAGCATCCCCAACACCCCGCCCTCCTTCCCTATCCGGTTCTGGGCGTGGGCGTTAGACTACACAGTCGTCAGCATTGCACATCGTTCCTGCCCTGTCGCTTGTCTTCGCCTGCACATGTCAGTTGCTGTTTGACTCCAGCCGTTTGGGCGCCGGTCTCCCGCCGTGTCCTTCCCCCGTGTCTAACTCACAATGGCATCCCGAGGCTTCCTCCGCCCTACCCTCCGCTCTTTCCCCCACCCTTCCCCTTGTTCCCCCTCGATCCTCAAGCATTTATCAAGGCCGACTTCCTCCCTCCATTGTCCATCCTCTTCATCTCCCATTCTATATTCTCCATCATCTATCAAACATCTTCATCCTCTCTCCATCTTTATATACAACTACATCAATCTAGCTTCTTGGCTACGAACCCTATCACGATTTAGTAGAGCTCATCAACGTTTAAGCTCTTCGCCACATCCTTTACCCTGCTAGGGACGGCTCCCTTGCCACGATATTACAAACAACCAATTCGCAAACTTGTTCTTAACCACATCGTGTGCAAGGATGCAATTCTCAACAACCAACGCACCCCCGCGCCTGGTGCAAGATAGTTTCGACGACATAAACCCCAAGGACTACCTTAGAAAAGAATTCAAGTCTAAGCGCCCACGAACTGCTGATATTCTCCTCGAGGAGCTACCACAAGGACTCGTTCACGATGCTGAAGCAGCAGACCTCGCAGGAGATTTCTTCTCAGCCAAGCCTGAGCTAGAGTCAGACCATGAGGAGCAACTCCCCGAGGGAATTGAGGAGACTGAGGAGGAGAGACAGAAGCACTGGTTCGTCGGTAGCATCGACCAGGGTACAACATCAACCCGATTCCTCATCTTCAATGGTCATGGTGAGCCTGTTGCCAGCCACCAAATGGAATTTGAGAACCTCTACCCCAGTTCTGGATGGCACGAGCATGACCCTATGACACTCCTCGAAACTGCCGAGGTCTGCATCGAAAAGGCAACCGAGAAGTTCTGTGCTCAAGGTCATAAGGTTGAGGATATCCGCTCTATTGGTATTACAAACCAGCGTGAAACAACCGTTCTCTGGGACAGCACCACTGGTGAGCCCCTTTACAACGCTGTTGTCTGGCCCGATACTCGCACTTCTGCTCTCGTCCGTGACCTCAAGAACAAGCCTGGCGCCGAGAAGCTCCAAGAATCCTGCGGCTTGCCATTGTCTACCTACCCCTCAAGTGTGAAGCTCCTCTGGGTCCTCCAGAATGTCGAGTCAGTCCGAGAGGCCTACGAGGATTGCCGACTATCCTTTGGTACTGTCGACTCATGGCTCATTTACAAGCTCAACGGTGGAGTGGAACGTGAGGGAGGACCCATCTTTGTCACCGATGCCACCAACGCCAGCCGCACTATGTTCATGAACCTCAAGACACTGGACTATGATGACGATCTTCTCAAATTCTTTGATGTTGACCGCACCAAGATCAGCCTGCCTAAGATTGTTCCTTCCTCCCACCCCACTGCCTACGGTACCCTTTTCAGGGGACCTCTCAAGGATGTCCCTATCGCCGGCTGCTTGGGCGACCAATCCTCTGCCCTTGTCGGCCAGTGTGGCTTCAAGCCTGGCCAAGCCAAGAACACCTACGGTACCGGTTGCTTCCTTCTCTACAATGTCGGCAGCGAGCCTGTCATTTCACAGACTGGTCTCCTCGCTACTGTCGCATATGATTTCGGAAAAGGCCGCAAGCCGGTCTACGCTCTTGAAGGTAGCATTGCCGTTGCCGGCTCTGGTGTCAAGTTTCTCGAAAACAACCTGGGGATTATCAAGAGTTCTTCTGAAGTTGATGATGTTGCCCGATCTGTTCCTGACAATGGTGGTGTGACGTTCGTCACAGCCTTCAGCGGCCTCTTCGCCCCCTACTGGATTGATGACGCCAAGGGTACTCTCTTTGGTGTCACTCAACACACCAACAAGGGTCACATTGTGCGAGCTACTCTTGAGGCTACTTGCCATCAGACAGCAGCTATTCTGGATGCTATGGCAGCTGACTCGGGCCACGCCCTCGACATTCTGGCTGTGGATGGCGGTCTATCTAACTCGGACCTCTGCATGCAAACACAGGCCGATATCAGTGGAGTACCTGTCGATCGCCCCGCTATGCGAGAGACCACAGCACTGGGCGCTGCCATTGCGGCGGGTCTTGCTACAGGAGTCTGGAACGAGCTGGAGGAGCTGCACGAAGTCAACCGAAAGGACCGTAAGGTCTTCTACCCCGAAGCAGACCCCAAGGACGTGCGTCGCTCTCGACGACGTTGGGAGCGAGCCGTCGAGATGAGCAGAGGTTGGCTCCAGGACGATGAGGACGATGAATAAAATAAGGCGATGGCGAACTCTCAAGAGTGTGGAAACTTTTGTTGCATAATGACTGGCTTACAGGCGTTCAACTGGGCATAGCGCATCATGAGCATGGGAGCTCGGCAAATGATATTTTTTGGGATTTTAGTATAGCTTAAAAGCTTCCATATAGTGCATAATACCATAACGATTTAAATTCAAGTGTCTTCCACATATGAAACACCAGGCCTGAATGTTGTGAAAGCGCAAGTTGACGATTGATGTTTGGGGTTTTGTTTGAAGTATTCAATCTCAATCAGCACAGCCTCACTGCAAAATTGATGTCCTTGGTATCTATTTGGTTCGAAAGATTGATTCCAGGCCCAGAAACTACACTTCAGAAACGCTGTATATGCGAGTTACTGCGATCTAGTGTTTAGACTAGTGAGGTGTATGTTATTGCTTTTGATATGTGTACAGTATGAGTTGTTGACGGATATCATATATCTACTGACACAACTAGGCAGGGGATATCTACATGTACCAAGTTACAGAATGTTCCGGGAATTGTGAGATTGAAAGGCAAAAGCAAACTGAAACGCAAGAAAAAGAAAGGGATGGGTGTGGCGAGTTCTCAGAGGCAAGACAACCGAAGCAAATCAGTCAAAAGTCAAAGTCCCAATACTATCCATCTATCAGTCAAACATACGGGATACTCAAAGTCGTGGCTTTTCGGAATGCCTTGACGGGTTAGTTGGATTCGTAAGGCAATACCAGTGCGATCCATGCCGTGCCATGTCGCTACAGCACTCGCTAAGGCAAGACAGCTTCTACGAGAGATTCTAGCCCTGGTCTTAATTTAGATGTCCTGGGATTGTAAGACATCACGCGGAAGGAAGAAAAAAAAGAAGTGGGTTATCCCTTGATGCCGGATATCTAAGAGCAGAGTACGTGTTCGGATCCGAGACAGAGAGCATGGGTAGGTTGATGATCCTCGTGAGTAGCAAAATCAATCTAAGACATTTTGCAAGGGGATTGAGAATTTGTGTGGGTTTCAAGTCTTGCTAGTTCGAACTTAAGCGAAGCGAACGGAGCAGAGCCGCAACGACCGGCTCCAGGTCCCGGGCCCGGAAAGTTGAGTTAAGTTAAGTTGAGTTGTCGTTTGAACTTTGAACGTTTCCCCGCTCAGGCACAAACTGTTAAGTTTAGCGAAGAGACTAACTGAATTGGGGGGTTCCGAAAAGATGGGGAAAGAGGCTTCATGTGACGGGAACTAAGATTGGATTTCCATCCGGGACTAGTCTAGATGAGAGGTGAAGAAAAAGAAAACAGAAAGAGAGGTCGGGGGTTCCGAGAGCGGGGACAGATTTAGATAGCAGATGCTCTCTCTCTACACCGACCCGTCTCTAGAAATGTTTGTTGAGTTGTTGACCCAGGTAAAGCTGAGACTAGAGGTACCTAGGTAACCAGAGTCTAAAAGTATGAACCCCTTATCCGTATTTTGCATTGCAATTGCCTTACCTTACCCACAACACCACGTATTCCATCGCTCACATGCTCACGATGATCCTCTTTACTTTGTGGGTTCAATCCAATTCATAATTCAAGTCACCATTTGACTCGTCTATTTTGTGATAGATAACCTCCCTACCTCAGATGAATCCTCACCCACCCCTCCCTTTCCCTTTCCCTTTCCCCTTCCCTCCCCCTCTTCCACACCTCTCTTCCCCTCCCCATCTCAAAGCTCCCCAACCTTACCCATGGGTCAGTTAGGCTGTCAGGGTTCCGACCCCAGCCCCAAGTTTTAATTAATGCACGACACTACCTAATTAACGGAGTTGGGAATATTGTCTAAAGTCTTGTTTATCACGCTAACCTATAAACTGCATGGCCTACTATTTCATGCAGACTGCCAGCTTATATCCACTGTATTGGTTTGATCTGTTGGTAATTGATTGACATGATAAAAAGCCAAGCCAAGATAGCTTCAATCTTGGAATGTAACGCTGATAGTACCATGTATCGTGTCCTCTCGGCAAACCCCTCGTCTGCGACTTCCCCTCTCGCATCAAGGATCTAGTTGCAGGTCTTTTATTCTGTAGCCTACCATCAGTAACTATCGGATATGTCTGTCTGTCTGTCTCGGTTTTCCTAGAATCTTCCATGTTTGGGGGTACCCATGCGCCCCAATCAAATGGGGCCATGTCTGTCCAGTTTCCAAATCTTTCTAGGTAGGTATTCTGCCCATAGCCTCGGTTATGTCAATTTCATGGTCCCAAGTCAGGTCAAGGACATCAACATCCGAAGCTTCCAGCCTCAAAGTTAAGTTGCAATGAGTCGGTCAGTAACTTTGCGTTCTTCCTACCAGTTCTTACACTTTCTATAATCTCTCGGCCGGTTCGCTCGTGGCTGGCTCCAGCATACCGCAAAATGCTCGACATACTCTACTCTGCTTCAGAACATATGCCCTGTCAGTCTGTCACTGTAACTTAATAGTCTACTATGGACCAAGCCAATGGAATTAAAGAAATGTCATCGTCCTATCAAAATGCTGCTTCTGATGCTTATCGATATTCCCTGTAGATCGGCGATCCAACCAAACATCCATACCTGGGTAGCTAGCTTCGTTTCCTTTCCGCTTTGAAACGATCGCGATGCCGTGCTGGTAGTCATGCAGCTCCCATGCCGATCATTTTTTGTCACTATCAATTATTCGGGCAGATGTCCTATTTGTCTGCAGTGACTGTCCTCGTGTTGCTAAAGCGGCGTTCATATTTCACTTGGTAACGACAAGTTCATGATTCAGCTAGATATCTGAACTGTCAAGATCAGCCCTGGTGGATTTGTTGTTTGCTGATCTCCTCACAAGCCAAGTGCTTGCTATTGCTTCAAACTGTTCGAAACACATCACTAAGTAGATACATAGGGGGCACCGCGGGTCTGAGAGTGAAGCAAGCTGGCCTGGGGAGATGGCTCGTTCAGGACATGTCGGCTAGTTTGACCGCATAATAATGGAGTATCTACAAATAAAGTCCCTGGGACACGAGGCATGTACCTCAGACAAGTCTGTTCATTGTCCGGACCTTGGCCACTTGTGGCTCAAGGCGAGTTGGTCTCAATCTCTAGATCGAGGACCTCGGCGGCGACGCCATTGGAGAGGCTCGGTTGCTTTTATATCATTATGTGGATAAAATAGCTCAAACGCAATGATTCTTTATGAGCAAATCTAAGTCCAAGTCGCTCAGGGTTAAGAATCTTGGTTAAGTCTCGTTCCGGGTGAATGAGTCAACCAAATAGTTGTTGCCTACATAACATGTTTCTTTCCGTTCAAAGTCACCACAGGTGTTGCAATATCAGTATGCTGTCTAGAAGTCAAGAGAATCGCTCCTTCGTTTATGGATACCTATCGGCTAGATGATGGTTATATGACCTATACGCACCTTGGTTGTACTCTTGTCCCAGATTTTACTTGACAGTGTTTTGAGCAAGTGGTACACGTCATGACATACTCTACTCAATGTATTGCTTAAAGGTGCTGTTGAATTTTTGAATGGAATACTATTCTATCTTTCGGTCTGTCACTTAGTGACTTCTACGTGGCCATGCCCGGATTTATGAAACAGTGCTAGACAGACGTTCTATCGGTGGAAGTTTGCGGCCAGCAACTCACTGGTAGTTGAGGCAACCCTTCTATATGTTCTCTTAGTGCCCGAGAGAATAGAGTACCAAAGGCTGTTCATCAGTGTGCTTCATTGTTGAATATTCTGCTCTTCTATAGCTGTTATGGTGCAATCCAAGAATCTATATCATCTTGTCCCAAGTGGGTGTCTCGGTAGTGATACCATTAACAGCATGTAGTGGAATAGATATCAGCGAATTACATTGGTCTTCAGTTCCCTATGAATGAAACCAATTTATAAATGATGATGGTTCGGGTTTTGTATCCGTTGTTTTGGTAGAACATCCATACTCTGGTGCTGATGCTGAGCGCGACGTGGTAGCTCCTCTGTTGGATTTCGAGCAACATGACCTGTATGAGTCGTTGATTCGTTTATCCAGAGACTCTGGTTATGTCTATCAAGTTGACTTGTTATGTTATGTAACTTGAGTGTCTATCTTCCTGCTTTGAACGCTTCGTGTATTTAATCCTCTGGTGCCGCAGACCAGTACACCGTGGCCAAGCCGTCCTATAGATAGGAATGTAGCTAGCTATTAAGGCCAGGGTGAGTTGTTTCAGTCCAGAATCGGATGGTATCCTATTTCCAGTTATGCTAGAAGCCCAGACTATTAAATGGTTTTATCCTATTGTGCTCTTTGGGAGCTTCCCTTGGCTCAGCCAAACTGCATGTTCGGACGCTCCATGATATACGCAACTGATAGCATAAACCAGACATGAAGAACATGCTGCAACAAATATAACTAAGAATGACTCCTCATCACAATGGCTCGACCGGCGTTAGGGTATGGTGGACTTTGGGCGTACCAGCGCTCGCTGACTTATTACATGCTACCACTATCCGTATATTCATCTTCCAGTGTCAGTACTTGGGCTCGTAAGATATGTTAGCTAGCAGCCAAAGTAGTACCTCAGTTATACTATATGTAATTTAATTGTTGTGTTCAACCGGAAATTTGGGGGGTTCTCAGAGTGCAAGCACTGCTGCAATCCTCATCCATACAGCTTTCGACATTCCAAATTCCAAAGTTATGACTTTGTTACACAACCGGTAAGTATTTCGAGTATGATTCGTCTTTAGGACAATATGTATATGCCTTTTCCAGCTAAATATGTTGCAAGCGGTGAAGTCATCTTGATTGCCTAGACACCACATAACTTTGTCTTATTAGCACATCTTCCCGTCATCTATATTCCCTCATAAATCTCTTGAGACAACTTTGATATACACATATGTACAAGTAGGATCCATATCTCTAGTAATCATATATCTCTGATCAATAGCGAAGCTTGCCATAAACAATATTTTAGGCCACGTTCCGATAATACATCACATGCGATACTATCATTGAATGGAGATATC